ATTTGATATTAAATGAATATGAAAGAATTTAGTGCTAGATACACAAGATTAAATGATACCTGGGTTACAGTGACAAGATTAAATGATACCTGGGTTACAGTGACAAGATTAAATGATACCTGGTTACAGTGATAATTAGGTGATGATGATGATTGTGAGGTATTAAATGTTTCAACACCTGTGTATACTATTCTTGAACAATCTCTCAGACTAAAGCCATTATAATAATAGCTACCATTGTACTTTATAATATAATTAATAGATCAAACAGGTGGGCTAACTCCGTATTTGATAGATGATATAATAAATGTAAGTCAGCTTGTTATTAAAGAGACAAGAAAGTACAATAAATGTCAAGATAGCTCTGCGATATCACTTCCGTTGAAGTGAACGTTATATAAAACTATTTCACACACACAGTGGAACACAAACTTCCGTTACAGATGTTTTTAAACCTTACCAGAAACAAAGGATTGGTGTAATGTAGTGATCCCCAGTGTGGGTAGTCACAAATTAAAGAGCCTTGAGACTGAAACTGATTAAATAAAAATGCTTTGCAGTAAACACAATCTGATTAAAGGGGGGGGAGAGAGAAATGAGGTTTAATGTCCACTCAACACAAACTAGGTCACTTTGGGACTAACACATGGTTTTTTAATTTTTATTTCAATAATTCGTTTGCGTGTAGGGGCAATCAGATTAAAACACAGATCCTATTTATAGTTCAAATTTCGTTTTACTTTGTCTTTACTACACTAGGATCTGGAAGAGTTGCTATATAACCTGTGTTCTGGATGATGTGAGGGATTAGCCAACGAAATGGTCTGTTACGGCGATTGTTTGGCGTGGGGTACACAGAACTGTGGGTAACCCACTAGAAACATTAAATATCTGATGTCATAGGGTTAAAGCCGCTCGTATGACCTCTGACACGACCTTCCATTACAACCGATCAGATCTTTATGTACATGTAATAAGAGGCCATTGAAAGGATAAAAAAATAAAATGAAATATAGATCTGTATTTCAATCAGATTGCAGTAATCCTGAAGCTGGGGGAATCACATCAACTTGAAATTTGTTATCTTGAGTCCAATTTATATTATCATTATTATAAAATGTATACGGTATAGCACCCCTTTCACCAATCTGTTTCACAGAGAATTACGAGTCTAGTAATATTTCTCTGTCAATGATGACTGCCTTAACACGTGCCGTTACAGCACGCGGTGTCAATCATTGGCTGAATGGCGCGTATATTGTTTACATAAGACGTTACTGCTTCGAAGAGAATGCTGCATTTTAGTCATTTTAATACCCATTTACACTAAATAGGAAATAATTTTTACCTACAAATACGTCAAACGCCTTTATTTATTTTTCCAATACATAAAAAAAATGTTTTAGAATTTAATTTGTCGCAGGAAAAAAGTTAATATTACTGGCTCATTAAGCCGCATCGATGTCATCCTTATCATTGATTGTAGCGGCCTAGCAAATATTCACTGCAGATCAGTGTGCCCTTTCACAGATGTGTTCAGGGGCACTTTACAGAGTAACAAAACATACATTCAAAAGTTAAAAACATCAAAAAGATAAAAATACATTTAAATAAACAATTATTTCCTAAAATATATACATGTACAAGAAAGACACTAAAAAGTTAATGGCAATTAAAATTTGTTATATAAGCCTTTAAAAACAAGCCAACAGTGAGGCTGATGTCCCCCGCCAAAATACCAAAATAAATAGATGACACATTAATTTATCGCACATTTATTTTTTTTAAAGTATCAAGCAATCAAACTGATTATCAACTATACACTTAAGTTTCATCACTCTCTATCAAAGTTATCTTGTCCTAAAGCATCAACCAACAAGGCATTGACCTAATCAACACATACACCAAGTTTGAACATTCTAGCTCAATTAGGAAGAGAGTTATCGTGCCCCAAAGTATCAACCAATCAAATTGCTTATCTCTGCTTACCCTAAGCGGAAAATGCTCATCTAATCAAATTGCTTATCTCTGCTTACCCTAAGCGGAAAATGCTCATCTTCGAACTCCATCAAGGCATTGACCTAATCAACACATACACCAAAGTATCAACCAATCAAATTGCTTATCTCTGCTTACCCTAAGCGGAAAATGCTCATCTTCGAACTCCATCAAGGCATTGACCTAATAAACACATACACCAAGTTTGAACATTCTAGCTCAATTAAAAGTTATCGTGTCCCAAAGCATCAACCAATCAAATTGCTTATCTCTGCTTACCCTAAGCGGAAAATGCTCATCTTCGAACTCCATCAAGGCATTGACCTAATCAACACATACACCAAGTTTGAACATTCTAGCCCAATTAGGAAGAGAGTTATCGTGTCCCAAAGCATCAACCAATCAAATTGCTTATCTCTGCTTACCCTAAGCGGAAAATGCTCATCTTCGAACTCCATCAAGGCATTGACCTAATAAACACATACACCAAGTTTGAACATTCTAGCTCAATTAGGAAGAGAGTTATTGTGTCCCAAAAAGTGTGACGGACAGACAGACGGACAGACAGACGGACGAACCCATTTTAATAGTCCCCTGCTTTCTTCGAAAGGCGGGGGACAATAAGAAAGTTTTAGTCTGCTTTTTTAAAAAAATTAATGGTGTCGAAATTTGAATATTAAAAGGTAATTGATTCCATAAAACAGGTGCTTGATAACTAAAAGAACATGCACCATAACTAGATAGGTTTACAGTTTTTTGTTTTAAAAGTAATTTATCAGATGATTGTAGGCCGTAGGGTTCTGCCTGGAGTACATAATTCTAAAAGTTCGGACAAATACTTTGGGGCTAAATTATGAAGTAAAATCTTAAAATCTATTCTATATTTAATGGGCAACTAGTGCAACTGAACGAGAACAGGGGTTATACTTGTATATCTATTTGTTAAGGTTTAGCAGCAGTATTTTGTATTCCTTGGAGTTTAATTAACAGCAGTATTTTGCAATATTCTTTAGCAGCAGTATTTTGTATTCCTTGGAGTTTAATTAACAGCAGTATTTTGCAATATTCTTTAGCAGCAGTATTTTGTATTCGTTGGAATTTATCTAACAGCAGTATTTTGTAATTGTCCGAGTTTGTTTAGCAGCAGTATTTTGTATTCGTTGGAATTTATCTAACAGCAGTATTTTGTAATTGTCCGAGTTTCTTTAGCAGCAATATTTTGTATTCGTTGGGAGTTTATTTAGCAGCAGTATTTTGTATTCGCTGGAGTTTGTTGATAGTTTTAAGGATTAAGCCAGCTACATGTAGTAGTGGGTTAAAATTTTGAAGTCTTGACGTCCCAAGTGAGTTTTTGTGCTATGTATGACAAACCATGTGATTTTATTCCATATATAATTGGACCTTGTTTTATTGTACTGAAGTAATAAATAGCACCCACAAATTATATCATAGTAATATACAACTTTTGTTTTTGTCTCACAATATAAGACCTATCTGAAGATTAGACCAATATATTTTGTTCACACAGAAAAGGTGAATAACACACATTATCGCCAAAATCAACATGCATTATGTGTTGTGTCTGTCAAGACATGACATACATGTAGATATGAAAGAAAGAGAGAGAGAGAGAGAGAGAGAGAGATGGGGTTTAACGTCCACTCGACACAAACTAGGTCCTTTCGGGACTAACATATGGTTTAATTTTATTTCAATAATTCGCTTGCGCGTAGGGGTCTTTAGCAGTGGGAGGAAACCGGAGGACCCGGAGAAAACCCACGAGGTTGGACAGGCGACCCTACTCCTTGTCACGTACAACCGGGGATTCGAAACCACGCCAGTCAACTCAATGACAGACTTTATGATACAGCACGCGCAAACTAACCATTCAGCCATCCAACCCCCCGATATGGATATGAAATAAAATGGGGTTTAACATTTTACTTTTGTGCATCGACTGGGTCAATGAAGACAAAATGAAATGAAATGAAATGGGGTTTAACGTCCTACTGTTCTGCTCCTAACCTGGGCTAATGAAGACGGGCATACGCCATACAGTGTGCTATGAGGGAAATTTTGCCCGGACAGCGGCACTACGGCCTACTCTTATATCGAATTCCAACTGCCAAGGGATCTTTTACGTGCACGCCAATGTGTACACGGGACCTCGGTTTTTCGTCCCATCCGAGCGACTAGACAGCTTTCCTTGTCAGCCCCTCCGTCCTGCATCACTGACAAGGGAGAACCACGCCGGAAAATCTGGATGAACTTTCTGGGCCAATGCAGGGATCGAACACCCAACCTCCAGGCTAGCGAGCCAGCGCCTTACCCACTTAGCCACGTGATCCCCTCAATGAAGACAGGCTTATGAGTGTGCTATGAGTGAACAGTGGCAATTCAGTCGGCTTTTTTTTTTTTTTATTAATTCCAACTGTCAAAGAATCTTTTACGTGCACGCCAATGCGAACACAGGACCTTTTTTTTCATACCATCCAAGCAACTAGACAATGTTCCTTGTCAGGTCCTCCGTCCTGCACAACGGATACAGGGAAACCACGCCTGAAAACCTTGAGGGACCTTCTCGGCCAACACCATCTGGTTAGCCAGCCAACGTCTTACTTAAGCCAGGTTCCCCCTATCACGATTCGTGCTACGAATGAAATCGTGGTTTTAATCGTGGTGATCCTACCAGGTCTTATCGTATATTGTGGTCAGTCGTAGCAATCCTGTTGATCGTATCAAAATGTATCCGAACGTAGCAGATCGTGGAGTCAATAGGGACACCTATCGTAGCGCATAGCCTGATAGTGTGGTTTAGCGTCCACTCCACTTGACACAAACCAGGTAATTTCAGGACTAACATATAGTTCTATTTTATTTCAACAATCCGCTTGCGAGTAGGAGTCTTTAGTAGTGAGAGGAAACCAGAGGACCCGAAGAAAGTCCACGAGGTTTGACAGGCGACCCCACAGATAGATGTATATAATATATGTTTATCTTACCGTGACTGTCTCCTGGTCCTGGTGCATTTGACATTATAATTTTCATACAGCTATACGGTGTATAATCAGCTCGCTTACCCTCTTTACCATAATTATGACGTATATTATACGCATATTGTTTATCAAACTACAAAATAAATATTTAAAAATAAGGTTGCCAGGCAACAAAACAAATATTTAAAAATAGTGTTGCCAGGCAACAAAATATACATCCATAGCATCTAAATCGTTCTATCTATCCATAAATTTTGTAAGATCATAAATCTTTTTACTGTACTGTATGATATTGTTAAACAAAAATAAAAATGGTTGGAGTGCCCAAGTTTAAATTTGTCGTTGATTCCATAAAGTAGTTAGGTTTTAGAACTTTAAATACTGTGTAATTCAACATGCCGCTTGAGGGGTTTAATATGATATGGGTACGGAATAGTACCAAATAGTTTATTTGTATGAGAGTCAAGATTTGGGTTATAAACTTACATATGAAGTTTCAACAAAATCGGATAAAAAATTGTGACCTCTTTAGGGGCCACAACCTTGAAATACCATATTTTTACACTATTTGAGAAAGAGGGACGGCCATTTTGTCTGTCAGTTTTGGGCCGATTTTCATGAAATTTGTACTCAGCCGTCCTTAGGGTGTAACGGTGATAAATAATACGTTTTTTTAAATCAGATAAAAATTATGACCTCTATAGGGTCCACAAGCTAAAAACGCAATTTTTTGTACAATCATGGGCCATAATTCAGGAAGTTACGGTCCGATATGCGTGAATATCGGAAGGAACCGAGATCTTTGGGTTATAAACTTACATTTCAAGTTTCAACAAAATTGGATAAAAATTGTGACCACTATAGGGTCAACAACCTTGATATACCATATTTTTACGCTATTTGAGAAAGAACGGCAGCGATTTTGTCTGACAGTTTTGGGCCGATTTTCAAGAAATTAGAACTCAGCCGACCTTAGGGTTTAACGGTGATATAATAATACATTTTTTTAAATCGGATAAAAATTATGACCTCTATAGGGTCCACATTCCACAAGCTAAAAACGCGATTTTTCGTACAATCAGGGGCCATAATTCAGGAAGTTACGTTCCGATATGCGCGAATATCGAAAGGAACTGAGATCTTTGGGTTATAATCATACATTTCAAGTTTGAACTAAATTGGATAAAAATTGTGACCTCTACAGTTGATTTTTCGTACAATAGTCCATGAAGTTACAGTCCGATACATGCCAATATCGAAAGGAACCGAGATCTTAGGGTGATAAACCTATATTTCAAGTTTCATTGAAATCGGATAAAAATTGTGACCTGTAGACTGTTCACAAACAATTGTGGACGGACGTCCAGGCGGACGGATAGGGGCGACGACAATATACGTCCACATGAAATTGTGGGCGTATAAAAATTAAAGATTTTCCGATCGACTGACCTATTTTGGGGGACCAAGAATCAGTAAACACAGGTATTTTTTTTATTTAAAAATTTCAAAACAAAGATAACAAACCTTGTCTCCATCTATCAATTTAACAAATTCTATTTTCCAGAACTTCAAGGCTTCTTCTAATGACATTCCTATACCTTTGAGAAAAAGGCCATACTGCATACGACCTCCATGTTTTAAATGATGTTCTCTCTTTAAAACTTGGTGTAAATGTTGCATACATAATGGAAATGATTTCTTGGATAGCTGAAATTTGTAAATAAAAATATATTAGAACTGAAGGAGGACCGCACTGCTTGCAAAAAAACCCTGATAAGACAAACTTGCGGATTAGATAACCTACACAGATATTGCCAGAAATAAACAACAAATTTTAAACCAAATCAATAAATCCAGGGGTCAGCCATAGGCGTTCACAGTATTGCACAGTCTTGGGTCTGTAATGATACAGGCTTCAGTCAAAATGAAAAACATTATAACATCATCTCTAGGAAGGAATAGTAGTTTAATTCAATGTTCAGATATTAATATATCTCAAACATTACCTTAATATCACTTAAAGATTGAAACAGATGGATAATAAACATTGGAGAGAGAGAGACCCTACCAGTTGACTCAATGACAGACTTTATGATACAGCGCGCATGCGCTAACCATTTAGCCATCCAAGCCCCCTATAGGATAAATAATACATCGACTAGTATAAGCAGAGGACTGAGAGAAAAGTTTTCAATTCAAGAAATTTGTGTTATAAAATTTTACAAAGTGGTAAGAATTGCTAAATACCGAAAACAAAGAGTTATCAAGAATGTACTCAGAATGTATGGGGGTACCCTGAACAAAGCATACTAAAAAAATTAATTAATCTTAAAAGAGGACACTAAACAATTTCTAGAAATCAAGCATTATTCCACAAAAAATATTATTAAAAAAAACTATTTCCTACTCTCAGAAGTTAATTACAACGTCACTCAGAACAACAATCTCTAGAAATCAAGCATTATTCCCCCGAAAAAATATTATTGAAAACAAAGTATTACCCTCAGAAGTTAATCACAACGTCAGTCAGAACAACAATTAATTTGACATATAATAACTTGAGAAAACATTACTGACAACATCGCGGAGAATAAAGATTAATTTGACATAATAACGCGATAAATGTTACTCTGAATACAGATTAATAATACCTTATTATTAGACATAATAATCAAACAGAGAGCTTAAAAGATTTTCAATTATTTGGGGGAAAATAAAATTAAAAACAAAATTAGACATTCGATTATTTACTTCTAGTGCACACCCACAGCTATTTTACAATTATCGTTGGAATTAAAGAGGCATTATGCAAGAGCTAAATCTACCTATTTTAGGTCTTTCTTTATGCGTTAAATGTTATATAAATTATTAATTAGATATTTATTAAAGATACATTATGTAAGATTTAGATAAAGAGCTAACCATTCTTGCAATAATAGTTCGAAAACAGATAATGTAAAATGAATAATTTGAAAATTTCATTCAAATTACTTTATTGCTAGCAAAGATATTAGCCTTTGAAGGTTTGATGAAATATGTGCAATAATTTCAACCACCGTACTGGTTGTTCGAAGCTAATTCTTGCTCCTCCCTTTTTAAATTAAATCAAAATATGGCTGAATCATTCTAATCTATTTCATATCAGAGAAATCTAATGCCATTGAGAGTTGATTATGGCCTGGATCAGTTAATTAATGTTTAATTAATAATTTAGAAAACATTTCAGGCCTAAAGAAAGACCTGCAATAGGCAGATTTAGCTCTTGCATAATGTATGTTTAAGTTACCAAGACCATAATCAACTCTTGAAGACCATCGGATGAACTCAAGATTTTGAACAGATTTAAATACCATTGACAGATAATGATTTAATTCAAAAATGGATAATCAAGATGATTATTTTCTTAATAACAGTAGCAATGACAATCGAGATGACACTGATCTTCTAGCGGCAATAACTGGGCTCAGAATAAAGTAATTTGAATGAAATTTTCAACCTATTCCCTATTGCATTATCTATTTATGAGCTATTATAGCAAGAACGATCAGCTCTTTATCTGAATATTACATAATGTATCTTTAATCAAAGGTTGTTTTTTAAAAAGTCAGATTATTTGGAATAAAGAATTGCTTACTGACCACTTCAATCATATCTGCTGTAATCTGACCTGCAGACGGCTTTTTATTCGTATAATCTTGACCCAGATATCTCTTACTTAAACCACATAACATCGGCAATAAACGTTCATCTTCTTCTAAATGTGGTAAGGCTCTCGATGTTTGCTGAAAATAATTAACAATCCACCAAAACCTTATTATTTGTAATTTAAAGTGAGACATTAAGTAAAATATTGCCACTGCCTGGGTAAAAATCTTTAAAAAACTTAAAGGGTGTATGGCTCTATTTTTTGGAACCTTGAAATAGACAAAAAAGGTTCTAAAAATCAGATATTAAGTACGTAAAGTGGTTTATATTCAATTTTTGAAAAAATATTGTAATTTCTAATCAATTATGTTCGGTGAAATATGTAAACAGTTCAAATTGAACAACAGCTGTTTGCGTCTGCTAAGTGCATTCTACGCGTTTTCTAAATTATTATTTTGACATTTACTAATTACTTCCACATTGTGTTGTAGGATGTGTTTTTATTTGTTCATTACAAAATGACACCCAAAACTAGAGGGTACACGACTCATGTACTGATTATAAAATGTTAATTGTGTCTTAAAATATTGGATATTAGGATCCAATAGTTTTTACAGCAAGATAACAACATCAATATTGATTGAAATTGATCAATATTGAATTCTAATTCGTGTTTTTAATTTCAAATATTATGGAAAATATTGAGTTAGAGACTTAGCTCCTTTAAATTACAGATATACCACATACATGTGAATTTCGAAGAAATCATCACATGACTCCCAATATTTTCCGCCATCGTAAATAAAAACTGCACGATTTGTACAATCCCCATAACATTATTTTAAGTAGTGATTTGCCAACATTAAAGGATAACGTCACATATTCATTTTAAACATCCTTATTTATGTTACTATCACAATGCACAGAACTTTACCAAGACAGTGCCTTTAAGCTGCAGATAGGCCCGTTTAGTTAAATATCAAGCTTGGAGCCTGGAAAAACAATAAATACATCTTTCCAGGCTTCATCCCTCATCCAGACGCTTTATTCAGGAACATGGTTTATTGTAATATTCAATTTTAAACAAAGAACCCAAAATATCAACGTAGATAATCTCTGAATAATGCTGAACAGAATTTAACCATTTTTTAACTGATATTCCTTTTAAAGATTTTACTTTCACTGTAACACGGGTATCATTTAATCTTGTGTATTTAGCACTTATTTCTTTCACGTTCATTCAATATCAAATCTTTGTTTAAAAATTCATAAAAATCGTTTAAAATCATCAATAATCATCTAATTGGTACTTGTGTCCAATTTAAAGCTGACCATTCAATTTTGATAACGAGTGTCCAATTTACAAGTTTTTAATTTCTCAATCACTGTTAAAAAATAAACAACCCAATTGAATATTGATTAATTTGTGAACAGTGGTCAGGAGATTAAATACTTGTAAATTGAACGCTCATTATCAAAATTAATCAGTCAGCTTTACTGGACACAAGTACAAATTAGATGATTTGGGGTGACTTTAAATGATTTTTACGAATTTTTAAAGATGGGTTCCCGCGTACAAACTGGGTGATTTAATGGTATATATGGACTAAAAACATAGCTTCAAATCCTTCTCAAACATCGTAATTGCGAAGGAATGTCCTGCTATAAAAATTCGATCAAGCAAGGTCATGTTTACGTCACGCGACTACCTCTCTTGGAAGTCAGAGGAGAATTCATTGCATACATAAGACGATGTTGCCTTTAATCGCTTACTATTTATTACAAATATCGAATCCTAATTAAATTCTCGGATTATCCACTACCCGCGTCTTTTTTATCTCAGAAAGTGTTGTACGTCTAACTCTTCATAAAGTTTATCAACTTGTACATCAAGTGCTCGATGTTCGCGTGTGACCTTTGACATCACGCGTGCAGAAATTCCTAATCGTCGGGCTGTTGATTAGGGGAACCCTTACATTTTTGTCCCGTATAGGCTCCATGAGTGTTTTTCTGGGAATCCAGTATTTTTCTAGTAAGATTGGATATCTCTACTTTCCATATATATAAAAATTACCACACTTTTTTGGGAAATAACCACCCGATAAATACTTTTCTGGGAACCCATCTTTAAACAAAATTTGATATTAAACGAATGTGAAAGAAATTATGCTAGATACACAAGATTAAATGATACCCGGATTACAGTGTTTCACAACATTTTAGTTTGGAAGGGATTAAAAATATCGCAAATCATGATCGGTGGCTTTAAATTCAATTGAAGAGTCCAGAGGAAGAACGATTTAAATCACATTTTTGTCTTTTGGACGAGAATGCTCGATGAGAAAAGAGCAACGAGTGGGTGTAATTACAACTTCAAAATGATGTTTAATACGAATCATTATTACCAGTACAACAACTGACTTCCACTTTTCAGCCAAATTATAGACAAATAAAGGGTAAGATGGACTTGTATTTGTCCGGCGGGGGGGGGGGGGGGCCATTTCAGAAGGGCCTTGGTTCGATGTGACTCCGATCGTTTTTACCTGTAATTGATTGTTCCACAGAAAGCTTATACAATTTGCTACCAGATGGCGCCATTAACTGGGGTTCATTGAAAAAGTCACTTAGATTGTTCTTCCCCGGGGTTCTTCAAATATAAAATCAAATCGATATATAAAGAAACTTACAGATAAAGCCTTGGAGAGTTTAGCTCTATATACAGACAGTAATATAGATATCAAATCATCTCGTACAACATACGCATAACCTCCCTTTAAATATACTTTACGTGATTTCACCAAATCTAACGCATCTGTGAAATAAACCTGAAAAAAAATAAACATATCGTTGAGGAGAAATATCACACAGGACTACGTACTAAAATAGTATGAGAAGGAGAACGGCACGGACAATATACACATAATCAAACAGACAGCCAGGAGACAAACCCAAGGACAACACACTTAAACAAAAAGCCAGGAGACAAACCCAAGGACAACACACACATAAAAAAACAGAAACCCAGGAGACGAACCCAAGGACAACACACACATAAACAAACAGAAACCCAGGAAACAAACCCAAGAAATCGCATAAACTATAAAAGTGGATAAAGAGACAGCATCTCTGAAACTATGGTAGCTCAGTTACTATATCGTTGGCTTACCAACCAAAATGAAATGAAATGAAATGGGGTTTAACGTCCTACTGTTTTGCTCCTAAACTGGGCTAATGAAGACGGGCATACGCCATACAGTGTGCTATGAGGGAAATTTTGCCCGGGCAGCGGCGCTACGGCCTACTCTTATATCGAATTACAACTGTCAATGGATCTTTTACGTGCACGCCAATTTGTACACGGAACCTCGATTTTTCGTCCCATTCGAACGACTAGACAGCTGTCCTTGTCAGGCACTCCGTCCTGCATCACTGACAAGGGGAAACCACGGTGGTAAATCTTAATGAACTTTCTCGGCCAATGCAGGGATCGAACACCCGACCTCCAGGCTAGCGAGCCAGCATCTTACCCACTTAGCCACCTGATCCCCCCACCGACAAGGGAAAACCATGCTGGAAAATCACAATGAACCAGGATCAATCATGGAACCTCCAGGTTAGTGAGCCAACCTCTAACTCACTGAGTCTCCCACACTGATCAGCAGTTAATATTTGCTAGGTCACTATAATCACTGATAAGGAAGACATTGATGCGACTTAATGAGTCTCAAATAATGATCTCAATTAATGATACATTTTCAAACAACAATGACATCTTATACAGAGTACCCCAGGGCTCTGTTCTTAGACCCATTCTATTTACACTAGACACTTCTCCGCTCGGCAAATTAGTTCGGGGTCATGGCTTAGACTATCAGCTGTATGCAGATGATACCCAAATTTATATTGTTTTTAAACCATCTATAACAAATGATTTTAATAACAAAAATGACAAACTAGAAACTTGTATAATTGACATAAAAAAATGGATATAGGAACAAATACTAATCTAAGTAAAATATCTGATTGTAAATCCATATCAATTGCTCAGTCTGTTATTTTACCTGTTAATTCTGCAAGAAATATTGGTGTTATCTTTGACAAAAACATAAACATGATTAGTCAAATTAATAATGTATGTAAAAGCTGCTATTTCCACATTTACAATATAGGTAAAATTAGAAAATATATTTCACTAGATGCAACTAAATCACTTGTTCATGCTTTTATAACTTCTAGGCTTGATAATTTTAATTCTCTCCTTGCTGGTCTTCTTGTAAAACACCTAGATAAACTTCAAAATTGTGCTGCCAGATTGATAACTCCAATTTTTGCTTCTTTACAATGGTTACCCATTAAGTACCGCATTAATTTTAAAATACTTTTAATGACACTTCACCCTCTTATATAAAAGATTTAATCACTGTATATACGCCAACTAGATGTTTGAAGTCATCTAGTGACCCCTTTCTCCTTAAACCCATCTCTGTAAATCTTTCTTCTTTCGGAGAATGATCCTTCTCTTTCCAGGCACCGAGACTCTGGAATAAGCTCCCTTTTTTCATAAGGTCAGCAAAATCTATTACAATATTCAAGCAATCACTAAAAACACATTTTTATACACAGGCTTTTAGTTAAAAAGATTCTATATATCTTGCATTTTATCATATGATTATGTCATTCTCTATATGTATGTAATTTTATCATTTAGACATTTATGTACATTTGAATTTTATATTGATTCAATTTATGTTTTTGTAAAGCGCCTCTGAGCATTGCTCTGCAGTGGAAGACGAGCACTGTATAAATATTGTTTTAATAATAATAATTAATAATAATAAAAATATTAACTTTTTTCCACCGACAAATTAAATTCTAAAACATTTTTTTGATGTATTAGAAAATTAAATAAAGACGTTTGATGTATTTGTAGGTAAAAATTATTTCCTATTTAGTGTAAATGGGTATGAAAATGACTAAAAGGCATCATTCTGCCCAAAGCAGTAACGTCTTATGTAAACAATTAACGTGCCATTCAGCCAATGATTGACGCCGCATGCTGTAACAGCACGTGTTAAAGGCAGTCATCTTTTACAGAGAAAACTTGTAATTCTCTGTGAAACAGATTATGAGTCTCCAAGTTAATGAACAATAACGAGAAACTATCAAATAATCTTCTTACACTATGGCCAATCTGATTAAAATACAGATCTATATTTCATTTTGTTTTTTATACTTTCAATGGCCTACATGAAGATCTGACTGAGAGGTCCCATCAGAGGTCATACAAGTGGCTTTTGACCCTATGACGTCAGACATTGATTAACCAATCAGCGTTGAAGTTTCTAGTGGTTTACCCACAGTTCCCTGTACCAAACGGCAAGAACTCGCCGAAACAGACCGTTTCATTGGCTAATCCTTCACATCATCCAGAACACGTCAATGATAGCAACTCTTCCAAACCCTAGTGTAGTAAAGACAAGTAAAACGAAATTTTGAACTATAAAAAAAACGAAATGAAATTGGATCTGTGTTTTAATCAGATTGCAACATCACATAAACAATTAGAGATATCTTTATGAAACTTTTCACAAATCTACCTATTATAATAGTTGTGTCTTTTGTTAAACAGAAATATCTTGGATTTAATAATTCTTGTATTTCCATGGAAACAAATTTGTCTAAGTCTAACCTTAAAGAAATCAGCAGTAGAAACGTGACCTGAACTAATAGAATAGGCTAATTCTCCACTTATCTTCTCTTTTTCTTCATTAGGTATCTAAAAAAAAATACATTTCAATAATTAAATTCCACAAAAATCCATTAATCGATACTACATCACATTGTTTGCACAAATTCAAATAATTTTTAACAGGCTGGATATTACACCTCATGATAATAATGATTTAGTATAAAGAAACAAACTAATTTGAGCCAATTACAATAGCTTGCCTAAATCCAAATAAAATCAAAAGTCTCATTAAACATGCATTATGTAAGAGCTAAATCTGCCAATTGCAGGTCTTTCTTTAGGCCTTAAATGTTATCAAAATTATTAATTAGACATTTATTAACTTATCCAGACCATAATCAACTCTTGATGCCATTGCTAGCCTGCGATATTTACTGGATTAGGATCCGATCTAAGGCCCAAAATTCAATTGCTAAACTCTCGGTTCAGAGTGGATCAATTTGACTGAAATTTTCAGCAAATTCTCTTTACATTATCTAGTTTTTAACTGTTATAGTGAGGAATACCAACTCTTTATCTAATCTCCCATAATGTATCTTTAAGTTAAATAACATTTTTTCTTAATTTAATCTTTGTTGAAAATTATATGGCACATCTTAAGTCATATGTATTATATTTGACACAAGGAGAGGGAGAGAGAAATGGGGTTTAACGTCCACTTGACACAAACTAGGTCATTTCATGACTAACAAATGGTTTAATTTTATTTCATTAATTCGCATGCGCACAGAGGTCATTAGCAGTGGGAGGAAACTGGAGAAAACCCACGAGGTTGGACAAGCGACCCTACTCCTTGTCACGTACAAGCGGGAAATCGAAACCACGCCACTAGACTCAATGACAGACTTGATGATGCAACTCGCACTTGTTAATCATTCGGCCACCCAACCCCTCTGTGAACAGTTAATATAGTTTCTGATAAATATGATTTTTCAGTTAAACATTTCTTCAACCATCTGCAGATTTCAAAGTTTGTAATATATAAATCAAAGTTTTAACTTACTGGTGTATAATCAAGATTATTTAAAATCAGGAATTCTTGGCTACCCTGAATACTTTCATTTTGGAACCGGTATCGAAATAAATCTAATTCTTGTTGTAAAAACCAGCGACGCAGTTCCTCACTAAAATGAAAGATGATTTAAATCATAATATACTTAAAACGTGAAATTTTCAATTCTAAAACAAAATTTTCAATTCTAAAACAAAATTTTAACATCAAAGACACAAACAAAATTTTAACATCAAAGACACAAACAAAACTTTAACATCAAAGGCCAGTTAAATGGAATTCAATTACATGATCATGATCAAGAGAGAGAGAGAGAGAGAGAGAGAGAGAGAGAGAGAGAGAGATTTGATATTAAACGAATGTGAAAGAAATTAGTGCTAGATAAACAAGATTAAACGATACCTGGGTTACAGTGTATGGTTCAATTTTATTTCAATAATTCTCTTGGGCGTACAGGACTTTAGCAGTGGGAGGAAACAGGACCCGGAGAAAATCCACGAGGTTGGACAGGCAACCCTACTCCTTGTCACGTACAACCGGGGAATCAAAACCATGCCAGTTGACTCAATGACAGACCTTATGATGCAACGTGCTAACTATTCGGCCATCCAACTCCCCATCTTACTTCAGAATGTTAGATTTTGCATGAGTTTACTGTGTTCCTGCACATATGGAACAACCATTATACATGTAGTAGATTTTTAGCCCATCTTACTTCTGAATGTTCTCGTTGTTAGGCTTTGCTTATGTTTACTCACTACATGTTGTTTTCATGTAGTGCGGTCCTCCTGCACATATACGCTCATATATGGCGCGACCTTTCAACTATATATTGTTCTCTTACCATTTCCATGCACAACCTTTCAACTAGTGTTCTTTTACAATTTTCAAGCACAAGCATCATCTGTGCTTCAAAACTTTAAGAGAACACTTGATGAAAAGTTGCACCATACAAGAATGTAGGGAAATGAAATGGGGTTTAACGTCCTACTGTTTTGCTCCGAACTGGGTTAATAAAGACGGGCATACGCCATACAGTGTGCTATGAGGGAAATTTTGCCCCCGGACAGCGGCACTACGGCCTACTCTTACATCGAATTCCAACTGTCAAGGGATCTTTTACGTGCACGCCAATGTGTACACGGGACCTTGGTTTTTCGTCTCATCCGAATGACTAGACAGCTGTCCCTGTCAGGCCCTCTGCCCTGCATCACTGACAAGGGGGAACCACGCCGGAAAATCGGGATGAACTTTTTCGGCCAATGCAGTAGGCCTACAATAAATCAGTGATTGTATCCGATATAAATAATCTTTATGATGTTCATGTTATTAAATAATCACTAAATGCAAACCAACGATTCAAATCTTTAATATGCTTATACATATATCTGTTTTCTGAAAGTTGCTTTAATAACACTTCACAGATGATAACACATCGTCACAAATTAAACGTTGATAATGTGAATGTGTTCAATCGCTAAATGTCACTCAATGATTAAAATCTTTAACATGTTTATAATTTATACATAAAATATATAATCTGTTTTCTAAAAGTTTTTTTAATCCTTTTTCAAAGAGGGCCAACTTATCCTCTCAAATCAAAACCTTGGTAATTTTTCTTTAATTCTAAATCTGATGACATAAAGAAAAGAACTTACGATCTACAATATGCTAATCTCAGTATAAAGTGAGAAATATGATCCAGTTTTCTTCCATAAATATCATCTTCTGTTAAATTCTCCTTTCCTGATGTCTACAACATAAAATAAGATAATCGTTTTAAAGTAAATAAAATGAAATGGGGTTTAACGTCTTACTATTCTGCTCCGACTGGGCTAATGAAGACTGGCATACACCCTACAGTGTGCTATGAGGGAAATTTTGCCCGGACAGCGGCACTACGGCCTACTCTTATATTGAATTCCAGCTGTCAAGGGATCTTTAACGTGCACTCTACTAATGTGTACACAGGACCCGTTTCTCGTCCTTGCCAGGCTCTCTGTCCTGCACCACTGATAAGGGGAAACCACGCCAGGAAACCTTGATGAACTTTCTCAACCAAAGTTGTTCTTGGAAGTTACGAAATAGGTACCGTTACATGTACCATTTGCAAACAAGAAGCAAATATATTTACCACTACGTTTTAAAAGCTAACAAATTAAAGTTACAATTTCATATTTTTAAGTTATATTTTTAAAATGTATTAAAATAAAGCCCTAAAAAAGATGGTATCTATAAACAGTCCTACCTTGTTACACTAGGGACCGGGTATCATTCAGATTTGATGAAAAAAGGAAAGAAACTGAGCTTACCATCTATAATCTAATACACATATTCAGTTAATAGATCGCCATGCAGAAAGTGTTAAATACCATCAAGATTCATCAAATAACGCCCAGTTTGTGCTACCGTTTAGTTTGACATCGGTTGTCTAGTTTATGAAACTAAATGGTCATAAACTGGACCAATACCATCAAGATTCATCAAATAACGCCCAGTTTGTGCTACCGTTTAGTTTGACATCGGTTGTCTAGTTTATGAAACTAAATGGTCATAAACTGGACCAATATCAAAACTAAACTAAATGGTCATAAACTAGATGACCGATGTCAAAACTAAATGGTGTTTCTTAAACTAATCGGTAGCACAAACTGGGCGTTATTTGATGAATCTTGATGGTATTTAATACTTTCTGCATGGCAATCTATTAACTGAATATGTGTATTAGATTATAGATGGTAAGCTCAGTTTCTTTCCTTTTTTCATCAAATCTGAATTATACCCTTCCCTAGTGTTAAAGAATAATCCTATTAATCCTATAATTCACTATTGCCAGTTGAGAAATTGGCAAAAATATCATTTTCAACTTCAAATTCAAACGTTTGAAGATAGCTATTCCATTGTGGGGAATAGGAAAACAAGGGAAGTAATTGGGAGGTAATTGTGTTATTATTTCCGGTGTGAGAAAGATAACCTATGATTGTATAATAGTGAGTTGACAACCTATAGAAATAATTATGTTTTGACTTTCTTAAAAAATATGAAATTGTAACTTTAAATGTATGATTTAAGGCTACGGCCAGCTAGAGTAATGATACTAACAGATATCAAGACACTGATTTAATTTATACTCACCTTTAAAATATTCCTCAATTTAGTTTTTCTTATTTCCTTATGAAGAAGATCATTATAAGCTTCCGTACCACGAATATGTTTAATACCTGCTGTCTCACATGCCTTCAGAACTGAAATAATATAATAATAATAAAGACATAAAGATAGATTAGGCTACCCCAGTATTAATGTAAACCATTCACTATCAAGGGGGTTGGATGGCCGAACCGTTAGCACGTGCACGCGCTGCATCATTAGGTCTGTCATTGAGTCAAGTGGCATGGTTCCGATTCCCCGGTATGTGACAAGGAGTGAGTACTAGAGTAGGGTCACCTGTCCAACCTTGTGAGTTTTCTCTGGGTCCTCCGGTTTCCTCCCACTGCTAAAGACCCCTATGTGCAAGCGAATTACTGAAATAAAATTGAACCATGTGTTAGTCCCGAAATGACCTAGTTTGTGTCAAGTGGACGTTAATTAATTTAAACCCCATTATTAAGTCTCTCACCTTTCAATCGCTCTACAGCAAACTCTTCAAATTCTTGTAAAGAAATCGTTTCAGTTGGTGGAACAGAATAAAACTGGAGGACATGTGGATATTGCTCTGCTCCATCGAATTTTTTCCTTTTGTGTGATTTTACCCTTGTTCTAATGTCCATTTTTGTGATTAATCTCAGAAATTGACAAAATTCAACATAAATCTCCCGCCAAATTAAATGCGTCTAAAATCTCGATATGGATATCCGTGTCTGTTTTCATGTAAAATTGAAGAAAAGAGCGACTTTAATGATACAAATGAATGACAATATATTGGATATTATGTTGTACTGTTTATAATTTCTACAAAAAGGATAAATATAGTGATATGAAATAAATAAATCTTTAAAGAGAAGATCCAAATCCCCAAATATAAACAACCGAGCAGCTCTCTATTTACTTCCGGTTCGGTCATGTGATCAAAACAGACGATATGGCGATTCCAAGTTTCGTTTTGGCAGCGGGATGGATTCCCTTTGTTGTCATTTTAGTGGTAATTAAAGCTAATTATAAGCACTAATTAAGTTGGGCTCATTATCTGTGGACCATTCTAATCGTTAGTTTATAATTTGACAGAGAATGTTGACCGTTATATTAGTCGTCAAAAGAAAGTGCGTTTTCAAAACGAGTCAACACTCAAAAAAAAAAAAATAAAAAAATAACATTGTTGACTCATTGTCATAAGATTATATATTTTGTTTTTTATCTCATCATTATTCATTATCACATCGTTAACAATTAGAGATCTTTATACGAAAATGATTATTTTGTCATAGTAGTTGTCAGGCATTTCATGATCAACTGTTATAAAATAAAGATAATAATAAAGGATGAAGTCTCTTTGATTTCTTGGGTCAGAAATATATAGTCTTGTTGAATGCATGACCATTTGGACAAAAAAAACCCACTCGAACGAAGACCAGTGGATAGACCACCCAGACTAATGTTTTTGAAATAAAAAAACATTAATACTTCACACTTTATTATTTCCAAAAATTGGTCCAAGTATAGTGTTATTAAAGTATGTTGTTTAACTTGTTTTTTAATAAATTGATAATTGTGTTTGTTTTAACACATTTCTTTTCTTTGAAATAAAAGTGTTATATTCTTACCTGTGGTCTTTAGTCCCAGTTGTCTGGTTAAGGTCTTGTTCAGCCAAGCACATAATCCATTTTGCTTAGTCTAATCCACGATTCACAATTCCACGCTTTGTTTACTGAATGATTGTCCTACTACATATTAAGAGCATATGATGGGATTTTGCAGATCATATCGAAAATGTTAAAAAAAGTTACCTGGTAGTTGTAGCCTTTTGTCATACTTGCTTTTGTACAAGCCGGGCTAATGAGATAGGCTTTTATATCAGTATTTTTAAGTATATTTATAATTCATTTCCAGCACAAAATGGCAAGTACTAGCTCAACAGTGACTGATATTTTTTATTTCTAAGTCTGCTTACAAAGTAGCTGGCTCACCAGCCTGGAGGTCGCATGTTCGATCCCTGCATTGGCCAAGAAAGTTCATTGTGATTTTCCGATGTGGTTTCCCCTTGTTAGTGGTGCAGGATGGAGGGCCTGACAAGTAAAGCTGTCTAGTTGTTCAGATGGGACGGAAAACCAAGTTCCTGTGTATACATTGGCGTGCACAGAAAAAAGATCTTTTGGCAGTTGGAATTCAAGGCCATATAGTGCCCGGGCAAAAATTTCCCTCATAGCACTGTATGGCATATGCCCGTCTTCATTAGCTTAGTATAGGAGCAGAACAGTCAGACGTTAAACCCTATTTCATTTCATTTGCTTACAAAGTATTCTTGTTTTTCAGTGTATCCTGATATTTTCTGCTTCATATATTCGTTACTATATGAGCAAATATGACAGTGAATTATCATCGACTTTGGCAGCCATATTTGCCCTGGCCATAGCCCTGTTTACCACAGCTCTGATTCCAGTTGATATTTTCCTGGTTTCGTACATGAAAAATTCAGATGGAGATTATGAGGTTTGACATTTTTAATTGACTTCATGTCAACTTGGGGTAAAAACTAAGGCTGACCTTAAAAATATCTTTGTTTCACCTAACGCGACCGACTAACTAAAACCACCCCCGACTTAAATTATTTTATTGCACTTTTCCACGATCTTTTTATTTTATTTTGTGTGTCAACCTGAAATATATCATGAGAGTTATTTCCCTATACTATGGCTATGGTTTGATTCATTATTGAAACTGGTTGATCAAGACGAAAGCGTCATAGGTGTCGCTTCTCAACAAAATGGTTGCAGACGAATACACGTCCATTCCCACGAAATAATTCTGCCTCTATGTCTGTGGTGCGTAGTTTTAAACATGACGACGATATTTTCAATATCCGTTTTCGAGAAAAATGAAAGCACAACGCGCACTATCGTTAAAAACGTGTTGAAGGAGTTTCACACTTCAAGTTCGTGGCTAATCGTATGCGAGTCGGGCATCACGAAAAATCCCGATGTCATTGATTTGTTTGCCAATAAAGAAGACGAATGTTTCCACCCGGAAAATTATTAAGCTGTCAAATTAGCTCTTAAGTTTAATAAAAACTTTCAGTTCGTTACTTTTTACGTCAGACCCCAAATTCATTAAACAAAATTAATGAATCTGTAGTATACAGCTAATAAGTTTTCTGTATTGATTTCTCTGACTTTAAAAAAAAATCTGAAAAAAAAACCGACCTACCGACCCTTCTCCTCGATGTGGGTCGGGTTTGGTGAAACAAAGATATTTTTAAGGTCAGCCTAATGATGGATACCATCTAATTAAAAAAATCTCTTATTTGATTTAATCTTTGAATGGCATTTAGCGATTGAACATAAGATGACACAATACAGTTCTATGAATATAATATAGTGATTGTTATCCATACAACTGTGTTGTGTTATCTTATTCAATTCTTTTAGAAATATTGTTTCTTTACAAATTTGTTTAGTGTGAAAACCAATAAAGGATATACCATTTAATTCAGCAATCCCTTATTTGATTCTTTAAAAAATATTGGATCAAGTTTAAACATACATTATGCAAGAGCTAAATCTGCCTATTGCAGGTCTTTCTTTAGGCCTGAAATGTTATCTAAATTATTAATTAGACATTAATTAACTTATCCAGACCATAATCAACTCTCGATGGCATCGCTAGCCTGCGATCTTTAGTGGATTATGAACTGATTTACTGCATAACTTTCCTTAACGATTTAACGATTAAATGGATAATCGAGACTATGCTGTTTATCGTACTGACTTTAGTAATGATGATCGAGGCTAGGCGGAAATTTAAATTGTTTAGTTCTCGGTTCATGGTGGATCAATTTGAATGAAATTTTCAGCAAATTGCCTTTACATTATCTAGTTTTTAACTATTATAGTGAGAACTGCCAACTCGTTATCGAATCTCCCATAATGTATCTTTAATAAATTTCCTTAGTGAAAACCAATAAAAAGTACCACACATCTAATTCAACAATCTCTTATTATTTGACACTTTTAAAACAAAAGAATTTTTAAAATATAATTATATCAATCAAATTTAAGTGAGTTTTTTTTTAAAATTAAATTAATCATTTACATGTATATGCAGTGCCAATAGTTTAAAGAATAATTTACAAGGTTAGCACACTCCTTGAAACTACTTAAAAATCCTGGAAAAATGAAAATGTAATTTCCAGTACTAGAAAATCCTGGAAAAACAAGATTACTCCTTGAAACTCCTGGAAAATTAACCTTTGTGGTTTCGCTCTATATTTTAAGATATAAAACTGAACGTAGTCATTGAATGTTTCTTCCATAGTTCACGAATTAGTCACCATAAATTTTCTTCAAGCATAAAAAAAATATATTATGATGTAGAATTCTATACAGGGACCCCTGGAATCTGATAAATAACTCCTGGAAAACTCCTGGAATTTTAAGTGTTCTGAGTTGTGCAAACCCTGCAATATCTGTACCAGTATTTAATTTATTTTATATTTTAAGGATTGGGCCAATAGTTCATCGGTTCGTAAAGAAATAGAAAAATCAGTTCTCTATGCTTATCTCTGTAAGTAATGTCTTATCCAGTATGTATTAATATGTCTACTTCAAGAAATTATAAATTTATTACCATGTATTTGTGACTTGCTTGATTGAAACTGGCAGGGCTAGGGGAATAGGTTCAAGGGAGATAAATCTCTTATTAGTGTTGTAAATGTCGTCGAAAAAACAAACAAAGTGTCATATACCAGTATGGAATTAAAATACAGATCTAATGTCTTATAGGCACTGTACCAATCATATTTTTTGTGAATAGAAATTGGCTATAATGTTGAAGTTATCTTAAGAACCCAAGCAATACATTACATAGTATATTATTATATAGATACGACTTCCTGGTGCAGTAAAAGTTCCTCTGTATTGTCCGGTTTGGTTTCGTTTGTCAGGATGGAGGTCCTGCAGCAAGCACAGTGTTTAGTCATTTGGATAAGACTAAAAACTGAGGACCAGTGTACATGGGCATGCACCTACATGTAAAAGCAGCCTTGACAGTTGGAATTCAATATATAAGCAGACCGTAGCGTCGCTATCCAGTCAAAATGTCCCTCATAGTACACTGTATGGCGTATGCCTGTCTTTATTAGCACAGTTGTTGCCGAAAAGTAGGACGTTAAACCCCATTTCTTTTTATTTCATTGTGCAGTATCAATACCTTTCTTAATGTCTCACATTTAACCTTTAAACCAGACAGTTACATGGGCTTTATTTACGAAACGTTTCTATTTATATAACAAACAAGGTAGTATTATATGTAATTATCTTTTTCTTTTATCTTGATCTGACTTTACAATCTGATTAAAACACAGATCCTATTTCATTTCGTTTTTTTATAGTTTAAATTTTCGTTTTACTTGTCTTTACTGCACTAGGATCTGGAAGAGTTGTTATATAACCCACGTTTCAGATGATGTGAGGGATTAGCTAATGAAACGATCTGTTACGACAAGTTTTTGGTGTGAGGTGCACAGAACTGTGTATAACCCACTAGAAACATCAATGGTGATTGGTTAATCGAATGTCTGATGTCATAGGGTCAAAAGCCGCTCATTTGACCACTGCTGCGGCCTTCCACTATAACTGGTCAGATCTTCATGTAGTACAGGCCATCGAAAGTTTAAAAAAACGAAACGAAATATAGATCTGTATTTTAATCTGATTAGTGAATTTACTACTGCAATTTTTTTATTTTACTTTCTTTTTTTTTCAGCATTATATTGCTTGGTGGCTTTCTGTATTTTTATACTCTTGCCATTTATTTATTTCTTTTATGAAGAAAAAGATGAAGCTTCAACCTGTAAATCGGTAAGACATTATACATATTCTTACAACTAAAGGAAAACTTTATTTATTTTCTGATACACTGAGCACTGGTTCATCATTTGTGCTTTAACTCAAATATCATATTTCTCATTGCTTAATCCACATTAATATATACTTAGATTGATTATTTAATTAAGAAAACAAAATCAAAATATCAACGCTAGATAATCTCACAACTTGAATTCGATTGAATTTAAACTAGATCCATTAGGTTTGCTAGCAAGGAAAGATGACAGCATCTCGTTATGGTGAGCAGCATAGATCAATGAAATTTCACTTTATCATAACTTTGTAAATATTCACCAGGGCCCTTATTCACGAAAACTTAAACTAAGATACAATCGAAATTTTAAGAAATACTGCAATTCGATTGGCTGACCAATATGCAAATTGGATATATGCAAACTGATTTTACTGGTCAGCCAATCGAATTGCAGTATTTCTTAAAATTTCGATTGTATCTTAGTCTAATTTTTTGTGAATAAGGGCCCATAGAATTGAATTTATTATAGAATTGAGGCATTTTTTGAAAAAAATCGTATTTGTTATAAAAAGGAATAAATAAGTTACTCTTTATATAAAACATTGTGTACATATGTATGTAAATTGAATTATTTTTACAGAGATGTTGTACTGCATTGAAATATCTGATAGTTTTTATCATCTTCGCTGCTGTCCTGTGTTTTATTGGGTAAAATGTAGTATTTTTATTTATATTTCCAGTTTAATGAATTTAAATTAGATTTAGACTGTATTTTATTTTTATATTGTTTGACAGACAGACAGAGAGAAATGAGGTTTAACGTTCATTCGACAAAAACTAGGTCATTTCGGAACTAATATATGGTTCAATTTTATTTCAATAATTCGCTTATATTTAGGGGTCTTTAGCAGTAGTATGAAACTGGAGTACCCGGAGAAAACCTACGAGGTTGGACAAGTGACCATACTCCTTTACTCGTACAACTGGTTATTTTTAGACTACATTTATGTAGAGTAGAAGGGAACTGCAGTAGCCCATTGAGTAAGATGCTGGCTCAGTAATCAGGAGGTTTCGGGTTCACTCCTCCGGATTTTTTGGCATGGTTTCCCCTTGTCAGTTGTGCAAGGACAATGTATAGTCATTTGGTTGTCCCATGTATACAATGGCGTGCACATAAAAGAACCATTTTCGAAATAAGAGTAGGCTGTAGTGCCGCTGTCCCGGCAAAATTTCCCTCATAGCACACTGCATGGTGTATGTCTATTTTTATTAGCCCAGTCAGTGCAGAAAAGTAGGATGTTAAACCTCATTTCATGAGTAGACCTCAAGTTTATTAAAAAACACTGTGCTTGATAATGATAAGAAGATACTTGTGGAAACATTGTGCTTTTAGAATAAAACTAGTGATTGTATCCCATATAAACTGTGTTCTGTAAAATTAGAACAGTTTGGCGATTTAATGATTTTATTTAAAAATGGAGAAATGATGCCAAGACTCGAAATCTTCTCAAAACTACAACTATTGATAACTTCGCTCAAAATAAAGTAATTTGATCTAAATTTTCAATATATTCATTTTGCATTATGTATTTTTGAAATATTATAGCGAGAATGGCCAGCTCTTTATCTAAATCTTACATAATACCCCTTTAATAGTAAGTGAGGACCGCCACTACACACAAAGCAAAAATTTACAAGATAAACCTGCAGACAAGACAGAATATAGACATTGTACCAAATAAACAAATATCAAACCAGAAAAGGCTCAAGGGGCTATTAATAGGCTTTTGCCGGTTATACCTTCCAACTTCTGAGAATACATATTGTTTTTTAAAAAAAAAAAGGTCTCATGCCTTTGCAATTAAAAGTATATTATGTTTTTTATAGAGCTTTTGTTCCAACTAAATCCCTTCCTGCAACCAATAGTACACAATGGAAACAGATAGAAGCTTTAATAAAAGACATGGGACATAATGGTAAATATAGTTATGGGTAGCCATAACAGGTGTCTTCCAAAACCACTAATTTCATTTTAAGCAAACTATTCAGGCCTTAACTGAGATTGTGTAGATTGTTCACTTGATATAGTAATTGGGCAGATAGCCGTTTAGATTTCTCTCACAAAGATAAAGCTACTAATTTCTTATTTAAGCGAGCTTGTCAGGCTTAAACATATATTATGCAAGAGCTAAATCTGCCTATTGCAGGTCTTTCTTTAAGCCTGAAATGTTATCTAAATTATTAATTAGACATTAATGAACTTATCCAGACCATAATCAACTTTCGCTAGCCTGCGGTATTTAGCAGATTGAAATACATTTTTTGTAAAATAATTAAATGGATAATCGATAGGGTTTTTTTTGTCGTACCGACTTGTAATGATGATCGAGGCTAGGCCTAAAATTCAAAAGCTAATATCTCGGTTCAGAGTGGAGCAATTTGACTGAAATATTCTGCATATTCTATTTACATTATCTATTTTGTAACTATTATAGTGATTAACAGTCAACTCTCTATCTAATCTCCCATAATACCTCTTTAAAGGGACAATAACACTCTTGCTGGCTTGAAAGCTCCAGAAAATAAATAATATCTCTATCTAAGTATACTATTCAAAAAAAGTAGGGGATATTTGATTTTTAAGTGTTATTAAAGTCACCTTATGAAACTCACGAAGAAACAAATGACAAAATGAAATGAAGTTCACATTCATCGATTTATTCCAAATGATCGTTAGACTAAGTAAGGCACAGACTGACCATTATAAGGGTAAAATGATACCCGGGGTCAAACGGCAAAGTTACCACAGCATCACAACCAAGTCAGTAACGGGTAAATCCTCCTCTGTTTGCCAAACAAGCATTAATCCGACGTGGCATACTCCTAATGAGACGTCTAAGGTCATTTTGGTCCAGATTGTCCCATTCCTGTTGCAACGCAGCAGCAAGTTCTTGGACATTGGCAGGACGTTGTTGACGTTGACGTTACCTCTGTCCAAGCATGTCCCAGACATGCTCGATGGGGGAGAGGTCGGGACTCAGTGCTGGCCAAGGTAATGTGGTGATGTTCTGTTGTTGGAGGTAACCTGTAACGATCCTGGCCCTGTGACATCTTGCGTTGTCATCCTGGAAGATGAAACGGCGGCCATGACGTCGTGCGAACGGCACAACATGGACTGCCAAGATGTTGTCCCGGTAGTACTGGCCTGTGACACGCCCTGCAACAACATGTAAAGCCGTTCTTCCAGCAACAGTGATGCCTCCCCACACCATAACAGAACCACCCCCAAATCGATCATGTCTGATGACGTTAACGTCTTGGAAGCGCTCGTTTCGACGACGCCACACCCTCCTACGTCTGTCCAAAAAATCAACAGTGAACCTTGACTCATCTGAAAACATCACATTGCTCCAGCGTCGATTATCCCAGTGTTGACGATCCCTACACCAACGACGTCTTGCCTGAATGTGATGATCTCTCAAACAAGGGATCACGCGAGGACGTCGGGCGCGAAGGTGACCCTTATGCAGTCGATTCCGAATCGTCTGGCCACTCACTCTCACACCAGTGTCTGTTTGAAGACGAGCGCTGATCTGATTTGCTGTGATGACACGATTTCTCAAGGCCAAGGTACGGATAAATCGATCCTGGGCTTGAGTTGTCGCCCTTGGTCGACCTGAGCGTGGTCTGTCCTGTACAGATTGTGTATCACGGTATCTGGACCATAGCCTGCTTATAACAGACTGAGAAACATTCATCGTCCGCGCCACAACCGCCTGTGTTGTGCCGATCTGTAGCATGCCAAGGGCACGTAACCTTTCATTTTAGGTAAGCCGACGCATATCAAAATTTGTTTTCTGGTCACTAAAACAATTAAACTGATGTTTCCACCCTGGAATTCAATGCCACAATGACTGTAACATTCAAAGTCAGAGTCGTGCAAATCTTGGGTTGGACCCCCATGATGATCCCAAGCATCACCTGCATTCCATGCGGTAGCTATTGGTGCGTTTGGGCGTCACATGTAACTGGAAATGTTTCTTCTGTTAGGTTCTATAGTGACTTTTTTCGTAGTCATTTGCATATTTTAGTATTATGCCCCCAAAATCAAATATCCCCTACTTTTTTTGAATAGTATACTAGATATTTAAGTGTCCTACCTGTTGTGTAAATTATCCATTACATCCTATTTTACTTGTCCAGAGGGTTCGAAAAAATATTTTTAAATCGAAGTTTCATTTGAAAAGGTTTACGTTAGACGTTTCAAACCATTATGTTGAATTTTTCAAAATTTTTAAATAAGGTTTGTTAAGATGAAATTTGTATCATCAATTAATTGACATATTCTAAAATAGTACAATTTGTTGTCCAAAATAAAGATTGGGACATATTATTCAGTTACAACAAGAGTGGTATTGAGCCTTTAAGTTATATTTTGCGACTGTTGCCGTTATTCCCTTTCTGTGTTTTTCAGGTGGTGAAGATGCTATATCATTTACTATCAGTGTATTAAGTTTGATTGGAATGTTCTCTTTAATACTTTACACCGTAAGTTTATTTATTTTTGATTGTCAATGAATTTGGATAAAATTTGAAAAAATATTTATGACATAGAAGTTTTAATCTTGGAAATCACTGCAATTAATTTGTTAATCGTATACCCTTCATGGTTCGACTTATGATATAGTACATGTTATTATGTTTATGCGGGGTGGTTGGATGTCCGCATGGTTAGTGTGTGTGCATTGTATCGTAAGTTCTGTCATTGAGTCAACTAGCTTGGTTTCGAATTCACACTTGTATGTGACATTTAGTAGGGTCACCTGCCAACCTCGTGGGTTTTTTTCTGAGTCCACCAGTTTCCACCCACAGCTAATTAAAGACACCTACGCGCAATTGAATTAATAGAATAAAATTAGTCCTGATAAGACATAGTTTGTGTAGAGTGGACGTTAAACCTCATTTCTTTCACTCTCTGCTATAGCAAGTGTTACTGCTTGTGAAAATGAGGTATCAGCATTGTTATATTAAAAGACTGTTGATAGTTCATGAGCATGTTACAAATTTTAGGGCAGAACCATATTTGAAATTATGAATATTGAGATAACGATATAAAAATCCTTAATATATTGTCATTATTGCAATATTATAGTGCTTCGAGCACCGCGAAATTAAACAGGGTTGGTTAAACGATTTATTGCCTTATTGTAGTAGTTTGGATGGTCCAAAAATTATTCTCAATAAAATCATATTACCATATGATAATGATTTATTGAAATTATTGTCCAACCCAAACAAAATTTCAAACAAAATTTTTTTTAAAAGAATTATTTATATACAATAGGAGAGGGGTTAACATAGGTCAATCCAATTTCAAATGAAATAAAATATTGTTTGTATAAAAAAATACACCAGTCTGGTTAAAATACAGATTTATATTTCGTTTCGTTTTTTTATACTTTCAATGGCCTACACTACATGAAGATCTGACCGGTTGTGGTAAAAGGTCGCGTCAGGGATCGTACAAGCGGCTTTTGACCATATGACATCAGACATTGATTAATCAATCAGTGTTGACGTTTCTAGTGGTTTACCCACAGTTCTGTGCATCGAATGCCAAGAAATCGCCGTAACAGACCATTTCATTGGCTAATCTCTCCAACCAGAACACCAGATATATAACAACTCTTCCAGATTCTAGTGTAGTACAGACAAATAAAACGAAATTTTGATCTATAAAAAACAAAACGAAATAGGATCTGTGTTTTAATCAGATTGAAAATACACTTAATATAGACACAGCACTGTAATTATACACCTCTGTGTTGACTAATTGTATTATATTGTTATAATTCAGGCATATGGGATGTCATCTCTTCCTATTGGACTGATTAGAGGTCGTCTAGATGCCAAGAAAGAACGAATGGAAGTACAAGGAAAATGTGAATCAACCGGGGAGGAAATACGAAGAAAAAGGGTAAGTTGGGGAGGGGTGCGTGCCTACCATATAGGTAGCTCAGTGAGCAAGGTGTGGATTCTTTCCTGATATTGTCAGCAAATGATCTCCGGATCTTTTAGCTTGGTTTTCCCTTGTTAGTTATGTGGTCAGAGGACATAGCAAGGGCATCGCATCACCTAGTTAATCAGATGGGATGAAAAACTGAGGTCCCTTGTGAATGTTTTAGTGCACGTAAAAGAACCCTTGACCATTGGAATTCAATTGCTGTCCGGGCGAAATGTCACTCGTAGCACACTGTATGGTGTATGCCTGTCTACATCAGCCCAGTTGAGGGTTGGATGACTGAATGGTTAGCGCATGTGCATTCAATCCTAAGGTCTGTCATTGAGTCAATTGGCTTGGTTTGATTCTCTGGTTGTACATGACAAGGAGTAGGGTCGCCTGTCCAACCTTGGTGGGTTTTCTCCGTGTCCTCCAGTTTCCTCCCACTGCTAAAGACCCCTAGGCGCAAGCAAATTATTGATATAAAATTGAACCATATGTTCGTCCTGAAATGACTTAGTTTGTGTGGATGTTAAACGCCATCTCTCTCTCTCTCTCTCTCTCTCTCTCTCTCTCTCTCAGTTTTTGTGTGTTAGTTCATGTTGAATATTATATCCTGTTGGATTTTTGAATATCCTTTTATAATCAACAGAATAAGGGGCGTAAAAGATTGACGAAGCATGAGGAAACATCGGTTAAGAAACTAGAAGAATCAGAACATCTGATGGAGAGACGATTACGCCATCTTCTGGCTAAAGAGAACAGCTGCGTAAACAAATGTCTGAAAGTTCTTCGACCGTTTGAGATGATTTTTGGAATCTTGATATCTCTGATTGGTCTATTGGTGTTTGTTTCACTGCTGCTCAGCAAGTAAGATTTGGTCGTAGTTTATATAATAATTCCTATACTGTTGGCAAGTAAGATATTAGAGAGGTTTCGCAACTTTATATTTACATTTAGACCGTTAAACGTCATCAGTTTTTGTGACGTATGACGTGAAGCGCACGTCATAAAAGTGTAGACAAAATAAGAAGAGGCTGAGACAAAACGTGCGTGCTTTACTAATCTCATCTTTAACAATCTATGGAGATCGTGGACCAAGTTTGTGCGCCACCTACTAAGTGTAACTGTAAGTGTGTATTTAACAAAATGTACAGTTTCCACTAACACTTATCTAAATGTAAGTGTAACTATTAAGTTGCGAAACCTCTCTATTGTCATAATTTTTATAATACTTACTACACTGCTGCTCAGCAAGGAAGATATTGGTCCTTATTTTTATCTGTCGGCCTGGACAGTAATTGCAATTTTTGACTCCAATACAATGTCAATATTCATTTATCCTGTTGTTTTCTTGGTAAATATTGACCTGGTTATGAATTGTGAAAAGAATCTTTTCTTAGCACCCAAATATCAATACATATCATATCTTGACTGCAGTGGCAATACCCAGCAGTAATGCCTAGTGGCTTTGCACTGCTCCGATAAGGAATCGTCGGAGAGCTCTACCCATGGAATTCCTGCTGGTTATTAGCAGCTAGTATAAACAGTCATTGTTTTTTAAGGCAAGCGATCGCTCTCGATCACCTGCTGCTCACCTGAATGTCAACCAAGGGGAGGTTTTTCTCCCTCCCCTTAAAATTGAAAATCGCTCTCCTTTACAAAGTCATGAGGGGTTGGTTTATTATCATTTATGAATCCAGGAGACCCCATAACATGCAGTTATAGATCTTCAGAACCATTTGCCATACACACAACTGATCACTCTCCTTAATATCAGATCACTCTTAATTTTTAAATCACTCTTCTTACCGAAACTAGGAGAGCTTTTTTAGGGGAGCGTTTTTTTCAATTTGTTAATTAAGGGGAGTTTTTTTCTGCTCTCCTCTAAAATACAAACAACAACGACTGGTATAAATCATAACTCGTTCGAAATATCTTTTGGAAACTTAATACACCCATCCACCTATTATGATATATAATAGTTCTTCCTTTTGCTAAGTGGGAAATGCTGAGTTTAATACATTTTGTCAAGTTATCATTATTTATGTAATGTGAGGAATTAACTTGTTACTTAAGTTGTAGTAGTGGGTGAAAGAATCCCTGGAATAGTGCAGGTCAGTATGTATCTCAGTGATGCTGTAGGGATGAAAAAGAAGCAATCTTTTTTGTAATAGTTCTGCCTTTTAATATTTGGGAAATGCTGATCGCGTTGAATACATTTTGACAAGTTGTCATTATAAAACTTTATGAAATTTTGTTTTCAGACTGGTATCATTTATATATGTAATACTGAGCATATAACTTGTTACTAGTAAATCTTAACAACAAAACAGTGGTAGTTCTTTGTAATTGAACTCAATTTTTGTCCACTATGGTCAAGTGCGAGTCATTAAGTAATATATTGATATTGTACGAGTGTGTTTAGCATGAGGGCTATATCTATATATTACGCAATGTCTTGCACAAGACCATTAAACCACTTAAAATACAGATGCTATCCAGCACATGCATTTCAATTAAATACGTCATGCAGGTCCAATATTTCAACTAGTATAAATAATGTACGCTTGGCACATTGTCTGTAACATTATTTGAAATAATGGTATGCCAATATCAAAGGATAACGTCACATCTGTATTTTAAAACCAGGGCCCTTATTCACGAAAACTTAAACTAAGTTACAACCGAAATTTTAAGAAATACTGCAACTTCATTGGATATATGCAAATTGATTTTACTGGTCAGCCAATCGAATTGCAGTATTACTTAAAATTTCGATTGTATCTTAGTTTAAGTTTTCGTGAATAAGGGCCCAGGTAACATACTTGAGATAACAATGAAATATTGTTTTATATATTTCAGTATTGATAAAGCTATACACAGTGGAGGATATAAAATGGGTTATGCTCTACCTAAACGCCATCTACCCAATCCTATTGATATTGTACTCGTCTACAGTCAAAAAGTAATTATTACATACTTAGAAATTAAAAATTTAAGATTTGATAATGACAAAATATATAGATATTTTAGTTTTTAACTTTATGATTTCTTTATTTACTTCATCGAACTACTAACAGTTAGGATAGTTCCAGGTGAAATTAACATACCACAAAATATCTCTGGCAAAACATGGGGGGTTGGATGGCTGAATGGTTAGCGTGCGCGCGCTGTATCATAAAGTCTGTCATTGAGTCGACTGGCGTGGTTTCGAATCCCCGGTTGTACGTGACAAGGAGTAGGGTCGCCTGTCCAGCCTCGTGTGTTTTCTCCGGGTCCTCCGGTTTCCTCCCACTGCTAAAGACCCATACGCGCAATCTAATTATTGAAATAAAATTAAACCATATGTTAGTCCCGAAATGACCTAGTCTGTGTCGAGTGGACGTTAAACCCCATTTCTCTCTCTCTCTCTCTCTCTCTCTCGAGCTTGTACGTGACAAGGAGTAGGGTCATCTGCCCAACCTTGTGGGTTTATGCAGGATCCTCCGGACTCCTTTTAATCCACTTTGAAACAAGACGGCCAGAATTGGGTCAAATGAGGTCCCAGTAGGAAGTAGGGTAATTAAAAGCTTCCATTCCCTTTAATATAACTTCAAATAAAAATAATTCTTAGTAATTTATTATGGATAATATCATATTTTATTGTATGTGATTACCACATGAAAAACAACAAATAGTACACCTTTTGAACATTTTCCAATATTTAATTCACATACTGGCTTGAAGTTGACGTCGGTAATATTCCTGGATAAATTACTGTCTTCGTTTATTCGATGGAACATTCAAGTTTCATCAGTCGATCTAAAATATTAGGCTTTTTCTACTACTGCGAGTATTAGAAAATGCCATAGCCATATTAAGCTTATACGGCACCATGACATTTCTTCATAAAACAAATTGTAATTTTTTATCTTTTTACGTAACTTGCAAAAGTACATGTCTATCACATAATTTGCAATGCAAATACACAGTAGGCCTGAATGAGATGGTTGTTAATATTTTCAGGTATTTCCCCTGGATTATATACTCATGTGTGGTGTTGTTGTATATTTTGTATTCTGTTCGATGTCTGGTATCAGAAGTATGGGAATCTGGTTCTTCTGGATCAGGGTAAGCGGTCTCTTGCAATAATCATATTTTTATTCATATTTTTATTCACAAAGCATTCTCATACTTAAGTTAAGAATTTACTCAAAATTGCTTGCCTTATTTTGACTAAATTATAGCCCTTTATAAAACTTTTGTTGTTTTAATGTATCAAATACATCAATAAGAAACTATGTGCAAAGTTTTGTGTTTCTGGATCAAAGATATTTCTCATAAACAGTGATTAAAAGTTGAGTAAATTCTCAACTTAAGTCTGAGAATGCTTTGTGAACTTGGGGCCAGAGGCCATGGACGAGACTTAAATTTAGTCAGTAAATGTAAGACTGCCATTCATCCACTGGGCTAAGTCCAGCATGCAAGTCAGATTTAAGAAAACAGTTTAGAAGCAGATTGAAAATGGAGAATTGTTGAATATTAACTATTAACAAACAACCATTCTGTGTTGAATGGAGACAATCAAAATCACTAAAATACATCATTAGTTACAATCTATCGTTTCATGTGTATTTACCATAGTATCATGTATAATTCATGGTATCACATAGTTACCATGGTATCATGTATATATTAACTGTGTTATCATGTATATAAACCATAGAATCATGTATATTTACCATGGTATCATGTATATTTACCATGGTATCATGTATTTTTACCATGTTATCATGTGTGTTTTCCATGATATCATGTATATTTACCATGATATCATGTATATTTACAATGGTATCATATATATTTACCATGGTATCATGTATATTTACCATAGTTTTATGTATATTTACCATGGTATCATGTATTTTTACCAGGGTATTATGTATATTTACCATGATATCATGTATATTTACCATAGTATTATGTGTATTTACCATGTTATCATGTATATTTACCATGTTATCATGTGTGTTTTCCATGATATCATGTATATTTACCATGTTATCATGTGTGTTTTCCATGATATCATGTATATTTACCATGGTATCATGTATATTTACCATGTTATCATATGTGTTTTCCATGATATCATGTATATTTACCATGGAATCATGTATGTTTACCATGGTATCATGTATATTTACCATGTTATCATGTATATTTACCATGTTATCATGTACAATTACCACAGTATCATGTATATTTATCATGGTATCATGTATATTTACCATAGCATATGTGTATTTACCATTGTATCATGAATTGTTTTAGATGCATAAGGTTGGAATAAGATGAAACAGAGTTAATGTTTTATTTGAATGTATATTTAAGATCTATAAGATTCGAGTATGAAGGTTTATTAATGTTAAATATATATTTTAGATGTATAAGATTCGAGTAAGACGAACACGACCACAAGGTATATTAATGTTGTGTATGATATTAATGTTAATAATACTGGCTATTAACATTATGTTATATGAACTGACACCACAATATTCATCATTTGGAAGTCAACATTACAGGGTAAGTTACTCTTTACACATTAACAAATTCCTTATAAAATGTTAAATTGTTCTTTATAGACATACATGTATACAAATTCCTTATAAAATGTTACATCTAAGTCCTATTAATATCAGAATTGTCATATCGCTAATTATAATTTTATTTTTAGGAATAAATTACTTATTTTATTCGGAAATCACCTTCTATAATTACATTCAAATCGCATTTGGAAACTCATTTATTCAAACACACTTTTTACTGATTTTACACATTTGACTGTTGTTAAATTTTTTATATAATTTTTAACATTGTCTTTTTTTTTCTTTTCCTGTTTTTTTTTTTTTTATAACTTTTCTTTTTTATCATAAATTGTATTTTCACATTGTTATTGTTAACTGCATCTGAACACTTCAGTGAAAGATGCGCTATATAAATATATTAAGTATGGCTTAATGGTCGAGAGTGAGACATTAAGTAATATATTGAAACTACCATTAAACAACTTAAAATACAGACACTGTCCCACACATGCTTTTTATACGACCACATTGAAATGTGGTCGTATATTGTTGTCGCCCCCGTCCAACCGTCTGTCCGGCGTCCACAATTGCCTGTGGACGCTCTAGAGGCTAAAGTTATTATCCGATTGACTTTAAATTTATACACAGTGTTTGAGGCCATGAGATAAAGAACCATATTTATTTTCAACGATTTTGGATAATTGCTGCCAGAGTTATGGCCCTTGATCACTTTGAAAAATCTTGTGACGCTCTAGAGGCTAAAGTTATCATCCAATTGACTTCAGATTGATACACAGAGTTTAAGGTCTTGAGACAAACAAGTATATTGATTTTCAATGAATCTTTATGACTTGAACAGCTAAATCCATGATGTTAAAAGTTTCGTATACTAAACGTTAGCATGGGGCAGAACTTTATAAAAACCAAACAAATTCTAATGGTTTTCTGATAATTACTTAATGAGTTGTTACTCTTAATCAGATTTTAATGTATTATAAATGTTTCATTACCGAAAAAAGTAAAAATATGCGACTACTCTTGTTGACTGCCCGGACGATAAAGCTGCTGTGGGCATATGTTTCGTTTCCTGGCAACCTATCTTCAATGAAATATGTCACACAAGTCCAATATTTCATCTAGTATAGATAATGTACGATTGGCAAGTTGCCCGTACATTATTGGAAATAATGGTACGTCAATATCAAAGGATGATGTCACATCTGTATTTTAAATAATAATAATAATATCGTGGATATAGTATTACCGACAGCCAATATATGCCAGTATATTGAACAATTATTATATGTTATAGATTAATTCAACAAGTCCTCTAGAACCATGTACAACAGCCGTATCTACAGGTAAATAACTCTATTTCTTTCAAATTAAATTAACGCTGCGTAATTTACAATTTTCACTAAAATATTAAATTTCTCGAAGCTCAATTCATGCTAGTATGTAGTAAGATTGATGATTCAACATTTAATTTTAAGAAAATAAAATAAAAATACCAACGCTTGTATGTGACAAGAAGTAGGGTCGCCTGTCTAATCTTGTGGGTTTTCTCTAGGTCTTTCAGTTTCTTCCCACTGCTAGAGACCTCTAAGTGCAAGAAAATTATTGAAATAAATTTAAATGAAATGAAATGAAATGGGGTTTAATGTCCTACTGTTCTGCTCCTAAACTGAGCTAATGAAGACGGGCATATGCCATACAGTGTGCTATGAGGGAAATTTTGCCCGGGCACCGGCGCTACGGCCTACTCTTATATCGAATTCCAACTGCCAAGGGATCTTTTATATGTATCCAGTATGTACACGGGACCTATATTTTTCGTCCCATCTGATGACTAGACAGCTGTCCTTGTAAGGCCCTACGTCCTGCATCACTGACACGGGAAAAACCACGCCGGAAAATCTGGATGAACTTGAAATAAAGTTAAACCATATGTTAGTCCCAAAGTAACGTTAAAATCCATTTCTCCCTTCAAGCTGTGTTGTTATTAAAATTTTGACACACAACTAGAGGTATGCTACATGTACTTTGAGAATAGATCTCTGTCCTTAATAGCCACCATATTTGAAAATATAGTGTACGGATGATTTATGCGGTTCTAATCAGTTTCATACACTTAAAGACTAAATAAACATTTTCAATTGGATTACATATGAAAATGAAAGCAAAATATATACGGTACTTTTCGAAATGGGAATTAAATTGTCTGTCAGCTAGCTTCGTGTTCGTTCTCAACTGAATGGTTAGCGTGCGTGCACTGTACAATAAGGTCTGCCATTTAGTCAACTGGCATGGTTTCGATTCCCCGGTTGTACGTCGCATGTCCAACCTTGTGGGTTTTCTGCGGGTCCTCCGGTTTCCTCCCACTGCTAAAGACGCAAGCGAATTATTGAAATAAAATTGAACCATATGTTAGTCCAGAAATAACCTACATTTAGTTTGTGTCGAGTGGACGTTAAACCCTATTTCACTTTCTCTCTGTCAAGCAGAGCTAATTGTAGAAAGACAGCGCATGAACTAGAGGTCGACTTTAAATTCTTTGAACATGACTAGAAATTATATTGCCCTTTGGCTAACCTAGACCAATCTCATTGAGTCTGTTTTTATGTAGTTGTTGTTTGATATTAGTTAAAATGTTGATTTGTTTAAATATCTTTTACAGAATACTGTACAGCTACACAAATGGTTGTTTTGTTGACCAGATTCTTCTATAAAATGTCCTTCTTTGGTGCCGCCTATTATTTCGGTACTTGGATATTCCTGGGAGTAAGTTAAACTTTTAGTTCTATCAGAATAGATGTTTAAAAATCCCCGCCCAACAGCAGAACAAAAACAGATTTAGGTGGAAATGAGTGGTGGTTTATTCATCTTTATAACGTTTGAGGAATGTTGGATAGCCGAATGGTGAGCGCATGCGCGTTATATCATATGGTCTGTCATTGAGTCAACTGGCGTGGCTTTGATTCCCCGGTTGTATGGGATAAGAATTAGGATCGCCTGCCCAACTTTGTGGGTTTTCTCCGGGTCCTCTGGTTCCCTCCCACTGCTAAAGACCCTACGCTCAAGCAAATTATTGAAATAAATTTGGACCATATGTTAGTCCCGAAATGACCTAGTGGAGTTAAACTCTCTCTCTCTCTCTCTCTCTCTCTCTCTCTCTCTCTCTCTTATTAAGCAATATTTGTAAAAGTTAAAGAAACAATTTACCATTGTACTATAACACTACATATATCAGTGAACGGAATTTTATCAGTGCTGGCATCACCAATCACTAAATACCAATCAGAATATAGGTTGTATCTCTCTCTCTCTCTCTCTCTCTCTCTCTCTCTTTCTTTTGTTAAAGAATTTGCTCTTTGTCTTGGGCATGGTTTAAACTACTATGTATTTAATACTAATAATGTATGTTTATAAAGCGCTCAAAAATCCATCCATTCATGCATGTTAAGTCACTTTAGTTCTACCTGATGAGAAAGATTGATTTGTAAAATGTTTTATTTCAGGTGTTTTTGTTGGGTTTTATCGTAGCTGTAATTCGTGGACGTCGTTCATCAATCAGTGGTGACGTAGAAGACAGTGATTTTGAAGAAAGCGATGAAGAATTAATCAGTGGGTGAATTGTTGACAACAACTGTTGATTACAAACTTTTGTATATTTTTATTGAGATAACTTATTTATATGTATCGTTGTTGTTGTTGTATATGTAGGCCTAGTAATGACTCTCACAAAATGTATCTTATTGTATCATTCAACTGACTTGAGAAACCTAGTAGAATCGGTCAGATCTATTTCACATGCAGATTTCGTCATGGATCACGAGATGTAAACAGGGCTAGCGCTAACCCAAAACCTAGCCCTAAACCTAACTCACAATCCTCGGCAACAATCACGTGCCCTAACCCTGTTTAAATCTTGTGACCTTGGGGAAATCTGCAGGTGGACATGTGAAATAGAAATAGAAATAGTAATTGTATTCTATAAGTAGGATGATCTACAATCTGCACACATAGATCCATCTACTTCATACTTTGAGAATAGATCTCTGCCCTAAATTGCCGACATATTCAAAAAATTAGTATATTGTTTTGTAATGTGGTTCTACTCCGTTTCACATGTCATACATGCAAAGACTAAATAAGCTTTTACAATTTTATTAAATGGAAGCAGAATAAATACTAAACAATATTCCCGAAGTATGCTTATTGTTTTCGACTAAAATCGTCGATTTAGGACTTAAAATGTCGGTCAACCAGTTTAGTGTCTGTTCTGAGCTAATTGTAGAAATGCAGCATAAGTTTAGTATGGGTGATCCACATAGGCTAACCTGTTCATTCGGTAAATATGATTACCTCGAGAGCTAAATGACACTGATCAGATTTACTTTATAATAAGATGCATCAGACAAAATCAAAACATGGCATCTAACTGACTACATATACAACCTCGCAATATGAGTTACATACTTACATGTGATCAAATAGTTCCTTATAAAATATCTCTTTAACTTTTCCGTCATTAGTCAAAATAATCTGATAATAATTATGAAAAGAGATGAATGTATCTATTTATTTGTAGTTGAACTCTTTTTGTAAGTTGATTTTGTTTTACAAACACAACTATTTTGAATACATCAGTTAGGCAGTATAACGATTGCGTCAGTACTGCTATAGTTTTCACATTGGTTTATTATAGGAGCATTAGGTAAGATTAGATAAAGAGCTCTCAGTTCTCACTATAATGGTTAAAAACTAGATAATGAAAGAGAATATGCTGAAAATTTTAGTCAAATTGCTTCACTCTGAACCTAGATATTGGCAATTTAATTTTAGGCTAGCCTTGATCGTCATTACTATCATTGTTACAATAATAAACAAAGTCTTGAATATCCATTTATATGGTTATTTCATCCATCACAAAATGTATTCAAATCCACTAAATTATGTAACATTTCCGACCTAAATAAAGACCTGCAATAGGCAGATTTAGCTCTTGCATAATGTATGTTTAATATCAACATTAGTTAGCAAGTTTTGTTTTGCACGAAGTATGCTTGAACAATTTAATATATTTAAGATGTTTGTACTGTTGTTTGCACTGAAGAATTACAGAAAATAAAAGACATTTATGTAATTAAAAATGATATAATCTTTGAATGGCATTTATATGGATAACAATCACTATATTATATACACACGACGTTTCAACATTTTTGTGCTTGATAACGACCAGTGAATTCTTGTTGAAAAGTCGTGTGTATATAATATAGTGATTGTTATTCATAGAACTGTGTTGTGTTGAAATAAAAATGATTTGTAGGAATCCATTGTTGTTAAAGGTAGTAATGGATATATGTAATCTGTGATAATAACATGTTAAATAATAATACATTTGATAGCCTTAAACACACAAAATTGAAAGTTTTGACAGAATAATCCTTTGTTTGTAAGTTCTATGCTTTTTTAATATATAATGTTTTTAAAATTTGGTATATTTTCATCTGTAATTTTTTCAAAATTATTACTTTCTTACTTGTGAAAAACTCTTTTCTGCCAAATTTATTCAAAATGCAAATTGAAAAGGTACCTATCTTAAAGGGAATGGAAGAATTCTTTGTTCCTGAATTATAGGTATTTTCTTAAAATATTCAATTATTTATAAATTTTGTATATTTTCAATCTGATTAAAACACACGTCCTATTTCGTTTCCATTTTTATCGTTCAAAATATCGTTTTACTTGTCTTTACTACACTAGGATCTGGAAGAGTTGTTATCATTGACGTGTTCTGAATGGTGTGAGGAATCAGCCTAGGCGTGTTTTGCACGGAACTGTGGGTAATTGACTAGTAACATCAATGCTGATTGGTTAATCAAATGTCTGACGTCATAGGGTCAAAAGCGGCTAGTATGACCTCTGACGCGACCTATCGCTACAACCGGTCAAATCTTCATGTAGTGTAAGCCATCGAAAGTATATAAAAAATGAAACGAAATATAGATCTGTATTTTAATCCGATTGGTATATTTTCATCTGTACTTAAATTTATCAAACTTTTCTACTTCTGAAATAACATATTCCTGTCAAATTTAATTGTGTAAATATAATATGTGTACTTTGTAAATTATAAGATATGTAATGTGCAAAATAGGATATATGTATTGTACAAGTTATGATATATGTATTATGCAAGTTATGTATTGTGTGTATTTTATACATTGTGCAAGTTATGATGTATGTATTGTGTATATTATATACACTGTGCATGTTATGTGTATTGTGTATATTATATATATTGTGCAAGTTATGTGTATTGTGTATATTATATACATTGTGCAAGTTATGTGTATTGTGTATATATATTGATGCAAGTAATGATTAAGTAAATACTACTAGTAAACAATAAACTAGCTTATCGGAGTCCCATTAAAGTCATATTTTGTAAACTTAAATATGGGGTGCGTTAATTTTCAACAACAAAAATATGAAAGATTGTGGAGTGCCTTTATATAAAAATGCCCTGAATTAATAGTGAGTTTACTCTAGGACATCAAAAGCGATGCCTTTTGTATAAACTTCAGTTCATCTCGGTAAGCACTAACCTGTCTAGTTCGTTTATATTGCCGTCACCCCCGTCCGTCCACCTGTCCGTCGTTCCGGCGTCTACAATTGTTTGTGGACGCTCTAGAGGCCAAACTTAATATCCGATTGACTTTAAATTTATACACAGTGTTTATGGTCATGAGACGAAAAAGCCTAGTAATTTTCAGCAATTTCCGATAATTACTGCAAGAGTTATGGCCCTTGATCACTTCAAAAAATCTTATGGACTCTCTAGAAGCTAAAATCAATATCCGATTGACTTTAAATTTATACACAGTGTTTAAGGTCATGAGACGAAGAAGCCTATTGATTTTCAGCGATTTCCGATAATTACTGCCATAGTTATGGCCCTTGATACACAGAATTTAAGGTCTTGAGACGAACAAGTATATTGATTTTCAATGAATTTTGATAATTTGAACAGCTAAATCCATAATATTGAATGTTTCGTATACTAAACGTTAGCATGGAGGAGAAATTTATAAAAGCCGTATTTCATTGAAATTGAGCACCTTCATAACTCCTGAACAGATTGACCTATGGATATGGCTCACTGTGTTTTCAAGAATATTATACATCTGCTGCTACGCGTTGTTGAATGAATCATATATTTTCCCAATCAACAGATTATTCTGGAAAAAGCAACATTTTGTCATTCTGTGTGTGGTCTTCTTAAGTTATTCATTTGGCATACATAAATACGCTCAGTGGTCCTCTCTACACAGCTGAGGTGGCCGCAAACTCAACAAAAGTCTTATGTAGACTGTCAAATTTAAATGATCAATGTCGGCAAGGCAGGGTACCTTCTTAGTGAACGTTCAGCTAGGGGTATCATAATCGAAACAATATTTGGGGACGGGTTGTTTCTAAGGCAAACTATTTCACCAAAGACAATTCTGAGATTATGTCACTTCTGTGACGTCATTTTCGGTTTTGGTTCTGTTTGATTTCCAAAATGGCCACCAGAATTTAACGAAAAATGAATTTCTAAGTAGGATGGTTATCACACAAGGTAATCTTGTCATATGTCATATATAGGGTTTTCGTAGCCATTGAATTTAAAATTGATCAAAGTTATTTTTGCGATTTTCGATGAAGCGGAAAGGTTTGTTCCGCACAGGAATTAGCTTAGAAGGGACAAATTCCATTTGTAAAACCAGATATTTGATAAACTATTAACATACTTATGGAAAACAGCTACTGATTTATTTAGGCGACGTTTGGAAGAGTATTCTCTCAACGTTTTCAAGCTAATATGCCCAGTTACTAATAAAATGCCACTTAAAGAATACAGATATTTGATGTTAGTGAACCCATTTGAAGAACACCGGGGAAGAACGATCTAAGTCACTTTTTCAATGAACCCCAGTTAATGGCGCCATCTGGTAGAAAATTGTATACACTTTCAGTGGAACAAACAATTTTCAGGTAAAAATGGTCGGAGTCACATCGAAATGGCCTCCGTCGTTTTTATTTGACCTTAATTTGGCTAAAAATTGGAAGTCAGTTGTTGTACTGGTAATTATGATTCGTATTAAACATCATTTTGAAGTTGTCATTAAACCCACTCGTTGTTCTGTTCGCGTCAAGCATTCTCGTCAAAAAGTCTGTTTTGCCTTTTATGCGAAAAGATAAAAACGTGACTTCGATCTTTTTTCCCCTGGACTCGTCAAATGTTTCCAGGACACCTGTTTCACACACAATCTTATTTTCTATCCAGACGACCTTCAGTATAATAATCAATCTGCATACAAAGTTTATGAAAATACACATTTAAACAGCATTTAATATGGTCTACCACCCGTAAGAACCCCATTTCAACTAAAAAATAAATTGGTAATTGGAATTTTCGATTAAAAGTATACCTTCTTGTAGCGGTAAAATACTCGACTAATATACCAGTTGTTAATCTTTCTAAGCGAATTAACAATAAATTATTCATTGGATAGCTACACTGTTAAAAATAAATGTAAAATTACATTGAAAAATATGTAATTTATTTAACATAACGCGGTTAAAATACCACTGCATGTTTTTATACTTTAAATTTACTGTATTAGTGTGGTAACATGGGATTACCGTAAAAAATTGGTAAATTAACAATAAAATTGTAGTTTTACAAGTGAGAACTGTATTTTTATTACATGTAATCTGTAATAACACCACTGCATGTTTTTATACTATAACTTTACTGTATTAGTGAGGTAACATGGGATTACTGTAAAAGAAAATGGTAATTTAACAGTACAAGTGTAGTTTTACAAGTTAGAACTGTATTTTATTACATGTATCTGTATTGATACAGCTATGTTGGTTAAAAGTACATGTATGTTGTATTTTAACTGTTTATGGAGTAATTCTACTTTTCAAACATGTTTAAATACGGGATATATTTGTGTACAATTTACAGGAAACGTATAATTGTACATCTCTTTAGAACTTTAACATTGATAGACCTTTGAAGGCTTTATTACTTTTCGTCTATAGTCCACTTATGAGGGGGTCACGAGGGCTAAGTGGGTAAGACGTTGGCTCGCTAGCCTGGAGGTTGGGTATTCGATCCCTGCATTCCCTCTTTGGCCACATGTAATATTACATCAAACGTAATATAGAAATACAACCATATGTCAGTTTACATTATGTGAGCTGTATATTAAAAGAAATGTCATTTGAAATAGTATTTTTACAACAAATTGTAAATTTACTGTCAAATGGTGTTCAAATCAGTTATTTCCCTTCGACCACATATCGAATTTTGTGCGAAATATTTACTGTTATGTCAGTAAGATTAGCCTATTTTAGAGAAATAGGTTATTTAAAATCTGAATGCACCTTACTGGCGTATGAACACAGTGATATGCCATACATAGGGTTGTGTGGAACATTTTGTTTCGTGTCATGCCTCCTACACTTCCCATTGTAAGAAGCAGAACAGTAGGACGTTAAACGTCATTTTATTTAATTTCTTTCCATTATCGAATGATGTTTTGCATGCTCGGCTGAAAGGTCCGCAAAACCTTTAAGTGTTTGCCAGGATCGAACCTAGGGCTACTTAGCCGAGTGGGGAAAAACACATTTCCTATAAAAATGTCACCTTTTCAAAGTATATTTCAAGTAAATATACACTTTAAATTGTATTTTAACCGTAAAATGACTGGCAGAAAGTTGCCAGTAAAATCGCTGTATTTTAACATTGGCTTGTAAATGTACCCCTAAGCGGTAGATTTATATTTACAAACACCACGTAAATTTATAGTGAGTGTAAAATAACTCTGAGGTAAATTTACTACCACAGTGTAAATTTACAGTGGGTGTAAGATAACTTTGAGGTAAATTTACAACCACAGTGTAAATTTACAAGCACTATGTAAATTTACATCGAAGTTATTTTACACTCACTGTAAATTTACATGGTGTTTGTAAATCTAAATCTACCGCTTAGGTGTAAATTTACAAGTCAATGTTAAAATACAATCATTTTACTGGCAGAAAGTTGCCAGTAAATTTACGGTAAAAATACACAAAAATTATTTACAGTGTATAAACTACTATACTAATATACCAATAGTTAATTGTAACACGTTTAATATCATATCTTTCTACGCAAATTAACAATAAATTGTTCATTGGATAAAACGGAAAGATATTTATGCCTGTAAAATAATAAACCAGTTTAGTTATATGGTAAGTTAAGGTCTACCATGAAATACGGAAATTTGCAACACGTTTTTACACCATATCTTTCTACACGACCTGACAATAAATTATTGTTCATTAGATAAAACGGAAACAGCTGTCCCCAGACTTTTAGGACAGGCGGGTAAAATGAAAACAAAATTATTATTTCATTTGTACTAAATTTACGATGGATTAAGCATTTTGTCTGGAGTCACTCTACTTTGTGCGACATTTGTCTGGCATCGATTATTATTTATTTTGTGAATGCAGTCTGATTGGATGGTTGGAATTCAGGTGGGCGTGAGTGTGATTTCGGTTGCAGGCCGATTGAGGTAGAATAACAGAAAACGCATTTGCAGCGGTTAAATTTTTTCGGGGAGCGCGAGTCCCCCATACCCTGCGACGATTGATTGGTTGTTTAGGATTTGGGATACAGGTAAGTCACCTAAAGTAGGCTATATTGGACCACACTGAAGATGCTGTATTCACGGGCTTAGCAGGAAATAGCCTTTTCGGCAGTTAAATTTTCAAACATTCATCGAGCTCGTCCGCCTATGCATAACCGGACCATTTTATGTATAAATTTATCTGATGTTTCTAGATTTATCTTGGTAAGAGGTCAGGGTGAAACGTGAAACACCCTTCATAAAAGGCTTTTAGTTATTAACAAATTTAAAAGTCACGTCATAATCCAAATGTATACGTATTACAATTTCACACATCGTCTTCTTTATAATATTATTTGCATACTACTCAAATATATTTGTGTGAGTAGCTATTGTAATAAATTTAATAATTGTAATAAAATTTCAATTAACACCTATTGTAATATCAACCCCTATTGTAATAATTGTAATTAATGTATTTTACCATACAATAAAATCAACATCTAAATTCTGATCACCATTTCCATATCAATATATAGGAGTAATGATATGCGCTTATACTGCATAGAATATTATGAATCCTCAGACGACACAATTTTCAGAGAACATATTTAACGTTTATTTAAAGATACATTATGGGAGATAAGATAAAGAGATGGCAGTTCTCGCTATAATAGTTAAAAACTAAATAGTGTAAAGGTAATTTGCTGAAAATTTCTGTCAAATTGATCCACTATGAGCCGAGAAAGAAGCATATAGGAATCTAATCCAGCCAACATCGAAGGCTAGCCTTGACATCGAGAGTTTATTATAGTCTGGATAAGTTAATTAATGTCTAATTGATAATTTAGATAACATTTCAGGCCTAAAGAAAGACTTGTAATAGGCAGATTTTGCAATATACACTCATTGATGACGTCACACACAAAATCCATATGGATACACGATACGGACCAGGAATATCTCTTAATCAATCTGCGTATATATTTTAAAGTAGCTATGTCTCTAACTCAATATCATCCAAAGTCTTACACGTTAAAAACACGATTAATTTATCAGTTTAAATCAACATTGATGTTGTGATCTTACCGGGAAAAGGTAGGCTTCTGATATCCAATATTTAAGACAAAAAAAAACATTTTACCATTGGTACACGAATCGTGTACCATAGTGTGACCCAGCGTCATGTGTAACTAATGTCAAACGGTGACGCCATAACTTATCTGGAGAGCATGCGCAATAGACTGGAAAAATCAGACGCTAGAAATTTCCATTCGGTTGAGACTCATGCCGTATTTCGCTGGACATAACTGATTTGAAATTAGAGTCAAAACGGAAACAATTGAATGTAAATCAGTTTATATACAATCAGATTACATTATTATGTCAATTTCTAGGTCCCAAATATTAGCAATTTAGCTCCTTTAACGTGTATAAATCTTGAGAAATTTAATATTTTAGCGTAAATGAAAATGACACATCAAGATTTTGAGTTTGATCATGCCGAGGTAAAAATCATATGTGATCGCCTCTCCTACATTTAAACGCCTAAATTCCTCAAATAGTGATAAAATCCAAATTTTAATAAATACTTCAATTTTTTATGCAAAGACATTGGTCAATCTATTCCCAGTTTGACGTTTGATCTTAATGCTTAAGGAAAGATTTATCAACGGCTAGGGGGTTGGATGGCTGAATGGTTAGCGTGCGCGCGCTGTATCGTAAAGTCTGTCATTGAGTCAACTGGCGTGGTTTCGAATCCCCGGTTGTACGTGGCAAGGAGTAGGGTCGCCTGTCCAACCTCGTGGGTTTTCTCCGGGTCCTCCGGTTTCCTCCCACTGCTAAGACCCCTACGCGCAAGCGAATTATTGAAATAAAATTAAACCATATGTTAGTCCCGAAATGACCTAGTTTGTGTCGAGTGGACGTTAAACACCATTTTTCTCTCTCTCTCTCTCTCTCTCTCTCTCTCTATCAACGGCTACCTTATGGACCTTTTAAAGAGGCATTATGGAAGATTAGATAAAGAGCTGGCAGTTTAATAATTAAAAACTAGATAATGTCAAGGAAATATCCTGAAAATTTCAATCTAATTCCTCCACTCTGAACCGAAATATTACCATTTGAATTTTAGGCCTAGCCTCGATCATCATTACGAAAAGCGGTACGATAAAAACAGTCTCGATTATCCATTTCTGAATGATCAACAATGAGCGTTGGGCAGCAGATCGGATCCAAATCCAGTGAAAATCAGACACAAGACGGCATAGAGAGTTGATTAAGTTCTTTTCATGTTAATAAATGTCTAATTAATAGTTTTATGTAACATTTCGGGCCCTAAGAAAGACTCGCAATAGGCAGATTTAAGTGAAAAGATTATACCCAGTCTAGATGCATATGCCCCACTATTGTTGCTAGTCGTAACGCCGGTTACCTAACCACGTGACATTGTAAATCTCCAGGGCCCTGTTTCTCGAAATCTTAACTAATGATAAAATCCAAATTTTAGTAAATACTTCAATTTTGATTGGCTAAGCACTAAAATCAATCTAATATTATCCAATCAAAGTACTAAAATTTGGATTTTATCTTAGTTAAAAGTTCGTGAAACAGGCCCCTGACTTCTTTTTTAAGCAGAAATTTCCACATTTGTTCCCCAAGGAGATTTATTTCACACCAAAATGGAAGCTAAGCCAGTTAAAACTATAGATGGAGGTGGTAATGTAATGAAGCTAACGAAGATTGGTGATAGATTGCTGACTAAAAATTTAGCTAAAATGTGGTGGGGTATGTGTGATGTAAAAGCAAGAGTTGATGACGTGTTTATTGTGGAGTATCTCAAGTCAGGTGAAGCATCTTCTTTTGAATAATTAAAACAATAGAAGCTAGAGTTTCTTTCTTTGGGTTCTGGTCATTTAGACGACGTTTCATCCAGGTTTTAAGTTTCTGATTAACGCACAGAAATGTTCTTTGTCTTCAAACAGTGGCATGTTATCGTTATTTTAAATTTTTGACATTAATTTATGTCTATTTTTAATGTACAGGACATCATTGGGTGTATGAAATTGTGTCTATGCTACGTAGTGGACAAACTGAGCTAATGCCCAGTACTATGGAATCAACTCATATGGAAGCACTGAGCCCAGCAATGGTGGATCAGATGCCATCACCAAGAACTCTGTGTACACATCGCTACCCTGCCGAATTACCACATAATCTGACAGATTTGAAATGTAAAATAATTCTACTGATAAGAAATCCAAAAGATGTATGCGTTTCTGATTTTAACTTCCTGCGAGAAATAAAATCATTAGAGTATGAGGGGTCATTTAGCGACTTCATTTCCTTATTCAAAAGAGGTGATGGTAAGTAGGCTACTGTTATTTTTATATCATGGACCGGGATTTATAGGTAATGGAGCAATCGTGGGTTCCCTGTGTTGGTTAATTACGAGATCCAGTTTCAGTTCCCAGATTGTTTCCATGTTACCCCGACCAAAGCTCTTCCAATCACTCAATCGTTGCTGTGGATGCTTCGAGCAACTTCCGTCGACTGAATCTTTTGGCAATTTGCGGACTAGCACCCTGTCTGTATAATTCTAACATAGAGATCATTGCTTCAATAGATTATGCGTTATGAAGCTATCAAGAAAGCGAAGTGACTAACGCAAAAGGAAAACACGAGGCGTTGGTCGTCTTTTCGACGAACTTTAACAGGGATAAATGACATCAGATTTTATTAATAGACCAATTATATGTAAAAGAGCACACTGATCCGCAGTGAATATTTGCTAGGCCGCTACAATCACTGATAAGGATGACATCGATGCGGCTTAATGAGCCAGAAATATTAACTTTTTTCCTGCGACAAATTAAATTCTAAAACATTTTTTTTATGTATTGGAAAAATAAATAAAGGCGTTTGACGTATTTGTAGGTAAAAATTATTTCCTATTTAGTGTAAATGGGTATTAAAATGACTAAAATGCAGCATTCTCTCCGAAGCAGTAACGTCTTATGTAAACAATGCACGCGCCATTCAGCCGATGATTGACGCCGCGTGCTGTGACAGCACGTGTTAAGGCAGTCATCTTTGACAGAGATATATCACTAGACTCGTAATTCTCTGTGAAACAGATTGGTAAAAGAGGTGATCGGTAAGGGAATGCACGAAAGATAAATAACAAATAGAGTACTCTCCCGCGAACTACATAACTACATGATGAACCAAGTGATAGACAACCCAACCTTTCTGATCATCCCTCAAACCTATACACTACAAAGAATTAATATCATCTGTCATTTAGACTCTCCAGGGGATGATTGAAGTCTACGACCAGCGTTTCATCCACCTTGTCGGTTAACACGGCGACCGGTTACGACTACAAACATATGCTTTGTCATCAATTATTCCATTTAAGCATCGATTAGAACAACCATCATCACCTGCACATAAATAAATGATGACCCAAGTGATTGACAACCCAGCCTTTTTTGTATGTTTGTCTTATTTTACAGTCCTCTTTAACTCGTGGGATACTCATTTTCTTCATTGGAAAAAGTTTAAATGTGAAAATCTAAACTACCCCATACATACAGTTAGGTATGAAGACTTGAAAACGGTAAGTGTTCGCCAATTTCGTATCAATTCTTTTCTTAGAAAACACATTTTTTAAAAAGGTCCATTACCAAAATACACGTACATAGTCTTCGGAACCTCAATAATTTGCAAATATGTGAATATCAGTGTACAAATATGTGCTAATTAGTGTAAGAAGTGGACCTGAAACAGGTCGTAGGAACCATATTTCGATTGACTACGCCGACAGAACCCCTCCGCCCCTCATTATTTACGTTAATGATTGCAAACAAAGTTAGGGGAGCAGAAATATGAGCGCTCGTTTTAGTTAATGAAATATACTAAACAGCAAAAAAATAAAATAAAAAAAAGTGTCAGCACGATTTCAAAACCAGAGAGGCACTTTAGTCAAATCATTCTAGAAAACGACTTACTGGTTTAAACATATTTTATTGCAAATAACTTACTAAGGGATTAGGACAATTTATAAAAATTATGAACCTTCTCCCGGGGAATAATATAATATAATATTATATAATATATGAGGGCAGAACAAACATTTAACATACACTAAATACAGCTATATACAATATATACACATATTTATAATTATCTATCATCTATTTATTGTTTTGATATAAATAAGATCATTATCATTTTACTAAATTAAGCATCTAATATAAACTATAATCATAAATATGTGTTTATCTAAATAAAGTAATAAATATGAGGGTGTGATTGTGAGGATGTACATTAATCAATAAAGAATGGATCAAAGCAATTCTTTGTGAACAGTATGTTGACACATCAGTGATTAATTCATCACAATTCCAAGACATTACGGGGAGGTTTAGTGTATGTACACAGTCTATACATCAGTATCTGGTGTGTCCACCGCGAGTGTCAATAACAGATAAACGCCATTGACACCTGGAACCACACTCTCAGAAATGCCTGGCACAATCCATCGGCTGTGTTTGGTCTCGGTACGACGTTATTTAAGTCTCCTCTGAATTTCATCACAAAGATGTTCAATCGGGTTTAAGTCCGGACTAAGGGCTGGTCAGTGCATAACGTTGACACCGTTCTGCTGTAGAAAGTCCCGAATAACTCTGGCGTTGTGGGCACGGGCGTTGTCATGCTGGAAAAGGTTGTTTCGATGACGTGCGAAATGTCTGGGGTCTGAAAAGTTGATCGATGTAGTTCACTGCTGTGATGCCGCCTCTTCTCCCTGGACCAAGATTTTGGAACACCAAAGGACCCACTCTCTGGCTCAAGCCGATCCTACCCCAAACCATTATGCTTGAACCTCCCCATGAGTCTCGTTCCATGACACATTGGTCAGAATAACGCTGGCCACGTCAACGCCATATTCTGGTCCTGCCATCTGCAGTTGATACGCAATACCGACTCTCATTTGCCTGTGCTGTCAGTTCTGGTGTTGTTGGGCAAACTGTAGACGCTCACGTCGATGGCGAGGGGTGAGGATCGGTCCACGGTAAGGTCTACGACAATGGATGTTCTCTCTGGTGAGACGTCGGCGCACTGTATCGGTACTGATGAGTCTTCCGTGTGTTCCCACTGTCTGACGTGCTGTCTCATATGCCTGTGTGAAGGGGTTCTGGGCGTGCTATCGCACAACATGGCGGTCTTGTCGCCTTGTGGTAACCCTTGGTCTACCAGTTCGGGATCGATCATCTGTGCTGTTGGCCGCTGCTGTTGGTCGCCCGAAAGCGTTGCTGAAGCCTGTAGATGGTACGAACTTTGACCTGGAAGTGATTGGCAACGGCTTGGGCATGGTGGCCAGCGTCGAGTCTTCCAAGCGCCTGGTTCCTCTGAGCTGTCGTGAGTCGTGGCATGCTGCTGACGTTGTAGTGTGAATGATTCAACCAGTTAAGGGGGTGCATTTTAAAGGGCTGGCCCCGGTTAACAGCACGTGCAGCATAAGTTACATGAAAATCATGGAGAACACATTAGCAACTCAGAAGTCAGGTTGCGTTTTTTAGAACATTTTCTGGGTTCTCTTTTTGGGAAGGAGCCTTATTGCTCAGGTAAAGTTGGAGATGTGGTCACAAATATTCAATAAAACATTTGGCAAGTTTTATGCAATGCGTCTATTCAGAGTAACATACTAACCTGGCGTTTCTTTTGTTGCTTAGTATATCTCTATACTGCAGTATATACTACCATAACGGGTGGCGTGGCGTGGGGGGTAGGGGTGGTGGGTCTAGGGTGGCTAGTGGTTAGTGCGTTTGACTTTCGGGGGGCGGGGAGGGAGTGGGGGATAGGTTATGATTTCTATTTATCAGCGCTGAATAGATGTGCAATACCCAATTAGAATCTTTGAATCTCTGTCGATTTCTATGGAATTACGTTACTTTCTAATACAACTTATTATAACCGTGGCCTATCTATTTATAGGGGTGTTGGATGACCGAATGGTTAGCGCGTACGCGTTTTATCATTCGGCGAGTCAACTGGCGTGGTTTCGTTTCACGTGTGTACGTGACAAGGAGTAGGGTCCCCTGTCCAACCTCGTTTATCCCCACTGCTAACGACCCCTACGTACAAGCGAATTATTGAAATATAATTGAACCATAACCCAATCTCTCTCTCTCTCTCTCTCTCGCAAGTAGATCATCTGTGTTAATAATCGTTTTGGTGTGTCCTGACATATTATGGATTCCTCTTTCTTTCAGAGACCAGTTGAGGAGATTAAAAAGATGGCTGACTTTCTGGATATTGAATGTTCAGAAAAGATGTGTCAAGACATTGCCATGGCAACCGACTTTTCTAAAATGAAACAACAGAAGGAATCGCTTACCCACCGATTGATATCTATATATAAAAGTGAAAAAGAAGTAATTTATAGAAAAGGTAAATACGACAAAACAGATATTTAATTCACTGTGTCGCGGTTTAGCTTGGCACAGTACTGTTTATAGTGGGGCGGTTAAGGAAGAATTTTTGGTAGAATCGTACATTTTGGGTTAAAAGCATGAAACTTGGCACACAGATGGCATCAACCCTACTGATTATTTTGGGATGTGGATCCACCTCAGCAGCTCCCCCTGGTGGTCGTTACGGCCATCTTTTCCAAAATGGCCGCCTATTCATTGATATACATATAACAAGGGGTGTCACAATAAGACATTTTTTTAACAAATCATTTCAGGCCAGCAATTTCCAAATGCAAAATTGCTAGCTGAACACGATTTTTGAAAAAAGATTTATCTATGACGTCATTTTCGTTTGGGGTTTGCCTGATTTCAAAAATGGCCGCCAAAATTTGAAGAAAAATGAATTTCCAGATAGGATGGGTGATTATCACGCAATGTATGCCTTGTAATATATCAAATATAAGGTATTTGTTGTAATTGAACTGAAAAATAATCTCTAAAACTAGTTTCCCCGAATCCAAGATGGCGGAAATTCAAAATGGCGGCCAAAATATACCCAAAATGGCGGATTGATCAGATTAAAGTCATTTCACTGTTTGATTTGGTTTGTAATATATAATTTAAAGGGTTACATTGTCACTGAACTTAAAATTAATCTAAATAAAAAAATAGTTTCCAAAATCCAAGATGGCGGAAATTCAAAATGGCAACCAACATTTATCTAAAATGGCCGATTTGTCAGATAAAAGTCATTTCACTCTTTGATTTGGTTTGTAATATGTAATATAAAGAGTTTTCAAAGTCATTGAACTTAAAATCAATCTAAAAAAAGAGTTTCCAAAATCTAAGATGGCGGAAATTCAAAATGGCGGCCAGAATTTTCCAATAATGATCAAATTTTAGGATAATCGTGAATTTTCTGTATGATATGCCTTGTAATATGTCCTTTATTAAGTTTTCAGTGTCAGTGAATTTGATAATTGTAGATGATTGTTTCAGAAAAAAGGGGCAATCATCAATCTTTCTATTGGATTGGTTTATAATAGCAAGTGTAACAATGTAAAGTTCAGTGACAATGTAAACCCTTTAAATTATATATTACAAACCAAATCAAACAGTGAAATGACTTTAATCTGATCAATCCGCCATTTTGGGTATATTTTGGCCGCCATTTTGAATTTCCGCCATCTTGGATTAGGGGAAACTAGTTTTAGAGATTATTTTTCAGTTCAATTACAACAAAAACCTTATATTTGATATATTACAAGGCATACATTGCGTGATAATCACCCATCCTATCTGGAAATTCATTTTTCTTCAAATTTTGGCGGCCATTTTTGAAATCAGGCAAACCCCAAACGAAAATGACGTCATAGATAAATCTTTTTTCAAAAATCGTGTTCAGCTAGCAATTTTGCATTTGGAAATTGCTGGCCTGAAATGATTTGTTAAAAAAATGTCTTATTGTGACACCCCTTGTTATATGTATATCAATGAATAGGCGGCCATTTTGGAAAAGATGGCCGTAACGACCACCAGGGGGAGCTGCTGAGGTGGATCCACATCCCAAAATAATCAGTAGGGTTGATGCCATATATGTGCCAAGTTTCATGCTTTTAACCCAAAGTGCACGATTTTTTGCTTAACCGCCCCACTATTGTAGTTCAAAATGAAAATATACTATTCAAAAAAAGTAGGGGATATTTGATTTTTAAGTGTTATTAAAGTCACCTAATGAAACTGACGAAGAAACAAATGACAAAATGAAATGAAGTTCACATTCATCGATTTATTCCAAATGATCGTTAGACTAAGTAAGGCACAGACTGACCATTATAAGGGTAAAATGATACCCGGGGTCAAACAGCAAAGTTACCACAGCATCACAACCAAGTCAGTAACGGGTAAATCCTCCTCTGTTTGCCAAACAAGCATTGATCCGACGTGGCATACTCCTAATGAGACGTCTAAGGTCATTTTGGTCCAGATTGTCCCATTCCTGTTGCAACGCAGCAGCAAGTTCTTGGACATTGGCAGGACGTTGTTGACGTTGACGTAACCTCTGTCCAAGCATGTCCCAGACATGCTCGATGGGGGAGAGGTCGGGACTCAGTGCTGGCCATGGTAATGTGGTGATGTTCTGTTGTTGGAGGTAACCTGTAACGATCCTGGCCCTGTGACATCTTGCGTTGTCATCCTGGAAGATGAATTGGCGGCCATGACGTCGTGCGAACGGCACAACATGGACTGCCAAGATGTTGTCCCGGTAGTACTGGCCTGTAACACGCCCTGCAACAACATGTAAAGCCGTTCTTCCAGCAACAGTGATGCCTCCCCACACCATAACAGAACCACCCCCAAATCGATCATGTCTGATGACGTTAACGTCTTGGAAGCGCTCGTTTCGACGACGCCACAACCTCCTACGTCTGTCCAAAAAATCAACAGTGAACCTTGACTCATCTGAAAACATCACATTGCTCCAGCGTCGATTATCCCAGTGTTGACGATCCCTACACCAACGACGTCTTGCCTGAATGTGATGATCTCTCAAACAAGGGATCACGCGAGGACGTCGGGCGCGAAGGTGACCCCTATGCAGTCGATTCCGAATCGTCTGGCCACTCACTTTCACACCAGTGTCTGTTTGAAGACGAGCGCTGATCTGATTTGCTGTGATGACACGATTTCTCAAGGCCAAGGTACGGATAAATCGATCCTGGGCTTAGGTTGTCGCCCTTGGTCGACCTGAGCGTGGTCTGTCCTGTACAGATTGTGTATCACGGTATCTGGACCATAGCCTGCTTATGACAGACTGAGAAACATTCATCGTCCGCGCCACAACCGCCTGTGTTGTGCCGATCTGTAGCATGCCAAGGGCACGTAACCTTTCATTTTGGGTAAGCCGACGCATATCAAAATTTGTTTTCTGGTCACTAAAACAATTAAACTGATGTTTCCACCCTGGAATTCAATGCCACAATGACTGTAACATTCAAAGTCAGAGTCGTGCAAATCTTGGGTTGGACCCCCATGATGATCCCAAGCATCACCTGCATTCCATGCGGTAGCTATTGGTGCGTTTGGGCGTCACATGTAACTGGAAATGTTTCTTCTGTTAGGTTCTATAGTGACTTTTTTCGTAGTCATTTGCATATTTTAGTATTATGCTCCCAAAATCAAATATCCCCTACTTTTTTTGAATAGTATATAATAAAAGGCCTACGCAATATAGAACTTAGCAGCTTAGTAGTTCTAATAGTGAAGGGGGTTTGGATGGCCGAATGGTAAGCACGTGCGCGCTGTATCATTGAGTCAACTGGCGGAGTTTCGATTCCCCGGTTTCCCCCCACTGCTAAAGACCCCTACACGCAAGGGAATTATTGAAATAAAATCAATAGTCCAAAAATGACCTAGTCTGTGTCGAGTGGACGTTAAACTCTCTCTCTCTCTCTCTTTCTCTCTCTAAAGCGAAAACAAATCTAACAAACCGGGTACCTAGTCAAACCGGTTACCAAGTCAAATCGTGACAATGGTAAACAAAGAAGCTTAGGGTTTTATATATATAACCAATGGTCTCAGAAGATTTTAAAAAAAAACGAATTCTAATAGATCGACCGCTATCTATTGACACCAACAGCACACAGACTGGAGTACCCCGCGTCAATTCCAAAATAAATAAACCGCACATATTATTTAATTAAATTGATTATCTAACTTAGTCATGGTATTGATATATTGTCAACCTATATAAACCACTTTCCTTCAATTAGAATCAGGGGTATCGTTCCTCAAAGCATCAACCAAACAAAAAACTTATCTCCGCTTAGCCTTGGCAGACATTATAATCATTGAACTCCGTCAAGACATTCACGGAATGAACATCTACACCAAGTTATTGTGTTACAAAGTCTCAACCAATGAAATTCATTATCACACTGCTTAACCTGAGCAAAAATTGTTCTTTATCGAACTTAGTCAAGGCATTGTTGTAATGAACTAACTGTACACCAAGTTTCACTACTCTCGCTTAATGAGAATCAAGGTTATCGTGTCCGAAAGCAGTGACAAATCAAATGGCTTGTATTCGCTTCGCCTAACCAGAAAATGTCCATCGTCGAATTCAGTTAGACATTCGCCTTATAAACAGCTCCACCAAGTGTGAACATTTAGTTCTCGCTCAATTAGAAGAAGAGTTATTGTGTCACAAAACGACAGACATAGATAAGGACGGATGGACGAGGCTATTTAAATAGTTCGCTGCTTTCTTCGAAAGGCGTCAGTACAGAAAAGTAGGAAATGAAATGAAATACGATGGTTTAACGTCCTACTGTTCTGCTCCGAATTGGACTAATGAAGATGGGCATACGCAATACAGTGGTCTACGGCGTACTCTTATATCGAATTCCAACTATAAAGGGATCTTTTACGTGCACGTCAATGTGTACGCGGGACCCCGGTTTTCCGGCCCACCTGAACGACTGGGCAGCTGTCTTTGTCAGACCCTCCGTCGTCCTGCACCACTGACAAGGAAAGGAAACCATGCCGGAAAATCCCGAAGAACTTTCTCGGCCAACACCGGGATCGAACCCGCGACCACAAGGATAGCCACCGTGGCTCGCCGGAAAAATAAAACGTTAAACCTAATTTCATTTCTTCGAAAGGCGGACGACAAGAACAACAGCTTACAATTTTCTATGTTTATTTCAGGACAAATAGGAGACTGGAAAAATAATTTTTCATCTGCAGAATCAGAATCCTTTGATGCTTATTATCGTGGTATATTAGATCCTCTTGATCATATATATCTCACAGATAAACCTTCACCTGAACAATCAAACTAAACTTGTGGTATATTAGATCACCTTGATCAACTGATCAATCAAACTAAACTCGTGGTATATTAAACCCTCTTTATCAACTGAACAATCAAACTAAACTATGAAAATTATTGATATTATCAGAACAGCATCTGTGAAATTTTCTGTACTGGTAAATGAAAAATTGACATTAAATCGTGTATGTAATATTGGATAATAAAATAAAATTATAAATTTACTAGCAGGATACCCGGCTTCGCTCGGGGGTCATAACTCCGAAACCGGAAGTGGTAGACTAACGCCACCTGGCCTATGTTACTCCCCGGTCCGAGCTACCCCTATACCCCAAATTTCAGACTCGGGGCAGACCTAGTGTAGCCGCCAACCCCGAACAGACCGGCTTCGCTCGGGGGTCATAACTCCGAAACCGGAAGTTGTAGACTAACGCCACCTGGCCTATGTTACTCCCCGGTCCGAGCTACGCCTATATCCCGAATTTCTGACTCGGGGCAGACCTAGTGTAGCCGCCAACCCCGAACAGACTTCGCTCGGGGGTCATAACTCCGAAACCGGAAGTGGTAGACTAACGCCACCTGGCCTATGTTACTCCCCGGTCCGAGCTACCCCTATACCCCAAATTTCAGACTCGGGGCAGACCTAGTGTAGCCGCCAACCCCGAACAGACCGGCTTCGCTCGGGGGTCATAACTCCGAAACCGGAAGTGGTAGACTAACGCCACCTGGCCTATGTTACTCCCCGGTCCGAGCTTCCACTATACCCCAAATTTCAGACTCGGGGCAGATGTAGCCGCCAACCCCGAACAGACAGACTTCGCTCGGGGGTCATAACTCCGAAACCGGAAGTGGTATACTAACGCCACCTAGCCTTTGTTACTCCCCGGTCCGAGCTACCCCCTATACCCCGAATTTCAGACTCGGGGCAGACCTAGTGTAGCCGCCAACCCCGAACAGACCGGCTTCGCTCGGGGGTCATAACTCCGAAACCGGAAGTGGTAGACTAACGCCACTTGGCCTATGTTACTCCCCGGTCCGAGCTACCCCAAGACCCCAAATTCCAGACTCGGGGCAGACCTAGTGTAGCCGCCAACCCCGAACAGACAGACAGACAGACAAACGACAGTCACAAATATATATATAGATAGACATATTATACAGCCCAGATCCTATGTGATTTTAATTGTATATTTGTAAAATTAGATACAAATAATATTATGTTTTGATAAACCATCGATCAGACAGATGGCCGAGACAGTCCTGATCTCTTGGTAGTGTTTGGTATAGATATATATATTGATTTGATTTAAATTAAATTTAAAGTTAATTTGAATTTTTAATTTGCATATTTAACATACATTATATGGGAATATTCATTAATTGTATATTCTCTATCATTAAATACTACACCACATACACAATAAATAAATAACACCATTAAATATCTTGTAAAAATACTGGTCATTGTAAAGTTATTTTAAGGTCCAATTCTAAAGTGGCGCATTTCCATTTCTACCGGGCTCAATGGCGCATTAGGAGAGCTTCTATATAGTAATAAATGTCCATGTGTAAAGCACTAGATCCACAAATCGTGCTCAAAGCGCTCGATCTTATCTTAATGCGCCATAACTTAGAGTGGATCTGCCGAGTCTCGTCCGGTTTGTCGATACGATTCGTCCTCTTATGACTGGAATTTTAAAGAGAACCACTAGAAACTACACCCTCTAGTGTGTTCGCAAGGTTTTCGGCAAAGTCGCGGAATGTTGATTAGAGTTTGCCCTCTCATGACCCTAATGCTTCCTTCCAGTTTTGAAAAGGATCCGTTAAATCCATAGCCTCTATTGCGTTCACAAGGTTTCGGAAAAGAGGCATAACTCCCATGACCACAGTGCTGTGCAAAAAAAAAATTGAATATCGATAGGGTTAATCCTATCATGTCTTCAATGCTTCACACCACATTTGAGGACAATTCGTCCAAGACTGAAATGTGGACGCATTCAAATGACCTGCTGTACTACTGATAAAAGATTTCTTGAATTCGACAGATCTTTTCGTGAAGTATATTTTCGATTTTTAGCATCTCTGAGAATGTGTATTTCATTGTTCTTTGCTTTGTTTTTGGATTTTATTGTTCTCTTCAAAACTGTCAACTAATGTTAGACTTGCGGAGTTTTCAGAAAATGATATGAAATGGGGGTTAACGTCCTCCTCTTCTGTCCCGACTGGGCTAATGAAGTCGGGCATACGCCATACGGTGCTATGAGGGGTATTTTGCCCGGACAGCGGCACTACGGCTTTCTCTTACAAGACAGCGCGGGAGCGCCGCGCCCCGCCCTAAAGTGTGCTGTGAAGGGAAGTGTGTCTACTCTTATTTTTGTCTTAAGGGTTCTTTTACTGGTGCTCGGTTTTTATACGCCCACATTGAACTATTATTTACTTCTAGAGTTATCGCCCCTATCGTCTGTTCTGTGTGTACATGCATAATTTAAATTAATAAAATTAAGAAACTTATTTCCCTTAATGACATCTAGAGTACTTGTGGGGGGCCAATGGTTAGCACGTACGCGCTGTATCATACGGTCTGTCCTTGAGTCAACTGCATGGGTTTCGATTCCTCGGCTGTACGTGACAAGGAGTAGGGTCGCTTGTCCAACCTCGTGGGTTTTCTCCCCTCCTTCGGTTTGCTCCCAAGCTTAAGAGCCCTACGCGCAAGCGAATTATTGAAATAAAATTGAACCGTGTGTTATAGTCCCGAAATGACCTAGTTTGTGTCGAGTGGACATTAAACCCCACCTCTCTCTCTCTCTCTCCCTCTCTCTCTCTCTCACTTTATTGACCATTTTGAATGATCTATCTGAAAAATCTTATCTTCCGATCTGTATGAAATTTATATGTATTATTTAGATCAGTCAAACAAAGATGTTGTATTATAAGGTCCAGGATTTCAATAATTACCGTAGATAATTTCTTGAGTTATGGCCCTTATTTTACTTTGTTGACCTTGTTAACGCACTATATGCGTGCGGCAACCTTTGTCGACGACCTCGGCGATTTAGCTGTTGTGGGTGGATGTTTCGTTGCCTGACAGCCCCTCTTTCAACTAAGCACTCTCATCAAACAAAGCTCAATCTGAGATGAAGCTTGTCAGTGGGGGCATATGAAGGCTAAATCTATTTGTTAAGGTCAGCTCAATTTTTGTCAAGGTCGTTGAGATGTAAATCAGGTTATAGCACGTGTTTGTTGGCGAGATTGAAGGTTGGGGTTAGGATAAGCATTGGGGTTAGCTCATGGGTTAGGGGGTTGGGGTTAGCGCTAGCCCTGTTTACATATCGGGACCTATGACGAACAATTGAGCTGGCCATATCATTTAGCATTAACCGGCATAAGCATGCATGTTCTGTACACCTTGGTGTAGTTTTGAACACCCCCCCCCCCCCATGTATGTATCAAAGACTAGTCAGTAAAAAAGAATGGGTCTTCTATCATAATTAAACGAACACAACAATTGTTTTTTTCTTTTAATATATCTTTTATATTTTCGTTAATTTTTGCTCGAATGACTTTCTTTACGTTTCTGAGTTCAGAATTTATAGCTTTGCGAACCCCCGTGTATCAAAAGCTAGGCAGTGAAATTTGGACCTTCTCCATAATAAAACGAAGACCACTTTTATTTTTTAAAATATGTTTTAAAATTTCGATCATTTTTACTCGACTGACTAGCCGGTATATTTTCTATTGGTGTAACAACATGATAGTTATGGTCAGTAAAAACAGCCACACATCCAATAAACATTTGGAAGATATTGCTGAAAAAAACAAAAACAAAACAAGATCATATATTATAACTGTAGGTATAATCACTGCTTAATTAAAATAGCAATTGACACGAAATAAGTATCTATTTTTTCAACTAGTGTTTTGCAAAATTATGAAGTGCCTTTGTATAAAAATGAACTATATTTATAGGGCGGCGGGACGATTTACCCAATACTACCCAATATCACCCAATGCCACCCCAATATCACCACATATTGGGGTGGTATTGGGTAATTATCATCCCACCCCATCAGGACATCGAAGCGATGCCTTTGTATAAACTTCCGTTCATCTCGGTAAACACCATACTCCTCGCAGTGTTTCGTTTGGTGAGAGCTAATCTCACTTAACACTGCTGTAAAGAAAGCAAATTTATGTTCCATAGTCCGATTAACAACCAATAGCTTACTGCGTAACAATATCTCTACGCTATAAACAGAGTTCCAAATTGGAGCAAATATGTTTACATAACGTTAGGTATGACTCACGATTTTATTATGCCCAGTTAACCAGTACATAGCAGAATATTGCAGAAAAACTAATTGCGTGCCAAACGAGGCTATGAATACGGATACAATGTAAACAATACCTTTTGGAGACGAACAATACTTTCACCGTTTTTAATACCTTAAGTTTTAGAGAAGACCCCAGATTAAACGAAGGGCTGTCATATTGTTGTAATTGGGAAAGGTTTGATTGAACGGGAAGAATAGACACATTTCCCCAAAAGCTCATGTATCAGAAGTCAATCGAGCAATGGCCAGAGGGGGATTTCTTGGACCATTGCTTCAGGAATATAGGTAAGCACTAACCTAAATAGTAGGTTTATATTTTTTGGTAAAACTCATTAGAAATTGAGACCAAATAGAATAAATTGAAAGAAATCAAAAGAATGACGTCCTGTTAACAAAGAGTTCCAATGATAATACATATAGTAAAATATCTACTAGTACTTACATATGATAAAAGGAAATAGAAATGCTGTTTGAACTGACATTTGACCTGGTAAATCAGCCACACATCTATACGGTATATCTTTCTCATCCCTGTTTATAAATACTGATAAAATACTCTCAGAATTACCAAAACCTGAAACATTTATAAATACTCTCAGAATTACCAAAACCTGAAACATTTATAAATACTCTCAGAATTACCAAAACCTGAAACATACATAAATATTATGGTGGCTGATAGTGGCCATGTTAAATCTCGCCCTTTTCATAGCGCGACAACACGACATCACGACAGTATTGACGCAATCATACGACACTTAACTCTGTCGTATCATCGTGTTATTTTTATCGTAACGTCGAGATGTCGACTTATTGTCCTAGTCTCTTTCTACAAGTCACAAAAATACAGCTGTACTCATTACATAGATACATATAAATAAGACTCGTCAAAAGAGATAATAGGAAAACGTTGATTCGTTTTCTAAAAAAAAATGAAACATTTTGCGCCCAAAATTGAATTATATTTGGTATTACATTCAAAAAATCTAGAATCATAATAGCAGGACAAAAGTGAGTCAGCTATGTTAATTCCTTGAATAAGAAGTGGTGTCGGTAGGTATCGAACAAGTATGCATTGCCTCGTGTACGACACCCACCAATACTTATAGATTACTGAAGCGATAGTTTAGAAGCGATTTCAGAAGATTTCCAATTTATTTTATTAGAGTGGGAAGGGGATTATATAAAACCTCAAATCAGACCACATAAAATCACCGCATTGGTGTAGCACGCCATCCCAATAAGTGCAGGGGAGGTTTTTTATGAGGTGAAGAAAGCGATTTGCAGCTGTTATTGACCTTATCGCATATTCATCCGTTTGGCATCACTAATGGGATCGGGGCCTAGATGATTAAAAATAGGCCCAGTATTGCCTTCAGCTATGAACACACTCCGAAAGTCCCCTACGCACCCCCCCCCCCTCTTATTTTGTTTAACAAATAATTTCGGAATCAATAAAATGGTAGGTCCCTATCAATGATGTTTGACACGACTGGAAATTAATGTGTCTAAAATTGATTAAACAACATAGGGTAGTAAATATTACATTTTGAATCCGTATCAATGATACATTTAGGGTAGTAAATATTACATTTTGAATCCGTATCAATGATACATTTACTCAAAATGTTCCTTCCAATGGATCACCATTTAACTTGAAAACAAGGGAAGCAGCCGATCGAAGAAAAAAAGATTTTAAAAAACAAGTTTCAATATGATAGTAGTGGTTCGGTCATGCATTTACATCTGTGGGTGTCATCCTTTCTTTGAAAGTAATGATTGTGCCAGATTTGAACAAAGTCCATCTAGATTCGCGGCCTGTAGGTAAAGTGTTGACAGATAAAACGTAAAAAAAAACCCAGACCTATAAAAATATATTTTCTAAAACTATTTTAATTTTGAAATTATATTATTTTCACATGTGCTAAGTGTTTTAGTGAATAGTTATAGAAAGGGTCTTGTAGATTAAGACTATAGCGCATGTGCACTGTGCAGTTTTAAACTTCCGAGACGACAAGTCGACAAGTCGATGATACGACAGTTTCGCTTTTTGTCGTGCCGTCGTATCATCGACTTGTCGTGGCGATAAGTCGATGATACGACGGCACGACAAAATCGGGTCGATGACACGACAAAATCACGCGATCTTACGACAGTTTGTTCTGTCGTAAGATCGCGTGATTTTGTCGTAAGATCGTGTGATTTTGTCGTATCATCGATCTTACGATAAAATCGGGCGATCTTACGACAGAACAAACTGTCGTAAGATCGTCTGATTTTGTCGTATCATCGACCTTATTTTGTCGTGCTGTCGTATCATCGACTTATCGCCACGACAAGTCGACAAGTCGATGATACGACAAAACCAAACTGTCGTATCATCGACTTGTCGACTTGTCGTCTCGGAAGTTTAAAACTGCACATGCGCTATAGTCTTTATCTACAAGACCCTTCTATAAATATTCGCTAAAACACTTAGCACATGTGAAAACAATATAATTTCAAAGTTAAAAGAGTTTAAGAAAATATATTTTTATAGGTCTGGGTTTTTGTTTTTTTTGTTTTTTTTACATTTGATCTGTCAACACTCTACCTACAGGCCGCGAATCTAGATGGAATTTGTTCAAATTTGGCACAATCATTACTTTCAAAGAAAGGATGGCACTCTCGGAGGTAAATGCATGACCGAAGCACTACTGTCACATTGAAACCTGTTTTTTTTTTTTAAAAAATCTGTTTTCTTCGATCGACTGTTTCTCTTGTTTCAAGTTAAATGATGATCTATTGGAAAGAACGTATTGAGTAAATCTACGCTATCACTAAGACGGATTCAATATGTAATATTTCTCATTACTACCTATGTTGTTTAATCAATGCTATACATGTTATTTTTCAGTCGTATCAAACATCATTGATATCATTTTATTGATTCTGAAATTATTTGTAAAACAAAATAAGAGACGTGGGGGGGGGGGGGCGTATGAGGCTTTCATAGTGTGTAATCATCTAGGCCTCGATCCATTGTTTTTGGTGCTTGATATTTTGCGGGGGAGTCGCAGTGTCTAGGCAGGTAAGACGTTGGTTCGGTAACCCGAAAGCTGGGTGTTCTATCCCTTCATTGGACGAGAAAGTTCATCCAGATTTTACGACGAGGTCTTGTCAGTTGTGCTGGACAGAGGGCCTGGCACGTAAAATATCCCTTGGTAGTTGGAATTCGATATAATGGTAGGCCATAGTGCGCTGTCCTGGCAAAATTTCGCTCATAGTATGGCGTATGCCCGTCTTCAATATGACAGTACTGGTTCGGTCATGTATTTACACCCGAGAGTATCATCCTTTCAGAGGATCGCGTGGCTACGTGGGCAAGACGCTGGCTAGCTAGCCTGGAGGTCGGGTGTTCGATCCCACACTGATCAGAAGTGAATATTCGCTAGGCCTCTGATAAGAATGACATCGATGCGACTTAATGAGTCCCCAATATTAACATTATTCCTCCGACAAATTTAATTCTAAAAAAAATTTTTTTATGTATTAGAAAAATAAATAAAGACATTTGAAGTATTTGTAGGTAAAAAATATTTCCTATGTAGCGTAAATGGGTATTAAAATGAGTAAAAGGCATCATTCTACCCGAAGCAGTTACGTCTTATATAAACAATGCACGCGCCATTGGTCCAATGATTGACACCGCGTGACGTGATTGCATGTGTTGAAAACAGTCATCTTTTACAGAGATATTAGACGACTTTTTTCACAGATTGGTTCGATCCCTGCATTGGCCGACAAAATTCCCCCTTGTCAGTGATGCAGGACGGAGGGCCTGACAATGACAACTGTCTAGTCGTTCGGATGGGACGAAACACCGAGGTCCCGTGGACACATTGGCGTGCACGTAAAAGATCCCTTGGCAGTTGGATTTCGATATAAGAGCGGGCCGTAGCGCCGCTTCCCGGGCAATATTCCCTCATAGCACACTGTCTTTGAAAGTAATGATTATGCCAAATTTGAACATCTAGTTCCGCAGTCTGTAGTTATACCAGAGGGTTGACAGATAACACCTTAAAAAAAACAGATCTATGAAAATATATTTTCTAAACCTTTTTTAATTTTGAAATTATATTGTTTTCACGTGTGATAAGTGTTTTAGCGAATAGTTGTAGAAAGGGTCTTGTAGATGAAGACTATGACGCATGTGCAGTTTTAAACTTCCGAGACGACAAGTCGATGATACGACAGTTTGGTTTTGTCGTATCATCGACTTGTCGACTTGTCGTGTCGGAAGTTTGAAACTGCACATGCGCTATAGTCTTAATCTACAAGACCCTTTCTGTAACTACATGTATTCGCTGAAACACTTAGCACACGCGAAAACAATATTATTTCAAAATTAAAAGAGTTTTAGAAATATATTTTTATAGGTCTGGTTTTTTCTTTGGGTTTTTTTACGTTTGATCTGTCAACACTCTACCTATAGGCCGCGAATGTAAACTGACTTTGTTCAAATTTGGCACAATCATTACTTTCAAAGAAAGCATGACACTCTCGAATGTAAATGCATGACCGAATCACTACTGTCATATTGAAATGTGTGTGTTTTTAAATCTTTTTCTTCGATCGCTGCTTTCCTTGTTTCATGTTAAATGATGATCCATTGGAAGGAACATTTTGAGTAAATGTACGTTATCACTGATACGGATTCAATATGTAATAATATTTCTCATGTTTAATCAATTTTTGACATATTATTTTCCAGTTGCATCAAACATCATTGATACCATTTTATTGATTCTGGAATTATTTGTAAAACTAAATAAGAGACGTGGGGGGGGGGGGGGTATGAGGCTTTTAGAGTGTGTTCATAGTTGAAGATATTACTGGGCCTATTTTTACTCATCTAGGCCCCATTCCCATTAGTGGTGTCAAACGGATGCAAGCCTATATGCGATAAGGTCAATAACGGCTGCGAATCGTTTTCTCCACCTCATAAAAAAACTCCTGCATCTATTTGGGTGACGGGGGGGGGGGGGGTATGAGGCTTTTAGAGTGTGTTCATAGTTGAAGATATTACTGGGCCTATTTTTACTCATCTAGGCCTCAATCCCATTAGTGATGTCAATGGGAGAGAGAGAGAGAGAGAGAGAGGGAGGGTTTAACGTCCACTCGACACAAATTAGGTCATTTCGGGACTAACATATGGTTTAATTTTATTTCAATAAATCGTTTGCGCGTAGGGGTCTTTAGCAGTGGGAGGAAACCGGAGGACAAGGAGAAAACCCACGAGGTTTGACAGGCGACCCTACACCTTGTCACGTACAACCGGGGATTCAAAACCACGCCAGTTGACTCAATGACAGGCTGCGAATCGTTTTCTCCACCTCATTCAAAAAAACTCCTGCATAGTTAGCGCGTGCGCGTTGTATCATAAGGTCTGTCGTTGAGTCAACTGGCGTGGTTTCGATTCCCCGGTTGTACATGACAAGGTGTAGGTTAGCCTATCCAACCTCGTGGGTTTTCTCCGGGTCCTCTGGTTTACTCCACTATTGATGCTAGTCGTAACCCGGGTTACCTAACCACGTGACATTGTAAATCTCCTGCCTTCTTTTTTAAGCAGAAATTTCCACATTTGTTCCCCAAGAAGGGTTATATAATACCACAATGGAAGCTAAGCCGTTTGAAACTATAGATGGAGGCGGTAATGTAATGAAGCTAATGAAGATTGGTGACAGATTGCTCAGTAAAGATTTGGCTGGCAAATGGTGTGGTATGTGTGACGTAAAAGCAAGAGTTGATGACGTATTTATAATGGAGTATCTCAAGTCAGGTGAAGTATCTTCTTTTGAATAATTAAAGCAAAAAGCCGAAGTTTCTTTCAAGTTTCTGATTAACTTTGTCTTCAACCAGTGGCATGTTATCGTCATTTTCATTTTTGACATTAATTTATGCCTTTTTTTTGTGCACAGGACATCATTGGGTGTATGAAATTGTGTCTATGCTACGCAGTGGACAAACTGAGCTAATGCCCAGTACCATGGAATCAACTCATATGGAAGCACTGAGCCCAGCAATGGTGGATCAGATGCCATCACCAAGAACTCTGTGTACACATCGCTACCCTGCCGAATTACCACGTAATCTGACAGATTTGAAATGTAAAATAATTCTATTGATAAGAAATCCAAAAGATGTATGCGTTTCTGATTTTAACTTCCTGCGAGAAATAAAAGAATTAGAGTATGAAGGTTCCTTTAGCGACTTCATTTCCTTATTCAAAAGAGGTGATGGTAAGTACATACCGCTATTTTTATATCATGGACCGGCTGTATAGGTAATGGAGCAATTGTGGGTGTTTTGTGTTTTCATGTCACCCCGATCAAAACTCTTCCACTCACTGGATCTTTGCTTCGAGCAACTTTCGTCGACTGCATCTTGTGCTTAGTCTTACAGTTCTCACATAGTTAATCACTAGATAACGTAAAGGCAATTTGTTGAAAATTTTATTCCAATTGATCCACTATGAACCGAAAACTAAGCGAATGGAATTTCTGCCTAGCCTCGGTCATCATTACTAAAGTCTCGATTATCTATTTAATCGTTTAATCGAGAAGGAAAGTTATGCAGTAAATCGGCTCACAATCGACTTAAGAACGCAGGCTAGCGATGCCATCTAGAGTTGATTATGGTCTGGATAAGTTAATTAATGTCTAATTAATAATTTAGATAACATTTCAGGCCTAAAGAAAGACCTGCAATAGACAGATTTAGCTCTTGCATAATGTATGTATAAGTGTCCCGGGAGCCGTATCTTTCTCGAAGGTCAAAGCAAAGTTTCCCTGACAATGCATTAAACCCGAACACTTCAACAATTTCATATCCTCTGTCGGTTAACAAGGGGGTCCCAAGATTACACCGAGCAACATCTCCTGATCCAGGGCTCTGTCCATATCAAACTTGGTTTTTAGATATGTGTGATATGTCCGGATCTTGAGATCACGAGAGCGTTGTATGTTTATCGTATATAGCGCCGATGCTAATAAGCATATAACTATTCTGGAATCAAATGATGAACCTCGAATGTTTAAATGCATTGGGATTAAGACCATTAAAATAAAAAGACAGTTTTTACATCTATGTAATTAATTACATTCAGATTGTTCAAATTTCATAGTCATTTTTCAAATTTTCATCAGTAATACACATGCTCTCTATTATTAAACACATGGTCGACTTCATGCACTGGTTTCTACGGTCGAATGCACGCCGAGCGTGGTATCTGGTCTCCATCTCTAAATTCTATTTTTATTAACAGTGTAATTTTAAAGGCCCTATCTTGCAACTAATGTCTTGCCGCGAGAGAGAGAGAGAGAGAGAGAGAGAGGGATGGGGTTTAACGTCCATTCGACACAAACTAGGTCATTTCGGGACTAACATATAGTTTAATTTTATTTCAATAATTCGCTTGCGCATAGGGGGTCTTTAGCAGTGGGAGGAAACCGGAGGACCCGGAGAAAACCCACGAGTTTGGACAGGCGACCCTACTCCTTGTCACGTACAACCGGGGATTCGAAACCACGCCAGTCGACTCAATGAGAGACTTTATGATACAGCGCGCGCACGCTAACCATTCAGCCATCCGCCCCCCCCACCCAAGATGCCGTGATGTAAATTGAAATGACCCAATGAACTTATTTTCTAATCTTTTTGTGGATGAACATATATGGCGCTTTTTATTAATTGTACATTGGGGAAAGAATGAAATATCGCCAAGGCGGAGCGGTTTCAGAACACGTCGTTTTGAGGCGTCTCTCGTCTTTTCGATAAATCACGTCCGATTTTATCAATATACCAATTATGTCTAAAAGAGATGATCGGGGAGGGTATGCACGAAAAAAAAAACAACCAAGTACTCTCTCGCGAACAAGAAACATGAAATCTGTGGTTGTTAGGGATCAAGGTTGGTTGGTTGTAATGAGATCTATTTGCTGGCATACGGGCAAATGTCATTTGATTTTTTCTGTTGCTTCGTAACTCCTGGTGGGCGTAATTTCAATCATCTTGCTTGGTTTATTTGCTACTGACATCGTGGTAAAACATTCACTCCCGGTCGATCACGATAACGCAACAAACATATCGTTTGTCATCAATTATTCTCTGTAAGCATCGATTCTAAAACCATCATAACTACACGATGACCCAACCGTTCTTGTATGTTTGTCAATTTATTTTATAGTCTTCTTGAACTCGTGGGATAGCCATTTTCTTGATTGGAAGAAGTTTAAATGTGAAAATCCAAACTACCCCATACATACAGTTAGGTATGAAGACTTGAAAACGGTAAGTGTTCGCCAGTTTCGTATCAATTCTTTTCTTAGAAATGACACTTTAAAAAGGCCCATTACCATAATACACATACTAGGCCATCGGAACCCCAATAATTTGCAAATATGTGTTTATTAGTGTAGGGGATCACGTGGCTAAGTGGGTAAGATGCTGGCTCGCTAGCCTGGGAGTCGGGTGTTCGATCCCTGCATTGGCCCAGATTTTCCGGCGTGGTTTCCCCTTGTCAGTGATGCAGGACGGAGGGCCTGAAAGGACAGCTGTCTAGTTCTTCGGATGAGACGAAAGACCGAGGTCCCGTGTATATATTGGAATGCACGTAAAAGATCCCCTGGCAGTTGGAATTCGATATAAGAGTAGGCGATAGTGCCGCTGCCCGGGCAAAATTTCCCTCATAGCACACTGTATGGCGTATACCCACCTTCATTAGCCCAGTATAGGAGCAGAACAGCAGGACGTTAAGCCCCATTTCATTTCATTTCATTTCAGTTTATTAGTGTAAGAATTGGCCCGGGAACGCCATTTAGGGTTCACTACGCGGTAAATTTGGACCTATACGAGCATTTCGCAACAATAAAAAAAGCTGTGACGAATAATCTGATATATTAGGACTTCTTCTTTCTTTCAGAGACCAGTTGATGAGATTAAAAAGATGGCTGATTTTCTGGATATTAAATGTCCAGAAAAGATGTGTCAAGACATTGCCATGGCAACTGAATTTTCTAAAATGAAACAACAGAAGGAATCGCTTACCCACCGGTTTATATCTACATATAAAAGTGGGAAAGAAGTAATGTATAGAAAAGGTAAATACGACAAAACAGAGAGAGAGAGAGAGAGAGAGAGAGAGAGAGTTTAACGTCCACTCGACTCAAACTAGGTCATGTCCGAACTAACATATGGTTCAGTTGATTAAATGGCACCCGCTGATCATCCGGCCACCCAACTCCCCACATAACTTAGCAGCCTAGTAATTCTAATAGTTAACACGGAAAGAAATGTAATTTAATATAGTTTCCCCGAGCCAAACGGGGTACCGAGTCAAACCGGGTACCAAACAGGACAGTGGTAAAAAAAAAGAAGCTTGGGGTTTTATATATATACATGTATAACACCAATGGTTAGAGTCCCCGCGCCAATTCCAAAATAAATAAACGGAATATATTATTTAATTACACATTTATCTTTTTGTGAAGAATCGCGAAATCAAACTGATTATCTAACTTAGTCAAGGTATTGATGTAGTCAGCCTATATAAACCAAGTTATAATCTTTTATGTTTATTTCAGGGAAAATTGGAGACTGGAAAAATAATTTTTCATCTACAGAATCAGAATCCTTTGATGCTTATTATCGTGGTATATTAGATCCTCTTGATCATATATATCTCACAGATAAACCTTCACCTGAACAATCAAACTAAACTTGTGGTATATTTGACCACCTTGATCAACTGAACAATCAAACTAAACTCGTGGTTTATTAGATCACCTTGATCATATATATCTTACAGATAAACCTTCACCTGAACAATCAAACTAAACTTGTGGTATATTTGACCACCTTGATCAACTGAACAATCAAACTAAACTCGTGGTTTATTTGACCACCTTGATCCACTGAACAATCAAACTAAACTTGTGGTATATTAGATCATCTTGATCAACTGAACAATCCAACTAAACTATGAAAATTATCAATATTGTTAGAACAACATCTATGAAATTATCTGTACGGATAAATTGAAAGTTAACATTAAATCGTGTATGTAATTAGCTATTGGATAATAAAATCAAATTATAAATTTATAGGCATATTAGATTTTAATTAATCATTTATTTATTCATATTATACAGTCCAGATTCTATGTGAATTTATTTGTATTTTTGTAAAATTAGACACAAATAATAATAGTATGTTTTGATGAATCATCGATCAGACTGATGGTCGAGTGTAAGAGACAACCCTGATCTCTGGTGGTGATTTGGTATAGATATTTATATTGATATGATTTAAACCAAAGGACAATATTGGTGTCAGTCATTATCACGTGTGCTAGAACTCGTTAAACACTTTCCAAATATACTTTTAACACAGAGATCATTGCTACGATAGATGCGTAATCAAGGTTTCTGTAAAAGGAAGTGACGAATACAAAAGGATAACACGAGTTATCCTTCTATATAACTGACTGAATGACGAGTGATAACAACTTTTGGTCTTCGAAGGAATTATTAGTGAGCAGAAATTTGCGTTCGAGGGACGGCCATTTTGTCCGGCAGTTTTGGTCCGATTTTCACAAATTTCGAACTCAGTCATTAAGGTGTAACGGTGATATATTCAAACGGTTTTTTAAATCGGAATAAAATTGTGACCTCCATAGGGTCCGCAAGCTAAAAAACGTGATTTTTTACAATCAGGGGCCATAATTCAGGAAGTCACGGTCCGATATGCGCGAATATCGATAGGAACCGAGATCTTTAGGTTATAAACTTACATTTCAAATTTCAACAAAATCAGATAAAAATTGTGACCTCTATAGGGTCCACAAGCTAAAAACGTGATTTTTCGTACAATCAGGGGCCATAACCCATGAAGTTACGGTCCCATACATGCCAATATCAAAATGAACCAAGATATTAGGGGGATAAACCTATATTTCAAGTTTTGTTGAAATCGGATAAAAATTGTGACCTATAGAGTGCATCCACAAACAATTGTGGACGGACGGGTGGACACATGAAAATTTGGGCGTATAAAAAGAAGTACAACTCTCGTGATTACAATCCTGTGCAACAAAAAAATTTGAATATCGGTAGGGTTAATCCTCTCATGTCTCATGCTTCACACCACATTTGAGGACAATCCGTCCAAGACTGAAATGTAGGCCCATAGAAATGTCCTGCTGCACTACTTTTTCGATTTTTAGCATCTCTGAGAATGTGTATTTCATTATTCTTTGCTTTGTTTGTGGATGTTGTTGTTCTCTTTAAAACCGCCAAGTAATTATAGATTTGAGGAGTTTTTCAGAAAACGAAATCAAATGGGGTTTAACGTCCTACTGTTCTGATCCGACTGGGCCAATGAATCCCAACTGCCAAGGGATCATTTACGTGCACGCCGATGTGTACATGGGACCTCGTTTTTTCATCCAACCACAGGAGTCTGACCTTCTATCCGCATATATATGCATACACCATGTCCAACCAGCCATGCGCTGACGTCACACAAAATCAATCCGCGGTAAGTGGACCATTGAAACAAGTGCCAAAGATATTTTTAGTTTTTCTCTCCCTTTCCATTTTCCCCCTTTTGCATAGTGATTTTTGTTGACTTTTGGGTGTAGAATCGAAGAAGGGGGTTTGCATATACATTTTCTGCCAGGTATTGGTGAATATTCATCATTATGAGGCGGAAGTATACAAGACTTCAGAAGTTGGTTAGCTTTTTGTGTGACGTCAGCGCAAGGCGGCCGTGACAAAATGGAAACGGACGAAAGTAATGTAAATATTGGAAACAAGTGGCTATTATATCGTTTTGTGGGAGTATTTATGCAAATGAAAACGACTAGATTGAAGAAAAAACATATCTGAGTGAATTGAAAGAAGTTTGGTTGCCTGACATTATGAATTGTTGAAAAAAAACGAGCCGAAGCGAGAGCACTAAAATCGAGTCTTCAACAGGCATTGCATTCCTGTTCTTTTTTTATTGTATATTGTCTGGTTGGACATGGTGTATGCATATATATATATATATACGGATAGAAGGTCAGTCTCCTCTGATCCAACCGACCGACTATACGCTGTCTCTTTCCAGACCGTCTGTCCTGCAGAGGCGGACCACGCCGGAAAGTCTCATGAACTTTCTCGGCCAACGCAGGGATCAAATACGGATCCTCCATGTTATCGAGTCACCGTCTTGCCCAATGACCCGACACCGACTGATTTTCAATCATTGTATTTTAGAACTATGGGGGTTTGTATAAGATTAGGGGGTTGGATGGCTGAATGGTTAGCACGTGCGCGCTGTATCATAATGTCTGTCATTGAGTCAACTGGCGTGGTTTCGAATCCCCGGTTGTACGTGACAAGGAGTAGGGTCGCCTGTCCAACCTCGTGGGTTTTCTCCGGGTCCTCCGGTTTCCTCCCACTGTTAAAGACCCCTACGCGCAAGCGAATTGTTGAAATAAAATTAAACCATGTGTTAGTCCCGAAATGACCTGGTTTGTGTCGAGTGGACGTTAAACCCCATTTCTCTCTCTCTCTCTTGTAAGATTAAAAAAATTTGCATAATGCCGATAATACCGCATGTTTCAACTCAATGCAAATACTGACCGTGATCTGATTAAGCCACGTCATATCCGATCTCGTTTCTTTTTTTTTATAGTTCAAAATGTCGTTTTACTTGTCTTTACAACACTAGGATCTAGAAGAGTTGTTATATAACCCGCGTTCTGGTTGAAGTGAGGGATTAGCCAATGAAACGGTCTGTTACGGCGAGATATTGGCGTGCGCTGCACGGAACTGTGGGTATTATGAACAAAAAGAAACGTCAACGCTGATTGATTAATCAATGTCTGACGTCATAGGTTCAAAAGCCGCTCGTACAACCACTGACCGTGGTTTGTTTAAATCGATTAGCAAGAAAACTAATGAAGACTAATTACCGTTCCTATCCGTAACTGTCTTGTGTGTTTTGGGTGGAAATAAAGCAATCTTTCTAGCACCTTTATACCATCTAAGATCTGCTGGAGGTCGACTGTGCGTAGAACGACATATTAAAGCTACAGGCTGGTTGTTGGGATATGGTGGTTGAACATCTGAGGTTAAAGATAAGTCTTCCATTGGTACTGTCAATAAAATAGCAATTCGAGTTTAGTCTCGACTTAGGTTTTATCATAGGATGTTTAAACTAAACCCCTTGCCAACAGTGTCATATCAACTTCCAATCCGAAGCCAATAGCAATTCGAGTTTAGTCTCGACTTCAATAAGATAATAAATAGCCTGCCTTTCACCACGGAGACGGACAAGACGGTGTTTTATATTATACTTTAAACACGCTTTCAATAGTTTCATAGTAAATTCCAATAGTACAGACGAGTTCTTCCAGTCCGAACCTAATCACAATTTAAAGGAGCGAAGTCGCTAATATTTGGGACCTAGAAATTGACACAAATGGGTCGCAACGCATACAATAATGTAATATGAATGTATATAAATTGATTTACATTCATTCGTTTCTTTTTTACTGTAATTTCTAATAGTTAGGTTCGGCGACATACGCCAGTATTCTCAATCGAATTTCAATCTCTAGCTTCTGGTTATTCCAGTCTACGCCGATAGTATTCATTGGGCATGCTCTCCAGATAAGAATATAAGCGTCACCGTTTGACATGACTTGTGGAATATGCCTAGCCTCGTTTTTCGAGTCCCTAATTACAAATAGCACGGAAACGCATTATGGTACACGATTCGTGTACCAATTGTAAAATGTTTATTATGTCTTAACTATTGGATATCAGAAGGCCAACTTTTCCCGGTAAGATCACAACATCAATGTTGATTTAAACCGACAAATAAATCGTGTTTTCAATGTCGAAGATTTTGGATGATATTGAGTTAGAGACTTCGCTACTTTAAGTTTAGCCGATAACAAAAATAGCTTGGTTTTATTTTAGCAAGGGTTGTTCAGTATTATTATCAATCTAATTAAAATACAGATCTATATTTCGTTTCGTTTTTTAAATACCTTCAATAGCCTTTACAAGGAAAATGAAATTTTGAACTATAAAAACCGAAACGAATGGAATCTGTGTTTCAAATAGATTGATATTATTATACGTTGTCGAACAAATTAAAAAAAAAATTATATATGTCAGTTACCTGATACATATAAAGACATGTTGTATTTTTCTTGTTGATTTTCACACTGATAAAAACCCTCATCACGTAGTTGTACATCTCTTATTAACAGATTATTATCAATATTAGTACTATATTTACTCATATTAGTTGTTTTACTTTTATAACTTAATAACTGATACTGTTCTTCCGGATATATCTAAATTAAAAAGAATGTAAAAAAAAATAACAATGTTAAAGGTCGAAAGTATCAACCCTTAAGAATAATTTAATATAATCTATCAAAATTAATAATTAATGATAGCTTTGTATGCCTGTATGAAAGTATTCCATAATATTATGGGTATTAATTAATTTTTAACTAGCTTAAAATTCAACAAGCGTGTGTTCATTGTGAACACAGAAATCATCTACTTCATACTTCGAGAATAGATCTCTGCCCTAAATGGCCACCATATCCAAAAATTCAACAGGCACCTGTCCAGGGGGCGCTTTGGCCTAACTCCAGTCTAGTCTTATATATCCACTTAAATGAACCGGTATTGTCTCGGAGTTTGTGATTTTATCACATTCGCTGGTAATCCCCCAGACCGCACGCCAAACTTGACGTTGTTTGCTCCCGGATCCCCGTTACTTAAATTCCTGGACATGTCTCTGATTAACCGCATACTATTAAAATTAGGAGAAATAGAAATAGGTAACTTTGAATATCTTCAGAAAATTGGAATCCATAGCAACCAACAAGTAGCAACCAACAAGTAAAATAAAAACAGAAAATTACCTTCTCCCATAAAATAAGTTGTTCGCTGTCTGTAGGAATGATGCTACAATTAAGAGTGACGTCATTTCCTATTAAAACGGATGCGTTATTATATAGTTCATAACCGTTAACCAAACCTGTAAAAGATTTACAATTAAACAGGCATTATGCAAGAGCTATATCTGCCTATTTCAGGTCTTTATTTAACCCTGAAATATTATATTAACTATTAATTAAACATGCATTATGCAAGAGCTAAATCTGATTATTGCAAGTCTTAATTTAGGCTTCAGATGTTATAGAAATTATAAATTAGATCTTTATTTAAACAACAAGACCAAAATCAACTCTGTAGACCCACGGATGGCTCGGCTACAGCTCGGATTTAAATAGGATTTCACTAATTGATTAAATCAAATAAGGGGTAACCTGATGAAAATACGTCAGTTAGATCGAGGCTAAATGATAGAGTGTACTTAGCGAGACCGCTGTAAAGCGTTTCCGTATGCCATTGAAAACTTTACTTGATAATCGAGATATGTAGGTGGAGTTAACGCCTGTCAATCAAACGATCGGCGAAGGTGAAGACACATTTCGCTACCATTTTTAGTCAAATATTACAACGATGATAACTATGTTCAGAATAAAGTAATTTGACTGAATTTTTCAATATATTATTCTTTCATCATCTACTTTTGAACTGTTATAGCAAGAATGGCCAACTCTCTATAAAAATCTCCCATAATGTATCTTTAAACATTTATTAATATGACAAGACCATAATCAACTCTCGATGCCATCGAATATCTCCGATATTAAGTAGATTAGTACGGTTCGACCATATTTTGATTTAATTTAAAAATGGAGAAACGAGGCTTAGCTCCGAACAACCAGTACGTTGGTTAAATAAATGCACACGTCTTGTCAAACTTTCAAAGGCTAATAGGGTCTTTAGCAGTGAGAGGAAACCGGAGAACCCGGAGGAAACCCACGAGGTTGGACAGGCGACTCTACTCCTTGTCACGTACAACCGGGGAATCGAAACCATACCAGTTGACACAAAGACAGACTTGTGATACAGCGCGCACGCGCAAACCATTCGGCATCCAACCCCGCTTTTAATAAGGAATTGTTCTATCGCCAGCCATAAAACTGCGATGAAATATCAAACACTGTACAGCAAAAATTACGATATCCTGACCGATAATAGTAATACCACAATTCTTTTTTTAAAAGTTCTATCGTTCTGAAAATTTGAATCCCACAGCGTTTGTGGACATAGTCTGGTTCTTGGGTTGCGAAATATTTCCTCAGCACTATGGTCGGGGTTCTTTGAAACTGTAACATGATATTTCCAACATAATCCAACAGTTTTGAGATCTTCTACATTACGATCCTTGTTCAAGGGATGGAAAGAACGAAACTTCACAAACATGAATAACTCAATGTCTCCTTCGCATCCAGATTCTCTTTTGGTGGTTTTAGAATAGAACAAATCCTTACCCATTAGAGATAGTATTATTATCACAGGTTGATAAATAGGTGCCATTTTCTTTCTTCTTTCTTTAAAATGAATATGTTCTTGAATCAAATTTCAATACTATTATCCATAACCACACCTTCAATTGCCATATTAAAATATCACGAATCTCTCCACACAGGTAAGGGATTTAGTTACAATCGTGACTAACTTCTAATTCAAATTACAGGGTGAAAGGTGAAACGCAAAATACCCGCATGAGTTCATTCCACAAGAATGATACCTAATATTTGTTCTCGATAAGAAACCAAATGATAAGTCAATATTAATATATTTATTCTATCTCTTTATCCTTTCGTGTACAATCTTATTATAATAGATAATATATCTAATTAGTAACGACACGAAATAAATTAAACCAAATAAAACCCTTCATATTTGTAATAAATATTTGTATAATTCATCCGATTGAAGAGTTGGCGGGGGCCAGGGCCGTATTTAGCGGCGGAGGTGCAGGGGGTACATTTCACCCTCAAAAAAATAAGCCGCCCCGAGAATTTGCGCCCCCCCCCCATCCCCCAAAAAATATATATTTGACAATCTTTCAATTATAAAATAATACACTTGATTATGATCACACAGTGATACTCTTAAGGCACTCATCAGTCGATCGGTTTTAAGGGCGCCCACACGCCAATGGGTTCGTTTGCCCTGATCGAAACTTTCTTATATCACATACATGGAGGCTATGGCGCCCCACCACTCTGCTGCACCCCCACTTTTAAAATCCTACATACGGCCCTGGCGGGGGCACGGGTTAGTGTGTCCGAATTTCTCTATCTTGCCCGAATAACGAAATAAAATGGGGTTTAACGTCCTACTATTCTGCTTCGACTAGGCTAATGAGTACGGGCATGCGCCATACAGTGTGCGATGGGGGAAATTTTGCCCGGACAGTGGCGCTATGGCCTATTCTTATTTCGAAAACCTGTCGAGGATTCTTTTACGTGCACGCCAATGTGTACAAAAGACCGTTGGATTTTAGTCTCATCCGAGCGACTATACGTTGCCCCTTGGCGGGTATTATTAACCCCCAAATATTTAGACGACCATACATCTGGGCAAGGTGGACAATCATGCAACTTCCATCTTTTCCATTTCACTTCCATTTCAATACCCGTCCGTTCGCTGTTGGTGAAAATATTCTATATGACCTATATTTACAAACAGATATTCATTTACTTATATATATGGTCAACCTGGGAATTAATCCAATTATAAATACACGTATTGATTAATCGGGCTAATTAATTAGGGATGTTACTATTTCGTTTATCCTATGTGTAAATAAAATGTCTCTTATTCTGGCAAGATTCCCGGGTAACTGTCTATTAATCGCAATAGATAATTCTTCTGTTTTGACAACAGAATTTCGTTCCTCTATAAAAAGATAGGGTTTATTCCACATTCCTTCAGAGACGGACTAGAATCAGAAGAAGGGTAACAGGGTTGTAGTATAATTTTATAAAATAACAATGAAGACCATCGGTGTTGTTATTATTTGTTGCTGGACTCTCTTTCAAGGTAAATACAAATATAGATTTTTAATTTTATACATTTTATTATTTTTTTCCATTTCCCAAACCCTGATTTACAATACTCAGTCATGAAGACTTCACAACAATAGTATCTGAAGGTCATTGCCAAGTATACAAAAAATTGATTATCCGTCCCCTTCAAATCTTTGTTTGTGTAATGATTATATGGCGGTCTTCATGAAAGAAGTTTTATTTCCTAAACATGAACAAGGTTATTACTTTTGTTACAGCTAGAACATCATCAGCAACATTGATCACCTTAGCACCAGCCAACGCGTCTGCTGCAGTAGGAACAGACGCCATTCTTGGATGCATGGTATCTAATAAAGGAACGGATAAAGTTAAATGGCGAAAGGTAGGGTTAGGGTTGGGTTAGGTGTTGGGTTAGGTTAGGGGTTGGGTTAGGGTTGGTTAGGGTTAGATGTAATTCTCACAAATAAAACCAAAACAACCAGTTGGTGTAATATACAATTAAACTTTGTTATCTCGAAGTCTGTTATTTCGAAGGTCTGCTGCATTACGGCGGGGTCAGCTCCCGGTTCCAGCCATTTCTTGATTTAAATTGGCAACAAATCACAAACTGTAATATATTAATTAAGCTGATGACATGATCTCGAAAACCAAACGATGGGCTACTTATGTAAAGCGAGCATCCTAATAGGCTATTATATGTTACGAATAGGACAACGCCTATATCTCAGCAAGGGATGGACAGGACGGTATCAAATGAAATAACGTAATCAAAATTTATCATTATTTTTATACCGATTCGACGAAAATCATCATGCAAGCTGTCTCTTTATAAAAATCTTGCTTACTTTTAAATGGCGAACCGTTTGATTATGGTCTTGCTTTGTTAATAAATGTCTAATCAATAATTTAGATAACATTTCAAGCCAAAAGAAAGATCTGCAATAGACAGATTTAGCTCTTGCATAGTGTATGTTTAAATTTGTTCATTGGTATAAATATTGTATATTTTCAGGCAGGAGATACGGAAACGTTAACGGCTGATGCTGTCAGCGTGAAGAGTAACAGATACAAAGTTAGTGGCGCCAATAACAATTATAATCTAACCATAACAAGTATAACAGTACAGGATGAAGGTGAATACATCTGTGAAGCAGGAGATACCGGAAGTGGACCTACCATATCTAAATCAGGCTTTCTGATTGCTGTTGGTAGGTTTTACACTATGCTTATTGGACTTGATATATTTTATAAACAATTCAAATGGATCATCTTGGTTCGGAAACTTTTCAACCAGTTACACTTGTTCAGTTGAAGCATAGTGAGTAATGTAACTCTCAAAATAGTATTATTCAGCATTGAAGCGTGGCTGATTCTAACAATGGAGACTCCTAGAACTTGAATTTTGTATTCCCGTTTTCAAAGCGATAATTTAGGGCAATAGGATATCACAACCAGATATTTTAACCAAATATACTTTTACCAAGAACTTGTTTTATAATTTTAAAGAATACTCTTGATTTTCTTTTTACAGCCTTACCAACTAACATCAGTGCCTATTGGAGTACCCTGCCTATACCTGGTACCACAGCCAATCTAACATGTCGTGCTACTTATGGTCGTCCACCTCCTAGGTTAACATGGTTTAAAGATGAAATCCCATACAATGTGTATGCATATACCTCTAGTAATGTTAATGCAATGGGTAAGTCTACGTCAAGTCTAGTAATCTGGAGCCTGTTTCACAAAAAATTATAAGATTTAAGTTAAAAATTTACTCAAAATTCTTGGCCTTATTTTAACAAAAATATAGCCCTTATAAAACTTTTGTTGTTTGAATATCAAATACATTTGTGTTACTGGATCAAAGATATTTCTCATAAACAGCGATTGAAAGTTGAATAAATTCCTAACTTAAGTCTGAGAATGCTTTGTGAAACCGGGGCCTGATTCTTATAATATACATATATTAATGTAAATGCTTTGGCCAAGTCTACGAATCTTTGAGATCTAGGAATAACATGGGGGGAAAATCCATGCTTTAAAACTACGAAAGTAAATATACATTAGTCTGAATGGTTTATATATATTAATCTAGTAATGTTAACGCTTTGAGTAAGTAAATCTAGTAATGTTAATATTCCGAGTAGGTAATCTATTAATGTTAATACTTTAAGTAGGTAAATCTAGTAATATTAATACTTCGAGTAAGTATATATAATAATATTAATACTTTGAGTAAGTATATCTAGTAATATTAATACTTCGAGTAAGTATATCTAGTAATATTAATACTTTGAGTAAGTATATCTAGTAATGTTAATACTGTGAGTATATCTAGTATATTAATACTGTGAGTAAGTATATCTAGTAATGTTAATACTGTGAGTATATCTAGTATATTAATACTGTGAGTATATCTAGTAATGTTAATACTTTGAGTAGGTAAATCTAGTAATATTAATATTAGTAATATTAATATTGTAAGTAAATCTAGTAATGTTAGTACAGTGAGTAAATAAATCCAGTAATGTTAATACTTTAAATCTAGTAATGCTACGCTTAAGTCTAAACTTATATGTCTAGTTCCACAAAATAAGCACAAGCGAATTATTTGGTAAATACAGACCATATGTTAATCCAGAAGTAACCTATTGATGAACCTTAAACTCTATTCTCCTTTGTAGGATATGGGGAGCCACGGTGGCTAAGTGGGTAAGCCGTTGACTCGCTAGCCTGCAAGTCGGGTGTTCGATCCCTGCATTGGACAAGAATGTTCATCGGTATTTTCCGACGTGGTTTCGCCTTGTCAGTTGTGCAGGAAGTAGAGCCTGACAAGGACAGCTGTCTAGTCGTTCGGATGGGACAAAAACCGAGGTCCCGTGTATACATTGACGTGTACGTTAAATATCCCTTGGCAGTTGAAATTCGATATGAGTAGGCCGTAGTTCCGTTGCGCGGTCAAAATTTCCCTTATAGCACACTGTATGGCGTATGCCCATCTTCATTATCCCGGTCGGAGCAGAACAGTAGGACGTTAAACCACATTTCATTTCATTTTGTAGGATATGGAGATGCGGTAAGCACCCTACCAATACCTCTGGCTAACACTGACGAAGGCAAGAGATTTAGATGCCAGGCTGATTATGATGGATGGACACGTGCAGTGGATTTTACAATAACAACACATCTAACATGTAAGTTCCATTTAAAGTAGCTCATCTTCATTAGCCAAGTAGGAGCGGAACAGTAGGAAGTTAAAGTGGCTAAGTCTCCCACTCATCCAAAGTCTTCGACAATGACAACACGAATTATTTGTCAATTTAAATCAATATTGATGCTGTGATCTTACCGGGAAAATGTGGGCTTCTGGTATCCAATTTTTAAGACAAAAATAAACATTTTACCATTGGTACACGAATCGTTATCATAATGCGTTTCAGTGCCATTTGTAACAAGGGACTCGAAGAACGAGGCTAGACATATTCCATAAGTCATGTCAAACGGTGGCGATATTTTCTTATCTGGAGAGCATGCGCAATAAATATCGTCGGTGTAGACTGGAATAACCAGACGCTAGAAATTACATTATTATATGCGTTGCGACCCATTTGTGTCAATTTCTACGTCCCAAATATTAGCGATTTGACTTCTTTAAATCAAATTTTACTGATGTTCGAATAAAATGTTGTCATCTTGTTTTAGGATTAGAACACCAAATCCTCGGCAGTAATTTTATTTTGGAAAATAATTTAAATCATACTTAAAATAAAGGACCCTGTTCATTTTGAATGAATGATTCGGGTTGATGTTGCACGTATACAAATTTTGAATGAATGAATGATTCGGGATACAAATTTTGAATGAATGAATGATTCGGGTCGATATTGCACGTATACACATTTTGAATGAATGAATGATTCGGGTTGATGTTGCACGTATACAAATTTTGAATGAATGAATGATTCGGGTCGATATTGCACGTATACACATTTTGAATGAATGAATGATTCGGGTTGATGTTGCACGTATACAAATTTTGAATGAAATAACGATTAAGACTGTGCCATTTTTTTATATCAAATTTGTACGTTTTGTAACTATTCCATACAGACCTCACACTAGCTTTCATTTTTTTCCCGCTAAAATGGATGAAGGTTTTTATATAAAAACGTTATCGCCAAAAATTTTGCCAAAATCAAATTTTAATCGCCACTTTCATATTTTTATCGCAAATTGCGACTTTTGCGACGGACAGCTTGAGTCCTGATTTTCAGACTAATGTTTGAATTAAGATTTCAGTATGATTTTGTTTTGTATCTGATTATAATTATGATATTTGTTTATATTTTTCAGCTGATGTCGGCCTTGTACAGATTTGTCTTGTAACTTTGGTTCTGCCAGTACTGACACTTCTCTCTTAAAATCATAAATCACAATCTAAACAAATTCCTATACTCTGTTAGATATTATTAATTAATTTTTAAATTGCCTTGTGTTGCGACATGTAATTTATCACTCTGGGGTTTTTCTTTCGCAACAATTTAGTACATAAATTCTTGTTTCGTACACAAATTTACCCTATTCTGTCTTTTAATTAGATGAATGTTTAAATTGTCGATTTTTGACTCTTAACTGGATATGATGAATTTAGCGGTAAAATGATATGAATTTTGGCGGTAAATCAGAATTTGTTTTTGACGGTTGATTGTGCACATAGATATAAACAAAAATTTGTAAAGTGAAAAATATTTTATGCAAATCGATATAACGATTTTTTATAATCGATAAGATGATTTTTTATAATCGATGAGGTGATTTTTTTTTATAATCGATATGGTGTTTTTTTATAATCGATAAGGAAATTTTTTATAATCGATATGGTGATTTTTTATAATGCGAAAACGTGACTTTTTATAAACGAATACGTGATATTTAAAAAAAAAATGGTTTGATGATTTTTGTAAATCGATATGATAAATCGATATGATGAGTTTTGGAAATCGATAAGATGATTAAGAATTTTAAAGTTGTCCGATTTGCCGACTTAAAATCGGCAGTTTAAACACTTAGGATGGGAATCTCTTCCATTTGTATACCGCGCTGTATCATGAGGCCTGTCTTTGAGTCAACTGGCATGGTTTCGATTCCCCGGTTATACGTGATAAGGAGTAGGGTCGCCTGTCCGACCTTGTGGGTTCTTTCTCTCTCTCTCCATTTGTATACAATGTAATTTCTTTTGTATTTTTCCTGTCTTTAAATATTCCAATCCAACTTTTACGACAGCTTATGAAATCCTCTCATGACGTAATGACTAAAAGTTGGTCTTTTATTATTTTATTTATTTTAAAATGTTATTTATTGTTTTATGTGATATTCTTATACTTTAGTACAATATTATATTAATAGCATCTGTATAACTACAACATTATATTAAAGATACATTATGGGAGATTCGATAACGAGTTGGCAGTTCTCACTATAATATAAACAACTAGATAATGTAAAGGCAATTTGCTGAAAATTTCATTCAAATTGATCTACTATGAACCGAGAACTAAGGGATTGAAATTTCCGCCTAGCCTCGATAATCAGTACTATAAACAGCATAGTCACGATTATCCATTTATGCAGTAAATCGGCTCATAATCCACTAAAGATCGCAGGCTAGCGATGCCATCTAGAGTTGATTATTGTCTGGATAGGTTAAATAATGTCTAATAAATAACTTAGATAACATTTCAGGCCTAAAGAAAGATCTGCAATAGACAGATTTAGCTCTTGCATAATGTATGTTTAATTAATAAAATGTTTATAGCATCAATATCATAATATTTTAAAAAGAAATTAATAAAAATATTTATAATTCTAATATATATTATAAAATAATAATTAATAACATGATAAAATATCTATTGTTAATCAAATGTTTATAGCTACAATATCATAATATTTATATTTTGTTTGAATTAAAATATTTATTATTACAATATATATTATAAAATATCTATTGTTAATAAATGTTTTCTGCAATTCGTATTTGATCATTCTTCTGTCGACTGTGATGTTTAATGATATTTTGTGAGGCAGTCTATATGACACTGCTTATGGGGCATATAACCGCGGTGACTCATTCGGGGGTGGGTCTGTCATTGAGTCAGCTGGCGCATTTTTGATTCCCCGGTTGTACGTGACAAGGAGTAGGGTCGTCTGTCCAACCCTGTGGATTTTCTCCGGGTCCTCCGGTTTCCTCCCACTGCTAAAGACCCCTACGCGCAAGCGAATTATTGAAATAAAATTTAACCATGTGTTATTCCCTAAATTACCTAGTTTGTGTCGAGTGGACGTTTCACATTGTAGTGCTAACAATGCCGGGGGTTGGATTGCCGAATGGTTAGCGCATGCGCATTGTATCATAAGGTCTGTCATTGATTCAACTGGCGTGGTTTCGATTCCCAGGTTGTACATGAAAAGAAGTAGGGTAGCCTTTCCGACCTCGTGGGTCTTCTCCGGGTCCTCCCAATGCTAAAGACGCCTACGCAGATTATTGAAATAGGTGTTGAAACAGCGGTCATCGATTACATCTGTTGTAATGGCCGTCTGTTTGTCTTTCTTACAGACCGTTTAGAAGACAATGGTACGCAAAAAATGAATTTTGGCACCACGGACCGTCTAGACCAGTGACTCATTTTTCGGACATTGATTATTATTTGTGAATGGAGCTGCATGGTTGGAATTCAGGTCGGCATAGAGTTGGATTTCGGTTGCAAACCGATTGGAAACTTTGAAGTTGCTTAATTCACGGGCTAGAATAACAGAAAAACGCATTTACAGCGGTTAAATTTTCAAACATTCATCGAGCTCGTATGCCCATGCATCATGGGGCCATTTTATGTATAATTTTATCTGATGTTTTTACATTTATCTTTGTAAAATCACACAAGTGAAACGTGAAACACCCTTCATGAATGGCTTTTGGTTATTAAAAAATTTAAAAGTCACGTATGACTCAAATAATGAATTACACCAACCATCTATTTACCGTTGATACATACGTATACAATTTCACACACCGTCTACTTTATATTATATATTGTCATTGACATACTTATTTAACAAGGGGGAGCCACGGTGGCTAAGTGGGTAAGGCGCTGGCTCGCTAGCCTGGAGGTCGGGTGTTCGATCCCTGCATTGGCCGAGAAAGTTCATCCAGATTTTCCGGCGTGGTTCTCCCTTGTCAGTGATGCAGGACGGAGGGGCTGACAAGGACAGCTGTCTAGTCGTTCGGATGGGACGAAAAACCGAGGTCCCGTGTACACATTGGCGTGCACGTAAAAGATCCCTTGACAGTTGGAATTCGATATAAGAGTAGGCCGTAGTGCCGCTGTCCGGGCAAAATTTCCCTCATAGCACACTGTATGGCGTATTCCCGTCTTCATTAGCCCAGTTCGGAGCAAAACAGTAGGACGTTAAACCTCATTTTATTTCATTTCTATTTAACAAGGACCTCACTCAAATATCTATTTTAATTTTTACACATGTGACGGCATTAAGGAGCACAAAAGGTCAGACTATTCATTTTATTCGAGCCAACCTGTGAGGTGTTACAATAGTTACATAGACATAGAAGATGTTAATACAACCGTCTTAACGCTTGGTTCCCACTATCACGATTCGCGTCAGGAAAACGCGTCTGTGGCCGTCAAACTTTCCAAATTATCTCGCGAGGAGGGAAGGGGCGGGGCTATACGATAAGCTCCGCTCCTTTGCCTCTCGCAGACGTCAGGCACCGTCGTCTGTAACCCGAAATTGTTTAGGGCTTTTCAGCTCGACCCAACTGCTCATCATAACATTAGAGACTTTTGGCAAGCGTAAATTCCTGGTCCGTATCGAGTATCCGTGACGTCATCAATGCGTGTGCATTTCTCATACGTGATACGGGACACGAATACGGCAGCACGAAAAAGGTCTGTATAACACTGTCATCTTTTTAGCGTACTTTTTGACACTGAAATGTTAGCGTTTTTATGAATCTATATGTATCCTGGAACACGAAGGTGTACATTTGATGTGATTATATCCATGTTAAAGCTTTTCGCGGAATTTTCATATTTTTTTCTGTCTGTCTGCATGCTGGTTGATATAGGTGCTAAATTCAGGGAGGTAGGACCTTACATATCTGTAAAAGGGCATACTTTCTGAAATGACACATTAGTGAAACCAAAAATTGCTGCCCGTTCGAAGTCTAAGATTTTTAATAAGATTTGACACTATTTTTTTTTTCAAAATTGTTAATAGCTCAGCGACTGTCGAGCGACATTACTCCCTTCAGGAATTTGTAGGCTAATAGAACTAAGCTCAGCTACTCATACGCACACTGATCCGCAATGAATATTCGCTAGGCCGCGACAATCTCTGATAAGGATGACATCGATGCGACGTAATGAGCCACAAATATTAACTTTTTTCCTCCGACAAATTAAATTCTAAAAAAAAATTTATGCATTAGAAAAACAAATAAAGACGTTTGAAGTATTTGTAGGTAAAAATTATTTTCTTTTTTAGTATAAATGGGTATCAAAATGAGTAAAAGGCGCCATTCTGCTCGAATCATTAACGTGTTATGTAAACAATGCACGCACCATTGAGCCAATCATTGACGCCACGTGATATGACGTCATGTGTTGAAGGCAGTCATCCTTTACAGAGATATTAGAAGACTTTCGTAATACTCTGTGAAACAGATTGACTCATAGTTACGCGGCGCCAGATCTGCCAGAACTATAAAACTACATTGACGCAAAGTATCACGTGATGATACGGATGGGAAAAAATCCCACTTTCCAAAAGTCTCTATTCATAGAGCCAGTACGCCTATGTTTAATGTCAACTTTCCATTTACCCTTATAGATAATTTTACAAAACAATATTAATAATTTTCATAGTTTAGTTTGATTGTTTAGTTGAAAGTTTATCTGTGAGATATATATATATATATATATATATGATCAAGAGGATCTATAATATACCACGAGTTTAGTTTGATTGATCAGTTGATCAAGGTGGTCAAATAAACCACGAGTTTAGTTTGATTGTTCAGTTGATCAAGGTGATCTAATATACCACAAGTTTAGTTTGATTGTTCAGGTGAAGGTTTATCTGTTAGATATATATGATCAAGAGGATCTAATATACCACGATAATAAGCATCAAAAGATTCTGATTCTGTAGACGAAAAATGATTTTTCCAGTCTCCAATTTGTCCTGAAAGAAACACAAGAAATTATAAGCGGTTGCTCTTTCGAAGAAATGAAATGAAATGATATGGGGCTCAACGCCCTACTGTTCCGGACCGAAGCTTTTCAAAGAAAGCAGGGGACTATTTAAATAGCTTCGTTCATCCGTCGTTCCGACGCATTTTTTTGGGACTCAACAACTCTTCTTTTAATTGAGCTAGAAGGTTCAAACTTGGTTTAACTGTTCATTAGGCAAATGTCTTAACTGAATTCGATGATGGTCATTGTCTGGTTAGGCGACGAGAGAACAAGTAATTTGATTTGACAATGGGTTGGGTCACGATAACTTTGATACTAATTAAACTAAAGTTGGTGTCTTGACTGAGTTCGACAATGAACATTGTTTACTCAGGTTAAGCACTAGTGAGGAATTTTATTGGTCGGTCGAGACGTTGGAAGACATTAAATTAACCTGGCGTAGATGCCCATTCGGTGAATGCCGTCTTCAGTAGCCTAGCCGGAGTAGAACAGTAGGACGTTAAACCTCATTTCATTTCATTTCATTTCAATCTGTGAATGTCTTTGACTAAGTTCAATGATTAGTGTTTCCGCTAAGACTAAGTAGAGGTAAGCAGTTTGATTAGATGAATGTTTGGGGCACAGCCTTGTGCACGAGATTCAGGTGAACCGTATTACTATTACTAAAAAAAGTCACTATAGAACCTAACAGAAGAAACATTTCCAGTTACATGTGACGCCCAAACGCACCAATAGCTACCGCATGGAATGCAGGTGATGCTTGGGATCATCATGGGGGTCCAACCCAAGATTTGCACGACTCTGACTTTGAATGTTACAGTCATTGTGGCATTGAATTCCAGGGTGGAAACATCAGTTTAATTGTTTTAGTGACCAGAAAACAAATTTTGATATGCGTCGGCTTACCCAAAATGAAAGGTTACGTGCCCTTGGCATGCTACAGATCGGCACAACACAGGCGGTTGTGGCGCGGACGATGAATGTTTCTCCGTCTGTCATAAGCAGGCTATGGTCCAGATACCGTGAAACACAATCTGTACAGGACAGACCACGCTCAGGTCGACCAAGGGCGACAACTCAAGCCCAGGATCGATTTATCCGTACCTTGGCCTTGAGAAATCGTGTCATCACAGCAAATCAGATCAGCGCTCGTCTTCAAACAGACACTGGTGTGAGAGTGAGTGGCCAGACGATTCGGAATCGACTGCATAGGGGTCACCTTCGCGCCCGACGTCCTCGCGTGATCCCTTGTTTGAGAGATCATCACATTCAGGCAAGACGTCGTTGGTGTAGGGATCGTCAACACTGGGATAATCGACGCTGGAGCAATGTGATGTTTTCAGATGAGTCAAGGTTCATTGTTGATTTTTTGGACAGACGTAGGAGGGTGTGGCGTCGTCGAAACGAGCGCTTCCAAGACGTTAACGTCATCAGACATGATCGATTTGGGGGTGGTTCTGTTATGGTGTGGGGAGGCATCACTGTTGCTGGAAGAACGGCTTTACATGTTGTTGCAGGGCGTGTTACAGGCCAGTACTACCGGGACAACATCTTGGCAGTCCATGTTGTGCCGTTCGCACGACGTCATGGCCGCCGTTTCATCTTCCAGGATGACAACGCAAGATGTCACAGGGCCAGGATCGTTACAGGTTACCTCCAACAACAGAACATCACCACATTACCTTGGCCAGCACTGAGTCCCGACCTCTCCCCCATCGAGCATGTCTGGGACATGCTTGGACAGAGGTTACGTCAACGTCAACAACGTCCTGCCAATGTCCAAGAACTTGCTGCTGCGTTGCAACAGGAATGGAACAATCTGGACCAAAATGACCTTAGACGTCTCATTAGGAGTATGCCACGTCGGATCAATGCTTGTTTGGCAAACAGAGGAGGATTTACCCGTTACTGACTTGGTTGTGATGCTGTGGTAACTTTGCTGTTTGACCCCGGGTATCATTTTACCCTTATAATGGTCAGTCTGTGCCTTACTTAGTCTAACGATCATTTGGAATAAATCGATGAATGTGAACTTCATTTCATTTTGTCATTTGTTTCTTCGTCAGTTTCATTAGGTGACTTTAATAACACTTAAAAATCAAATATCCCCTACTTTTTTTGAATAGTATATTATTGGTGAAAGCTAATTGTAGACCGGTTGGGGAGATTTAGTCCCCTTTATATAAATGGGTATTTGGGGGAATACTAACCGTAACTCTAACCCTTTTAAGAGTGGGGAGGTGGAATGGTTAGCGCTTGCCCGCTGTATCATAAGGTCTGTCATTGAATTAACCGGCGTGGTTTCGAATCCCCGGTTGCACGTGACAAGGAGTAGGGTCGCCAGTCCACCTTCGTGGTTTTTCTCCAGGTCCCCCGGCTTCCTCCCACCCGCACGCACAAGCGAATTATGGGAATAAAATTGAACCATGTGTTAGTCCCGAAATGACCTAGTGTGTGTCTAGTGGACGTTAAACCCATCTCTCTCTCTCTCGCTCTCTCTCTCTCTCTCTCTCTCTCTCCCTCCCTTTTAAGAGGGATAAAAGTTAAACTGGACCCAAGTTCAGGCTTCTAAAAAGGCTTAGGGTTAGTATTCTCCCAAATACTCATTTATATAAAGCGGCCATTGTGGAATAAACCTACTAAAGTACTAAGTTCTATATTATGTATTTTGTAGGCCCCCTATTGTGCCAAGCTAAACCGCGACACAGTGAATTAAATATCTGATTTGTCGTATTTACCTTTTCTATACATTGCTTCTTTCCCACTTTTATACATAGATATAAACCAGTGCGTAAGCGATTCCTTCTGTTGTTTCATTTTTGGAAAGTCGGTTGCCTTGGCAATGTCTTGACACGTCTTTTCTGGACATTCAATATCCAGAAAATCGGCTATCTTTTTAATCTCCTCAGCTGGTCTCTGAAAGACAGAGGAAGTCCTAATAAACCAGGACACATCAAAGATTAATTACCACAGATGATCTACGTTTACCGATTCCAGATGCTGGATGCCTTTGTTATTGTTGAGAAATGCTAGTATGGGACCAAATTTACTGAAGCCAGATGATCCAAATTTACCAAGTCCAAGTCCAGATGATGGATGTATTTGAATACAGACTATAAATAGATTGGTCGCGTGTATAATAACAATAATAAGTTTTATAATCATAGAACTTGGCAGATATACAAATATTCTAATTGGGTATTGCACGTCTTTTAAGTGCTGTTAAACAGAAATCAAAACCTATCCTCTACCCCATTTCGCCACGGAACGTAAAATTGAGGTTCCGATGACCCTGTACGTGTATCATGGTGATGGACCTTTTCTAAAAAAACAATTGATACGAAACTGGCGAACACTTACCGTTTTCAAGTCTTCATACCTAACTGTATGTATGGGGTAGTTTGGATTTTCACATTTAAATTTCTTCCAATGAAAAAAATGTCTATCCCACGAGTTCATGACGACTATAAAAATAAAAGACAAACATACAAAGGGGCTGAATTGTCAATCATTTGGGTCATCATGTAGTTATGAGCAGGTGATGATGGTTGTATAATCGATGCTTACCAGGAATAATTGATGACAAAGTAGTCGTTAACCGACAAGGCGGATGAAACACTGGCGGAATACTCCGAGAAATGAATCCTGAAGTGTCTAAATGGCAGATGATATTGGATCTTTGAAGTGTACTGGTTTGAGGGATGATCAGGGAAGCTTTGCCCGGACCTTCGTGAAAGATACGGCTCCCAGGACACTTAAGGTTGTATCTATCCTTAGGAGGATACATCCTTACATACAGACAGTGCGACACGCCATGATAATGGTCTGCGCCTATTCAGGCGCGGATCCCCCCTGCTCAGGCTTGAAAATTTGAAGGGTCCGAGAAACTTAAATCTAAAAGCCTGAATCTGAACCAAAAATTGCGAGTTCGTATACATTGAGTTGAGTCATGACTTTCATTCCATTGTGGGCAAAAACAAATAGTCACATACAGCTCTGGCAATTAGCCAAAAATGTCGACAGCATAAATTGCCGTCGGGACCAATTGACCCCACGGCAAATCGCCTATTGACGACGGCAATATTTTAATACCGTACTGTATGAAGATATAAGTTTATTGAAATTTAAAGAGTTTTATTAACGCTGTTCGCCTGTTGACGTTGATTATTGTTGTGTTTGCTTTTTAATTTTATCGGCAGCGTTGATAAGAAAAAAAACCCCTGGTCATTTATTTTATCAAATTGAAAAAAAAATAAAAAAATATGTTAGCGGAATTTATAAGATTTTTTAAAAATTTGATACATAACATATTCACCGCTTATGTTTTATTATTATTATTATTTAAATATGGGTTCCCAGAAAAGTATTTATCGGGTGGTTATTTCCAATAAAAGTATGGCAATTTTGATATATATGGAAAGTAGAGATATCCAATCTTACTAGAAAAATTCTGGATTCACCGAAAAACACTCATGGAGCGTATACAGGACAAAAATGTAAGGGTTCCCCTAATCAACAGCCCGACGATTAGGAACTTCTGCACGCGTGATGTCAAAGGTCACAAGCGAACATTGAGCGCTTGATGTACAAGTTGATAAACTTTATGAAGAGTTAGACGTACAATACTTTCTGGGATAAAAATGACGGAAAAAGACGCGGGTAGTGGATAATCCGAGAATTTAATTAGGATTCGATATTTGTAATAAATAGTAAGCGATTAAAGACAACATCATCTTATGTATGCAATGAATTCTCCTCTGACTCCCAAGACGTGACGTAAACATGACCTGGTTTGATCGAATTTTAATAGCAGGGCATTCCTTCGCAATTACAATGCTTGAGAAGGATTTGAAGCATAATTATGACAAATTAATTCGTTTGAATATGTTTTTGGTCCATATATACCATTAAATCATCCAGTTTGTACGCGGGAACCCATCTTTAATTATTATTATTATTATTATTATTATCATTATTATACCTGAAGAGAATGTCTTATTAGGTGAACTTGGAACATACCTTTACCGCGAAACAGTGGAAGGTAGGCCTACTACAGCGATCGAGAGTGCAGGTAAAATACTTCCGACAGGTCGTCATTCGTAAGACTTTTTTATACGCGCATTTAAAACAATTGCTGCGTGAGACGTTACCCCACGTGTGTTTAAAATCGGGTAATTAGAGATTAACAATAAACTAAATTCATCATCAATCGATTTATTTAATTAGCCTAATTGTGAAGGATCCTAACCGTCGAATTCCCTTCCTTTCGTTTCTCCTTTCTTGTTCTCCTTTCGTTTCTCCCTTTTCTCGTACACCAAGCAACTATTGCAAGCTATATTATTTATTTTTATGCGCTGAAAGTAAAAACAATAAACCAAGTCTATAGACTTTTCGTCTGTGAAAGTTTGTGCTCTGGAAAACCCCGACCAACTTTCCTATACTTAAATGGACTGGTTACTCTAATAGTAAATTGATACTGCTAATAAAGCTTGTTAAGAACAACCATAATATGGTATCTGAAGAGATTTTGTTCCTCACCTGTGAAGGGAGCATTCCCCATCGACATTTTATGCGATTTTATTGGCGATTTTTAGACCTGGAATTTTGGAATTTACCTTCCGGAAATACGTCAGAATGCACCAAATTGAATCTAATTTACCAAATTTTTCTGGGGGAGGGCCCCCCGACCCCCCTTTAGAACGTTTAGCGCCTTCGGCGCTCGCGGCGCTCCGGCGGTAGGGTACGCCCACCGCAATTAATTAAGCAATTATCCAACCGAGACCTCCCCCCCACTGCAAAAAATCCAGGATCCGCGCCTCCTATTGTGTGTGTGTGGTGGGGTGGCGTTGGTAGGGCGAGAAGTAAAAATAATTGCTGGCACTGTAAGAGTGAGAACAAGATTGAGGTGATGAAAGTTGCTCAAAACATCCAAAGCAAAGATTCAGTGATTGGAAGAGCTTTGGTCGGGGTAACACGGAAACTGTCGGGAACTGTAACTGCATGATCTCATGATTAACCACCACAAAGAACCTGCGATTGCTCCATGGTCCATGATATAAAAAACTGAAGTAATCCCACTCACCATCACCTCTTTTGAATAAGGAAATGAAGTCGTTAAAGGAACCTTCATACTCGTATTCTTTTATTTCTCGCAGGAGGTAAAAATCAGAAACACATACATCTTTTGGATTTCTTATCAGTAGAATTACTTTACATTTCAAATCTGTCAGATTACGTGGTAATTCGGCAGGGTAGCGATGTGTACATAGAGTTCTTGGTGATGGCATCTGATCCACCATTGCTGGACTCACTGCTTCCATATGAGTTGATTCCATAGCACTGAGCATTAGCTCAGTTTGTCCACTGCGTAGCATAGACACAATTTCATACACCCAATGAAGTCCTGTACATAAAAAATGAAAATAACGATAACATGCCACTGGTTGAAGACAAAGATATTTCTGAAACTTGAAACCTGGATGAAACGCCGTCTATATGACAATAACCAAAAGAAAGACACTTTAGCTTATTGTTTTAATTATTCAAAAGAAGATATTTCACCTGACTTGAGATACTCCACTATAAATACGTCATCAACTCTTGCTTTTATGTCACACATACCACACCATTTGCCAGCCAAATCTTTACTGATCAATCTGTCACCAATCTTCATTAGTTTCATTACATTGCCACCTCCATCTATAGTTTTAACTGGCTTGGCTTCCATTGTGGTATTATATAACCCTCCTTGGGGAACAAATGTGGAAATTTCTGCTTAATAAAAGAAGGCAGGAGATTTACATGTCTGGTAGTTATGTAACTCGGGTTACAACTAGCATCAATAGTGAAGTATATGCAACGTGCCTGGCTATTGTTTTTTTGCTTAAAGAATGACCCCAAGACTTCACTGTGTAGCTGTTGGTAGCACTTTGTTTAAGTATTTAAATCAGTCGTCAAGAATTTATTGACCAATGACTCTGCATAAAATGTAGCTAAATAATTAAGCCTTTCGGAAATGATCACTAGAATTGGTGAGGAATTTCTGTGTTTAAATGTAAGAGCGACTTGACGGTAGATAATCTCTCGGCTTGGATTCAGGTGGATTAAAACTAGGTCCCGTCTTCATTAACCTAGTCGAGACAGAACAGTAGGACGTTAAACCCTATTTCATTCATTTTAAACAAGGCGTGGATCGATGAAATTTCAATTTATCATAACTTTGTAAATAGGCTACTGAACGGAATTGAACCATAATTGAACTGACACAGATGACGCATCGATCTTTTAAAGATACATTATGGGAGATTGGATAAAGAGCTGGCAGTTCTCACTATAATAGTTAAAAACTAGATAATGTAAAGGGAATTTGCTGACAATTTCAAATTGATCCACCCTGAACCGACAATTTGGCATTGAAATTTGGGCCTAGCTTCGATCGTCATTACTAAAGTCGGTACGATATAAAACATTGTCTCGATTATCCATTATTTGATTTAATCATGAATGAGAGTTGAGCAGGAGACCGGATTACAATCAAATAAATATCGCAGGCTAGCGATGACATCGAGAGTTGATTATGATACATATTCAAGCAGAGGCCTGCATAGTATGGATTAAATCTTGTGGGGGGGGGGGGGGTGAATGGTTAGCACGTGCGTGCTGTATCATAAGGCCTGTCATTGAGTCAACTGGCGTGGTTTCAAATCCCCGGTTGTACGTGACAAGGAGTAGGGTCGCCTGTCCAACCTCGTGGGTTTTCTCCGGGTCCTCCGGTTTCCTCCCACTGCTAAAGACCCTAACGCACAAGCGAATTATTGAAATAAAATTAAACCATATGTTAGTCCCGAAATGACCTAGTTTGTGTCGAGTGGACGTTAAACCCCATTTCTCTCTCTCTCTCTCTCCAAATCTTGTGGATAAATTCGCAAGAGATGTGAACAGTATGGAGAATACCTCAAAGGAAGAAATAATAAGTAATATTTATCCAAAGGGGTAAATAGTATTTACGGTGATTGACAGAAGGGAGCTAACTCTCATGTATCAGAGGGCGCTTCATTTCATTGCTGGTTGGTAATAACACATGTCAGTGAGTAATAATTATTGAGAGGTGATATTTTCCAATTATGCTTACCTTCGCGGTTGTTTTTGCGCCTTCCACGGCTATGCCAGTATCGGCATCTTGTTAGGGCCTTCTGTTATTTAATCTCGAGCAAAGCAGTGATTTTGGACCGCTCCTCAACGGAATTGATAGCAGTGTCCTTTTCCCGCCAAATAACCATGGCGTATTAGTACTGTTGTTAGTAGCACAACGCCACACTTTGACTATGCCTAGGGTATTAATTTTAGGCACATCTCACGTATATTGGATGGATAACTATATAAAGGATAACCCCCAGAACACTCGATTCAACCTAAACCATGTAGGCGGCGAGGTTCGAACACATATCTTTGGCATAAGGGGCGGTCGGGTCAATAAGGTCACCCACTGTCGTGAATGGGAAGCCGCAATCGTGCGTACAAGGCCTATACATTTAATTGTCCAGTTTGGCAGTAATGATATTGATACTCATCGTATGAATGAGGACGCACTTGATCAAGTACAACAAAAAATTAGTTTACTGCTAAATACATGGCGCACCAGGTATCACCTTCGACACATCACTTTTTGTCAAGTTATGCCCCGTCTTAGAACTAGACATTTTCAGTCAGCAAACGATTATAACTTAATGGCAAAACAGCTGACTATACGTATGGAAGTGTTGCATGAAACAGATCCGAGTTTTTCGGTTTGTTTCTTCCGTGGCATACCTTGGCTTTCCCCTCCCCCCTTTTTGTTCTACAAGCCCTCAACAGACGGTGTTCACCTTAGTTCTCTTGGTAACAAGAGTTACTATAGAAATATCAGGGGTGCAATTATTCGCATGTTACGCCATTAATGCAGGTAAGGACTAATCTTGTACATTTTTCTAATATTCGTATCTGGATGTTAGATATTTAATTGCATTGTATGAAGGTGTTTTAACGATGGCATAGGGACGTTCACTGACTTATTTTACTGACATGTGTTTTTACCCATATGAGGCCTTCAATCAAGGGTCTTATTGATGGCATAGGTGCCTACAATAATGTTGTTGGCAGAGGTGCTTGCCAATTGCAATGAATGGTTTTATCGAGGGCATAGGTGCCTTTCAAGAATGGTTTTATTGATGGCATAGGTGCCTTCAATGAATGTTTTATGAATGGCATAGGTGCCGTCAATGATTTGGGCATAGTTGCCGTCAATAAATGTTTTAGTGCGGGCATATGTGCCTTTAATGATTTTGGCATAGGTGCCTTCAATGAATGTTTTATTAATGGCATAGGTGCCTTTAAGGATTTTGGCATAGGTTCCGTCAATGAATGTTTTAGTGTGGGCATATGTGCCTTCAATGATTTTGGCATAGGTGCCTTTAATGAATGTTTTATGATTTTGGCATAGGTGCCTTTAAGGATTTTGGCATAGGTGCCTTTAATGAATGTTTTATGAATGGCATAGGTGCCTTCAATGGATGTGTTTTTAATGGCATAGGTGCCTTCAATGGATGTGTTTACTGAGGGCTTTAAGGCCCTCAAGGATTGATTTTACTATGGGCATAAAGGCCGTCAAGGAATTATTTTACTGTGGCTTTCTATGATGTTTTACTTTGGCACAGGTGCCTTCAACGAGTGTCTACCGATGGCATAAGTGTCATCAAAAGAAATTAGAGGGGAACTAGCCCTAATACACTGATCTGTGGTTAGCCCCCCCCCCTTTTTTTTAGCCAAATTAACAATATTACACATATATATTTTGTAGGTTCAACATCATGGAGCCAGCAAAGCAGTCACAACGTTTAAAGGACAAACAGAGGCAATCTCATGTTCAAACTGCCAGGAAATCTAGAATTCCGATTAAGCGCTCTAGGCCTTCCCCGAGTACACGTTTCGGCTCTGCCAAGCGCTGTCGTTCAATGCCTTCCGCAACCACAGTTACTAGTATGGGTGCCCCTACTCCGATGGCCTTGTCATCAGCCACCCAGTCAGTGCAACAAGCCGTAACAGAAACATCTCATCATTTTCACGTATCCACAGCTCCTATTTCAAGTACCAGTGCCAGTTCAAGGAGGTCGCCATCCTTCAACCCTGCTATCACAGAATCATCATCTCATCCTGGTCAAGTTTCCACCGCTCCTACTGCAAGTACACATACTGTTCAAGTTTCCACCGCTCCTACTGCAAGTACACATACACCAGATTCTCGGGCCAGTTCGACAATGCCGCCATCTATCACCTCACCACCACAGGAATCAACTTCACATCTCCAGACTCTGATTCAGGAAGCCATATCTAGTGCGATTCCAACAATCACTCAAGCAGTTTTGGCAGCTATTAATGAAACCCATACTGAGCCTTCTCCAAATCAGCTTCCTCCGGGTGGAGTTACCGAAGGTACGTTATATTATCCCAGTCCCTCCATTACTCCATTTCCCTTAGCCGCCACTAATGAACACCACCCCTTACCACAACTCAGTACCCAGCATAATGCCTTAGTAACTGCAGCCCAACCTTTGTCTTTGGCTATTGACTCTAAAATAAAAGGTAAAATTTGGGCCAATGAATTTATTGAGCTGTAGCAGTTATTAACACCTAATTCTCCCAAAAATCGCTTTATTGTTCAGGAAAATTCGAATATTCAATTTATGCTGTGTAAGGAGGAAGTTCCATCCAAGATGGAGAACATCAATCATTGGCTGAAAGCCATGTACATATTTGTCAGTAACTATACCGAGAAATTTACAAGGGAGACACCCCATTTGATGAAATACATTACCACAATTCAGGAGTTGACCAACCAGGCTGGCGAGGCTGCAGCCCTCGAGTATGACACAAAGTTTCGCCTCTGGCGCCAGTCTACACTGTTCCCATGGCAGTGTATTAATATGGAACTCTATCATAGAGCTTTGACAGCGGGGATGTTTCGTAAATTGCAAAGGGTTGCCCCCCAGCCTTCGTTTTTTGCAAAACAAAATTCTAGATTTACCCAACCCTATAGATCCAGCAAGGAGCAAAACCTTTGCTGGAGATATAACAACACAGGGTCATGCAACCGTACCATGTGACCCTTTCGCCATATCTGTCAAAGAATTCGCGGCAAACACCCCCGCTCTACCTGTCCAAGAAAACCCAACTTTAGTTCTACCCAATCCTACCAGCCTATATCAAAACCAAATCCGGCTAGAAAAAACATTTCAAAACCCATGTAAAGCCATTGATAACACGATAGTTACGCCAATAAAACCTGACCGTCTACACTATTGGCTTGATAGGTTTGACCCCGATAAGCGTGATTTCTTAGTACAAGGCTTTCTTCGTGCTTTTAAAATACCCTTTGAAGGTAACAGAGACCATGTGTTTTCAAAGAATTTGCGTTCCGCTGTGGAGAATCCAATTATTTTAAAGGACATGATTGATAAAGAAGTAGCAGCAGGACATTTTGTGGGACCATACTCTTCTTTACCAATGCCTAACTTAAAAATAAGCCCCTTGGGTGTTATCCCTAAAAAAGAAGCGGGAAAATTTCGTGTTATTCACCATCTGTCCTTCCCTGAGGGCTCCTCAGTTAATGACGGCATTCCTGCCGATCTCTGCACTGTTTCCTATGAAACCATTGACAATGCAGTTAGTTTTATACGACAAATCGGTTCCGGTGCCCTTATGTCCAAAACTGACCTGGAGAATGCCTACAAAATTGT